GGACCTGTTTGCATGCGGAGAGAACAGTGCGCAGTAAAGTCTCAGCTCGGTACAACTAACCACACTTCATCTTATTACCACACAGGTAGGATGAGCTATACCCAGAGGCGCTATACTGACCTGGGACCCACAAGGGCTTCATGAGCGTGTAAAAATTCCTGAGCGTGTGAATGACGCTGTTGCCCGTGTACTTGATTCAAGGAGAGTGAGAGGTAGATAATTACAGGGGGCCAAGGGGTAGTTATATACTGACCCGGGCGGGAGGGCTATACTGACCTGGGGGCGAGCGAGGGCTTCATGAGTTGGTAGAAGTTCCTGAGCGTGTCCTGAATGGCGTTGTTGCCCGTGTACTTGGAGGAATGCGAGAGGGGTATCATCTGTATTGACCTGTGAGGACTATACTGATCTGGGAGGGGAGGGCTTTACTACTGACCTGGGAGCGAGCGAGGGCTTCATGAGTTGGTAGAAGTTGCGCAGAGTGTCTTGAATGACGTTGTTGCCCGTGTACTTGGAGGAGCGCGAGAGGTAGATGACAACTGCTATGAGTGGCAGCAGGATGCCCACTCCCACCAGGCCCAGGAGGAGGTACGCTCCCTGCACAGGAGTGGGGGGGGGGAGGGGGGGGCGAGTGGGGAGAATTGAAAAGTGTTATATGAGCGTACTTGGAGGAGCGCGAGAGGTAGATGACGACTGCGATGAGCGGCAGCAGGATGCCCACCCCCACCAATCCGAGAAGAAGGTACGCTCCCTGCACAGCCAGTGGGGGGTTTGGAAGGAAGCGAGGCAGGTGAGAAGGCAGATTGATACCAAATAATACCTTACTTTGGCGTGCCTGACTCAGGCACCAGCCCTACTTGCAGGCTGCACAGTTGATGTAGGCCCACCTACCGCTGTGATGATAACCCCACCCCACCTTACGCCATTGAATGTCGAGCATGAACTTGGAAAGAGCGATCGTTGCGCTCATGGCCTGCTGTCCGTCGGGGAGGCCGTGCTTCTTGCAACTTGTGCAGAGAACCCCACAATGAAATGGAAGGCCCACCCACCCACCTGTAGCTGTTGTTGTTTACCCCCCCTTCCCCCCCCCACCTATCTCACCTTAGGCCCTTGAAACAATATGAGCAGCTTCCTACGCCCCACCTCCTAAGCCCCACCCCACCTCACGTTAGAAGCCCACCTTGGGTCCATTAATGTCTAATTAATGTCGAGCATGAACTTGGGCAGCGCGATCCCCACGTTCATGGCCTGCTGCCCGTCGGGGTGGCCCCACCTCTCACCAACACGTGCTGAAAACCCCACAAGGAAAGGGAAGGCCCGCCCACCTGTGGCTGCTGTTGTTAACCCCGCCTCACCTTGGGTCCATTAATGTCGAGCATGAACTTGGGCAGCGCAATCCCCACGTTCATCGCCTGCTGGCCATCCGGATGGCCCCACCTCTCACAGCTCGTGCTGGAAACCCCACGGCACAGGGGAAGACCTACCTGTTGCTGTTGTTGAAAGCCCCACCTTGGGTCCATTAATGTCGAGCATGAATTTGGGCAGTGCGATGCCCACGTTCATCGCCTGCTGCCCATCAGGGTGGCCGTACTTCTCCCAGTTGGCCCTCGCTACCTCGTCTGTCAGCGCCTGGTATGCCTTGGATATGTAGTCCACGAAGAACTTGTGGGCGGCTGGTGGGGAAAGGGCAAGATAGGGAAGGAACACATGGCATAGGAAGTTGTGAAGCCAGCCCTCGCCACCTCGTCCGTCAGCGCCTGATACGCCTTGGATATGTAGTCCACGAAGAACTTGTGGGCGGCTGGTGGGGGTAATCAAGAAGAAAGAGCAGGAAAGGAGGGAGTCATGAAGAGCAAGCTTCTCCCAGTTGGCCCTCGCCACCTCGTCCGTCAGCGCCTGGTACGCCTTGGATATGTAGTCCACGAAGAACTTGTGCGCGGCTGGTGGGGGTAATCAAGAAGAAAGAGCAGGAAAGGAGGGAGTCATGAAGAGCAAGCTTCTCCCAGTTGGCCCTCGCCACCTCGTCCGTCAGCGCCTGGTACGCCTTGGATATGTAGTCCACAAAGAACTTGTGCGCGGCTGGTGGGGGTAATCAAGAAGAAAGAGCAGGAAAGGAGGGAGTCATGAAGAGCAAGCTTCTCCCAGTTGGCCCTCGCCACCTCGTCCGTCAGCGCCTGGTACGCCTTGGATATGTAGTCCACGAAGAACTTGTGCGCGGCTGAGGGAGGGATGGAGCAAGCATGGGGAGGAGGGTGGGTCAGGGGTCGGGATAAGCAGGTAACCCAACTATCAGCCACCTCGTCTGTGAGCCCCTGATACGCCTTGGATATGTAATCCACGAAGAACTTGTGGGCGGCTGGCAGGTGCATGGATAGGGAGAAGAAGAGTAAATAGGAGCGGAGAGCGGAGACCAAACATGCCCTCGCCAACTCGTTTGTCAGCGCTTGGTACGCCTTGGGAGAAGAAAGTTATGAAGAGCTCGCGGGCGGCTGATAGGTTCACATGCAAAAGGGCAATTACCAGGATAAGAACACTTGAAAGAAAGGCATTACCTGGGTCAGGGTTCTTGACAGGATGGTACTGCAGGGAGAGCTTGCAGTAGGGCATTGGCTTGGAATGGGATATATGCAAAAGCGCAGTTACCTGGGTCAGGGTTCTTGTCAGGGTGATACTGCAGGGAGAGCTTGCGGTAGGCCTTCTTGATGTCCGCATCTGATGCTCCTGGACTTAGCCCCAGGATGGAGAAGGGCTCGAAGGGCTGTGCCTGCATGCATGCACACACACAGGGACACATGTCATATCAAATAATGTCACATTACGGCATGCCTTGTCTCATTATGTGAGTAGACGACGTTTAAGGAGAGAAAAGGGTGAGGGGGAGAAGAGAAGAAAAAATTGAGGAGGGGGGAGAAAAGTGAGGAGGGAGAAAAGTAGGTGAGAGAAAGGGGAAGAAGTGAGGGGGTGACTTACATCGCGGTTGAGCACTTTGATATAGTGGAGTAGGGCCACCGTGGCGACCCACATGAGGATGAGGGTCCGTTTTGAATTGATGATATGTGTAAAGTATAGCACATCAGTGTGTAACGTACGTCTCGGTTGAGCACTTTGATGTAGTAGAGCAGGGCCACCATAGCGACCCACATGAGAATGAGTGTCACGTTCTGAACCGACAGGAACTTGGACACCTGTTTCAGGGCATGCATTGGAGGGAGGGAAGGAGGAAAGTGAGTAGGAGGGAAAAAAGTGAGGGGGGTTTCAACATGCGACCGACATGAGAATGAGCGTCACGTTCTGAACCGACAGGAACTTGGACACCTGTTTGAAGGAATTTATAGCGGCACAAGGGGGAGAAACGTGAGGGGAGTTTTGAGGCGCCTGGAAAGGCGAGCCACATGACAATCGTGTCGCGTTTCGGATCACAAGGATTTTAAAACCCTGTTTCTAGGGATTAGTTGGAGCAAGTAAACATTGAATTCAGGGTCCGGAAAGACCGGATGCCTGGTTACCCGGATCGCAGAACACCGTATCATGAACACTTTGCACAATAACGCATCACGACGAAGCTAATCGCGTCGCGACGCATCCGATCGCGTCACGTCGCACAGATCGCATAACTCACGCGAGCCCAGACGGTGGGACGGTTCTTCGGATCGCGGTCGCACAGTGAGCACGGGCAGTGCTGCGTTTGCTGCTTAGACGAGAAAAAGCCAACCAGGCGGTACAGCGTCCACGGTATTGCTAGTAGCGCGACGATCGATAACGCGAACACCGGAAACAGCGCGCTCATCTCCTCCTCTTGCGCCATAGCTGCCGAATTCCAATCCTCGCTATCGAATGATCCCCTTCTTTGGATTTAGAATTTCCGCGACAACAGTCTGAAATACGCTGCAAGAGATTCGATGGCAAAATGGGAAATTAAGAGTCTCTAATGGGATAGCGATACCCAAGCCGCAACGATCGGAGAGGCTGCAGAGATCAAGAGTCTAACCTACAACAACAAAATCGCACGGAGCTGGGGAAGGGGAGCGGCGAGGGGACAAGGAAGGCGACGGCAATGCGTAACCGACCCGCCGCAAACGGGGACTTTCTGCTCCAACAAAAGATCAGCGAATGGTGTGTGAGACTGGTCACAGGTGCTGCTGATCTGCATCTGTCGCTCCGAAGATCCCGATGCCAGTGACCATGGGATGGCTGATGGGGAGAACAAAGAGGTCTGGCTGGTGCAATGCTTGGTGTGTAATCAAGTTTGAGATTACAGCGCGTACATTTTCAGTTTGTTTACAGTTCATCCGTCGTGGTTTTAAACGAGACCAAACGGTGCACAGCGGTTTTTAGTTACCACCGTTTTGCACCGTGACGGAAGAGGAATAACCGCACAGAATGAACTGTACGCCAGTCGAAAACGTACGCGCTGGACCCGCCCTGAGCTGAAGTGTTTTGCAGTGTCGTTATACGCTTAACGAGAAGCTCAGCAGTGATGTAGTCCGCAGTGAACCCAGAAATCGTCTGATGTGGTGGAGCTCCGCACCCGCAATTTGTGTGGGGGCGAGAATTTGATTGGTTGATTCTCCCTCGGGATCCCGCACCTTGACCAGGCGACCAGCAGTGTTGAAGTTGAAACCCACAAATGTGCGCACCCATTTATCTGGACCAGGCGAAATCCACCGAGCTTGCACGAAGACAAATGCCTGTCGATGTTTCCACAGGTTTCCATTCTGGCGAAGAGGTTCTACTAACTGGGTAACCGGATGACAACATCCCCTTGGCGAAGAATTTATTTCTTTGTCCATTTCTTTTCCTGCCATGGCTGCCTGACATTCCTAATCATCCTGCTGCTTCCCTTCCGCTCCTCCAGTTCCGAGCTCGTGAATCTGACGTAGCTTCCCCGAACACCTAATTTTCGCAGCGCGTTTTCCTGTTTCTTTAGTCATCCACTGCGTTGGGCCAATCTTGGCTCGCGTGGTATCTGCTCGCTCATTCTTATCCTGTTGGCGTGGGCCAACATGGCGTTCTTATCATACGTCATTTACTTAATCTTCCTGCCGATTCGATGGCTGTTCTACCTTGTCATCGTGAAGGGATTTCATTACATCTTCCAAACGCTCGGATTTACGATCGGGTTGCTCGGCGGCTTAGTGGCTGGCTACTTCATTTTCATTCATAATCTCCCGACCGCTGTGGAGGTCAGTTCTTATAATTTCTCATGTGTTCTGCGACGCGTCTTTGTTTCCGGCTTATTCTTTTTGACATACGCCAATGCTTATAGCATTAAGACCCTCGCGCCTTTTTCTTTCTTCCCTCTTCGTTTCAAACCCCGAATAATCCCCTCACATCATCTTGCTCCTGCACTCGCAAGAAACAATTTCCTGGCGCTTCTTCACACATTCGCGGGTTTTATATCCTTCTTTTCTTTCCGCAGGCTCCGATTTATTATTTTCTGCTTCTTCTTTCCCCGGATTCTGATCTCCCTTTTTTTTTTGTTTCCGCAGGAGCCGGAGGTGAAGGAGCTCATCCCGGAGGGCGCGACGCTGAAGGAGGAGGAGCTGCAGGAGTATTACTCGTATCTTCCGCCATGGGTCAGCAACCCGGACTACGAGCGCGTTGATTGGATGAACAAGCTCATTGCTGAGATGTGGCCCTACCTCAACAAGGTAACTTTCAACTGCATCCTCACATATAGTGCAACATTTGTGATGAAGGAACATTCTGATGATAAACAAGCTCGTTGCCGAGATGTGGCCCTACCTCAACAAGGTAATTTCCTACTGTGCCCTCACAGCCGTCACAGCTGTGCTTATCCGATATGGCTGAATCCACTTTAGCACAGCGGTCACATCTCGTCACGCTGCTACATTGTCTTCTCAATTCATGCACCCATGCGTCGGTGTCCCTTGTGTGTCCGTGCGTCATTGAACGCTGTGTGTGTGTCTCCGCGTGTCCATCAGGCCATCAACGAGCAGATCAGGGAGATTGCTACGCCCATACTCAAGGCGCAGCAGCCCTTTGATACATCGCACCTCTCGTCACGTGTCCATTCCCCACCATCACGTTTCAACCCATCTCCCCAACGCTCTTTTGTGCGTGCATCAGGCCATCAGCGAGCAGATCAGGGAGATTGCGACGCCCATTCTCAAGGCGCAGCAGCCCGCGTTCATTGAGACACTTGCCTTCCAGGAGGTCGACCTCGGGACCATCCCGCCCGCCGTCCTTGGTTAGTCTCATTCAGGCTCTCTGCTGCGTGCTTTCTAGTGCTTGCTGTCTAGTGCGTGTTGTCTAGTGCATGCTCTCAGCAGCCAGCGTTCATTGAGTCGCTTGCCTTCCAGGAGGTCGACCTTGGGACCATCCCACCCGCCGTCCTTGGTTTGTCACATTCAGGCTCTCTGCTGCTGCTTGCTTTCTAGTGCGCGCTGTCTAGTGCATGCTCCCAGCAACCAGCGTTCATCGAGACGCTTGCATTCCAGGAGATCGACCTCGATCCCACCCGCTGTCCTTGGTTAGTAACTTTGTATGCTATATGCTCTCTGCTACATGCCCTTTCCTACATGCCCTCTGCTATATGGCCTCTCGCTCCCTCCCTCCCTCCCTCCCTCCCTCCCTCCCTCCCTCCCTCCCTCCCTCCCTCCCTCCCTCCCTCCCACCCTCGCTTCCTGCTCCCTATCGCAGCCATCAAGTCGTACAACACCACGAACAACGAGGTCATTCTGCAGGTCGCACTGCGCTGCGCTGGCACTGGCACTGCCTTCTGCTTCACCCTTCCCCCCCCCCTCCCTGCTGCCCCCCCCCCCCCCCCCCCCGTGCAGCCATCAAGTCATTTGACACCACGGACAACGAGGTCATCCTGCAGATGGCACTGCGCTGGGCGGCCAATCCCAACATCATTGTCGCTGCCTCCGCCAAGGGCTTTACCGGCACCGTGCAGGTGCGTGGGGTGGTGGTAGTGCTGCAGGCAGGGCTTGTATGTGCTGCTCAATGCTGTGTTATGTTTCGCTGGGCGGCCAGTCCCAACATCATCGTCGCTGCCTCCGCCAAGGGCTTTACCGGCACCGTGCAGGTGGGCAGGGTTGTGGTTGTGCTGCTGTGCTTACATGGGAACTTTGGGTGCTGCTCTTTTCTTCTTAACGTTTTGCTGGGTGGCCAATCCGAACGTCATTGTCGCTGCTTCCGCCAAGGGCTTTACCGGCACCGTGCAGGTGGGTGGGGTGGTGGTTGTGCTGCTGTGGTTATCTTACATGGGAATACTGTGTGCTGCTCTCTTCTTCTTCACGTTTCGCTGGGCGGCCAATCCCAACATCATCGTCGCAGCTTCCGCCAAGGGCTTGACTCCTTGGTCAATCTCCCTCGCCTCCCCTGTGCTGTTCCATGTGCCTGCCTGGCCCGTGCTGCCCTTGGCCCATCAGATCATCGACCTGCAGATGGCATCAACCGCACGCATCACGCTCAAGCCACTCATCCCCATCTTCCCATGCTTCTCAACCATCACCGTCTCGCTCATGGATAAGGTACCCGCCTTTTCCGTCCATGCCTCTTACACGCCGCTTTCACGCACCTTCTATCCCCTCTTCCCCCCTTCCTATCTTCCCCTGCTTCTCAACCATCACCATCTCTCTCATGGATAAGTTGCATCCCCCTTCCATGCCTCTTCCATGCCTCTTCCATGCCTCTTCCATGCCTCTTCCTTGCCTCTTCCGCACTGCACCCGGCGCCCACCACCCTGCATCCCTTCCCCTCCTTCCCATCCAACTGCTCCTGCCTTGCGTTGCCCTGCCCCCCGCCATCCCCCCTTCTATTTCTTCCCTCAACAGCCGCAGGTGGATTTCGGTCTAAAGGTGCTGGGACTAGACGTCATGGCAATCCCAGGCCTCTACACCTACGTGCAGGTATGTGCTGCTCTGCTGCTCTGCTGCTCTGCTGCTCTGCTGCTGTTCTGCTCTGCTGCTCTGCTGTTCTTCTGCCCTGCTGCTGTGCACGTCTCAGGACTTGCCTTGAACTGCAGGTTCATGTGCAGTTGAGCTTTCACACACCCACTCCTGCCTCAGCTCTCAGCCCTTCCACTTGCCTCCATTCTCCTCGAATAAAAGACTTTTGGCAGTGGAGTGCCCAGTATGGACATTTGGCTCTCTCCCTCTCACTTCTGGTTCCCTCTTTTGCTTACAGCCTCGCTGCTCCTTCCCCATTCATCCCATTTCATCGCGCCCCACTTCATCCCACTCCGCCACACTTCATCCCGCTTCCCTTGAGCAGAAGACCATCAGCAACACAGTGGCAAGCATGTACATGTGGCCCAAGGTGCTGGAGGTCTACGACGACCAGCCGCTGTGAGTTCCTCTCAGGGTCTCAAGCGGCAAAGATGCATGTGTGAGAGAGAGAGAGAGCACTGGTTATAGCCTGGGGGTGTCGCTGAGTGTCTCTAGGGGCCTCTCAGTGGCGAGCATGTACATGTGGCCCAAGGTGCTGGAGGTGTATGACGACCAGCCGCTGTGAGTGCCATGGGACCACACCACACCACCACACCACATCACACCACACCACACCACACCACACCACACCACGCCACACCAGCACATGTGGCCCAAGGTGCTCGAGGTGTATGATGCGCAACCTGGATGGAGCGATGAGCAAGTCCCACCCCTACGTGCCGTGCCGTGCGCTTCCCCACCCTTCCTCACACCCAGTCACACCCTTCCTCTTCCCTGCTCTCTGGCCCCCCACACACAGCGCCCCCATCGGCTGGCTGGTCATAACTCACATCAAGGGCACCAAGCTGCGCAACGTGCGCAAGTCCGACCCCTACGTGCGCTTCTCCCACCACTCACGCCCTTCCCCTTCCCTGCTTCCTGCCCCTCCCTACACACACAGCGCCCCCATCGGCTGGTTGGTCATCACGCACATCAAGGGCACCAATATGCGCAACATTGCGGGAGGCGTGATGAGCAAGTCCGACCCCTACGTGCGTTTCTCCATCGACGGACGGGCACTAGGCCGCCGCACCACGTCGGTCAAGAAAGACGATTTGGACCCCGACTGGGGCAAGGAGGAGGTGCTGGTGCGCGTGGCTGATCTGCAGAAGCAGAAGCTGCATGTTGAGGTCTTTGACAAGTCCTTCACGGTGAGTTGGGGGTTTGGGTGGAATGGGCTTTCGAGCCGACTCAGAAGTCAACTCTTTCATGGACCCTTACTGGGGCAAGGAGGAGGTGCTGGTGCGGTGCGGGTGGCGGACTTGCAGATGCAGAAGCTGCACGTTGAGGTCTTTGACAAATCGTTCACGGTGAGTTGGGTATCGAGTCGACCCAGAAGTTGCCTCTCTAGGTCACCCCGACTGGGGCAAGGAGGAGGTGCTGGTGCGCGTGGCTGATCAGAAGCAGAAGCTGCACGTTGAGGTCTTTGACAAGTCCTTCACGGTGAGTTGGGTATCGAGTCGACCCAGAAGTTGCCTCTCTAGGTCACCCCGACTGGGGCAAGGAGGAGCTGCTGGTGCGGGTCGCTGATCTTCAGAAGCAGGAGCTGCTTGATGAGGTGTTTGACAAGTCCTTCACGGTGAGTTGGGCTTTGGTGTGAAGTGGGCTTTCGAGCCGACTCAGAAGTCACCTCTCTAGTTGACCCCGACTGGGGCAAGGAGGAGGTGCTGGTGCAGGTGGCAGACCTTCAGAAGCTGAAGCTCCATGTCTAAGTGTTTGTCAAGTCCTTCACGGTGAGTTGGTAGCTCTTCTGAGCTCAAGCGTGGTCCAAATTGGGCCAGCGCACGACAACGGTGAAGAAGGACGATTTGGCCCGACTGTGGCTCGCTTTGCCAACCCTCTTGCTCAACCCCTCCTCCCCTTTCCCCCCCTCTCCTGCCACCAGAACAAGCCGGACAAGCTGATGAGCGTCACGCGGGTGGGGCTGGAGGGCGTGCACGAGGGCACTCCCAGAATTATGCTGACCTGCAACTGTGAACCGCTCACTTCCTCCCCCTTCCCCCTCTTCTTCCTTCCCCCTCACCAGAACAAGCCTGACAAGCTGATGAGCGTCACGCGGGTGGGGCTGGAGGGCGTGCACGAGGGCACTCCCACGCACTACGAGTCCCGCCTCGTCGCCCGCTTTGCTGACCCTCTTGCTCGACCCCTCCTCCCCCTTCCCCCTTCCCCCTTCTCTCTTCCCCCTTCCCCCTGCCCCCTTCTCCCTTCCTGCTTCCCCTTCCTTTTCCTAACCACCAGAACAAGCCAGACAAGCTGATGAGCGTCACGCGGGTGGGGCTGGAGGGCGTGCACGAGGGCACTCCCAGAATTATGCTGACCTGCAACTGTGAAGCGCTCACTTCCTCCCCCTTCCCCCTCTTCTTCCTTCCCCCTCGCCAGAACAAGCCCGACAAGCTGATGAGCGTCACGCGGGTGGGGCTGGAGGGAGTGCACGAGGGCACTCCCACGCACTACGAGTCCCGCCTCGTTGCCCGCTTTGCTGACCTCGAGCCGGGCGCGCAGACAGGCAGCAAGAAGGACCTCGGGTTCCTGGGCTTTGACATCAAGCTGCGGTGAGTAGCAGGTTGATTTAACCAGTAGTCATGCAGCGTGTTTAGGTGCAGGCAGTGACAAGGGTGTGGGCTTTTGTGTTTAGGCGCTCAGACAGGCAGCAAGAAGGACCTCGGGTTCCTGGGCTTTGACATCAAGCTGCGGTGAGTAACAGGTTGATTTAACCAGTAGTCATGCAGCGTGTTTAGGTGCAGGCAGTGACAAGGGTGTGGGCTTTTGTGTTTAGGCGCTCAGACAGGCAGCAAGAAGGACCTCTGTTAGAATTATATATATTGTAGCATGCTAAGCACATGTGACTGTACACCAATTGTGGTGTACAGTTGGGTTGGGACTACACCCAACATTGGGTGTAGCCTTGCACTTTGGGGTGCCAATCCACCCAATTGTGGTGGAGCCCCCAAATTGCAACCCTCTTGACTTTTTGGGTACCTCACTTCACAATTGAGGCCACCACAAGCCAAGTGGGCCTAGGGTTGCCACACTTCTTAGAAGTGTGGGCAACCCAACCCACCCCACCTATGGTTACCTCACTTCCCAAAGTGAGGCCAACCCAACCATAGGTTGGGTTCCTCCTTCCCTTCCAAGCTTCTCTCCCTCCCTCAAGTTATTTTTCTATGGGCCCACCCCACAGCCACAATTTCCCTCCTACGCTTAGCTCAACCTAGCATACTCTAGCAAGCGCATCGCCGCCTCCTTCCCTCGCCGTCGCGGCCATCCCGCCGCGCCGCCTCCTCCCCTCGCCGCCGCGGCCACTTCCGCCGCCGCCGCCTCCTCCCGTCGCCGCCGCGGCTATTTCGCCGCCGCCGCCTTCTCCCCTCGCCGCCGCGGCTGATTCCGCCGCCGCTGCCTCCTCCCTTCGCCGCCGCGGCCGATTCCGCCGCCGCCGCCCCCTCCCCTCGCCGCCGCGGCCGATTCCGCCGCCGCCGCCTCCTCCCCTCGCCGCCGCGGCCGATTCCGCCGCCGCCGCCTCCTCCCCTCTCCGCCGCGGCCGATTTCGCCGCCGCCGCCTCCTCCCCTCGCCGCCGCGGCCGATTTCGCCGCCGCCGCCTCCTCCTCTCGTCGTTGCGGCCGTTTCGCCGCCGCCGCCTCCTTCCCTCGCCGCCGCGGCCGATTTCGCCGCCGCCGCCTCCCCCCTTCGCCGCTGCGGCCGATTCCGCCGCCGCCGCCTCCTCCCGTCGCCGCCGCGGCCGATTTCGCCGCCGCCGCCTCCTCCCGTCGCCGCCGCGGCCGATTCCGCCGCCGCCGCCTCCTCCCGTCGCCGCCGCGGCCGATTTCGCCGCCGCCGCCTCCTCCCCTCGCCGCCGCGGCCGATTCCGCCGCCGCCGCCTCCCCCCTTCGCCGCCGCGGCTGATTCCGCCGCCGCCGCCTCCTCCCCTCTCCGTCGCGGCCGTTCCGTCGCCGCCGCCTCCTCCTCTCGCCGCCGCGGCCGTTTCGCCGCCGCCGCCTCCTCCCTTCGCCGCCGCGGCCACCTCCGCCGCCGCCGCCTCCTCCCTTCGCCGCCGCGGCCACTTCTGCCGCCGCCGCCTCCTCCTCTCGCCCCCGCGGCCGTTTCCGCCGCCGCCGCCTCCTCCCCTCGTCGTCGCCTCTCTCACACCGTCGTCGCCTGCGCCTCCCGCCGCGGCGCTCACATCCTCCCCCTTCCCCTTCTCCCCTCCCCTCCGGCAGTAGCGGCAGCAGCAGCAGCAGCAGCAGCAGCGGCAGCGGCAGCAGCGGCAGCAGCGGCAGCAGCGGCAGCAGCGGCAGCAGCAGCAGCAGCGGCAGCAGCGGCAGCAGCGGCAGCAGCAGCAGCAGCAGCAGCAGCCTGAGCAGAGCTCCATCCTCCTGCAGCAGCACCTCCCCCCCCCCCCCCCCCCCCCCCCCTCCCTCTTGGCCGCCGCGGGTCCACCCGCCGTCGCCCTCCTCCTTGACCGCCGCGGGTCCACCCGCCGTCGTCCCCCTCGAGGCCGCCGCGGGTCCACCCGCCGTCGCCCCTCATGGATACCACTCCTCCCCCTCTTCCCCCTCCCATTGACGCCTCCTCCGTCGACAAGCTCCAACTTGCCGCGGACCTCTCGGCGATCAATTGGCACTCCTTCGTCGGGAGCATCCGCCGCGTTCTCCAGGACGCATTCGTCGGACCCTACTGCGTCCTCGACGTCCTCCTCCGCCGCCCGCAAGCTCTCCAGCCCACGGCACCCAGTCACCCCGGCGAACCCCCTCCACCCCCCATTCCCCCTGGCCCTCCTCCTTCTGAACCCACCTTGGAGATCGCCACTACCCCAGCGCTCCAGAGTGCCGCCGACGCCACATTCCTCCATGACCGCCGCGAGTACCTCATCCGCAAGGCAGAGCACGAGGTCGCAGTCCACCATCACGACTTCGCAGTAGCGGAACGCGCCAACCGCCTGGCCCTCCTCGATGAATACAACACGGCCATGGTAGACTACCTCCCCAAGAGTATTGCATGGGCCGCTACTGACAACCGCGCCTGCACCATCCTCCTCGGCGCACTCCCTGATACCCTCATGCGCCGTTTCCAGGCTCGGGAGATGCGCGCCTCCCTCATCTGGGCCGAGCTCCAGGCAATGTTCGAGCGCCGCGACATCAGCTCTGTCGGCGCCCTGTTCCAGGAGTACTTCTCCATCACCCTCGCTACCTGTGACGGCGCAGTTGACTACGTGGGGCGCATGCAGGAGGTCGCTGACCGCCTTGCTGCACGCCAAGCTGCCCTCCCCGAGCCACTGCAAATCCACCGCCTCCTCTACAACCTCACCCCGGACTACGAGTCCCGCCTCCATGCCTTCACTGAAGCGAACGCCATGGCCGGCCTCAACGACGTGGTCCAATGGATCATCGACACGGAGGTCAAGCTCCGCACCCCCGTTGTCAACCTCACCACCCCTCAGCCCTCCTCCTCCAGCTCCCTCAATGCTACGCAGCCGCGCAACCAGGGTGGTCGCAGCGGTGGCGGTGGAGGCCGTGGAGCGGGTGGTGGTGGTGGAGGTCGTGGCGGTAGTGGTGGTGGTGGCGGTAGCCGTGGTGGCCGTGGTGGCGGTGGTGGTGGTGCTGGAGGACCGTCCGGTGCTAGTGGTGCTGTGACTCGAGGCGCTCGCCCTGGCACTCTCCCCCCATGCACGTATGTGCGCCGCCATGGTCCCCATGCTGGTACCCCTTGCGGCCAAACCAACCATCCCCCCAGCACGTGCTTCAAGGCGCTCGACGACGCCTGGTTTGACCGAGGTAACACTGGCACCCCTCCTCGCTGGAACACTGTCACCCCTCGCCCCTCCCTGGTGGATGTTCAAACCCTCCCATCTTTCCTTCCTGCTCACCTCCGCCTGGTTAGCCCCTCCCAGCCTTCCCAGCTGCAGCAATTCCAGCAGCACCAGCAGCAGCAGCATCAGTACTTCCAGCAGCAGCAGCAGCAGCAGCCGCAGTTTCTCCAGCCGCAGCAGCCGCCGCCGCCGCATTTCTTCCAACCGCCGCCGCAGCAGCAGCAGCAGTTCCTTCCCCCGTACTGGCAGCAGCAGCCACTGACCTTCGGCACGGCGGCTACGGCCGCCCATGCCTCCCTTGCTCCCCCCCCTCCCTGGGGTTCCCTCCCCTCTGCCCCCCCCAGTGTCCCCGACACTTCGGGCAGTTTCCTCGGTAATGTCAGTATTGCACCATCCGTCGCTTCCATGTATCCCTCTGCTATCAATGAAACTTCTTTCCAGTACCCCGTGTCACCTCCTCCTCCTTCTTCCCCCACCCTGGACTTCGTCCTTGATAGTGGGGCCACTGAAACCGCACTAAAGGACGCAGGTACTCTCACCCCCCTTCCACTTCCCACTCAGGTTCATGGAGCTGATTCCAGTTTTTCCATCCCTTGCACTCATCTCTCCACCCTCCCCTGCACTGCCTTCCCCTCCGGTAAAGTCACAGGCCTCCACATCCCCACTCTCCGCAACAACCTCATCTCCCACCGTGAGCTCCAAGGTGTTGGTATCACTGCCATCTACCCTGGTTATGCCAATTACTGTGACCTCTACCGGACTTCCTCTGGCCGCTTCCTCCTCCGCATCCCACTCTGCCCTCGCACTCGCCTCTACACTCTCCGCACACCTCGCCCATCCTACTGCCACGTCACCACCCGTGCTGGTACTTCCACCGGTCCACCCCCCCTCCTTTACTTCCCCCCTCCCCTCCCCTTCAGGTATCCTCTCCCTCCCCGCCGTCCTCCTCCTCCCCTCCCGTCCCCTCCATCACCCCATCTCCCTCCTCCTCCACTACCCTCTCGCACCCTGCCGTTCTCTTACACCACAGACTCGGCCATCCCAACTTCACCGCCCTTCGCACCACAGTCACCTCCCCCCTCCTCCGCAGCCTTCCTCCCGTCTTACCCCCGCTTCCCTCCTCCCCCTCTCCCCCATGCCCTTCATGCATTCACGGCAAGCTCAAGCAGTCACCCCACCACAGTCATCCCACCTTCGTCGCCGCCCCCATCGACCTTGTCCACATGGACCTCTGGGGCCCCTATCCCATCCGCTCCCGCCAGGGGCACCGGTACATGCTCGTCCTCGTTGACGACCACAGCCGGTACTCCACCACCTTCTTTCTTCATACGAAAGACCAGGTGCCGGCAGTGGTCATCAACTGGGCCGAGCTGTGCCGCAATCACTTCAAACGCCCCATTGGCCGCCTTCACTCTGACGGTGGGGGTGAGTTCATCAATAACACTCTCGCCACATACTGCAAAACCTACGGTATCCAACAGACCTCCACTCTTCCCCATTCCCCTCAGCAGAACGGCATTGCCGAGAGCCGCATTCGTGAGATCACCAAGATAGCTCGCTGTCTCATTGCTCATGCCTCCACCCCGCCTTCCCTCTGGAGCTATGCCCTTCTCCACGCCGCCCTTCTCCTTAATCTCCGCTCCCATCCTCAGCACCCTTCCTCCTCCCCCACAGAGCTTTGGTCCAACACCAAACCTGACGCTGCCGGCCTTCGAGTTTGGGGATGCAAGCCTACGTTCTCATTCCACCCGCCGATCGCTCCCGCGCCGCTGGCAAACTTGCTCCCCGTGCCCTGGAATGTGTCTACCTTGGGCACAACCGCGACTCCCCAGGCTACCTCTTCCTCCACCCTCCTACCAATTGCCTCATCCGCAGCAGCGACGTCGTCTTCGACGAGTCCGTCCCCTATTACACCACTCCTCCCCCTGATCCTCTCCCTCCTCCTACTCGCCCTCTCGCCTGGACCGACACCGTCCTCCCGCCTCTCCTCCCCTCCGCTCCCCTCCTCCCACCTGTCGCCGCTCCACTCCCGCCTCCCTCCTCTGCCGACGTCTACGACCCCGCTGCACCCGCCTCCCCCGCCCACTCAGCTGCACCCCCTCCCTCCCCTCCCTCCTCCCATCACTCTCCCGCCCTTCCGCAGCAGCAGCAGCAGCCGGGGCAGCAGCAGCAGCAGCAGCCGGGGCAGCAGCAGCAGCAGCCGGAGCAGCAGCAGCAGCAGCAGCAGCAGCAGCAGCAGCAGCAGCAGCCGGAGCAGCAGCAGCCGGGATGGCAGCAGCAGCAGCAGCCGGTGCAGCAGCAACGGCAGCAGCAGCAGCAGCAGCAACGGCAGCAGCAACAGCAGCAGCGGCCTCAGCAGGGGCAGCAACCCCATCGCCCGCAGCGACAGCGCGCCACCTCCCGCTCCTCCCCCTTTCTCCTTCCCCGCATGCACACCCGATCTCTGGATCCCATCCTTGGGACCCCTCCTCCTCCTTCCCTGCAACTCCTTGAGGACTCTCACGAGGAGTTCCTCGCCATCCAGCAGCACACTCCGTTCATAGCCACCCTCTTTCTTGACTTCCTTGGCTTCCCCGTCCTCGGCGCCACCTCCACCCCCACCATCTTCACTCCCTCCACTTTCCAAGAGGCCATCACATGCCCTGACGCGGACAAGTGGATAGCAGCAATCTTCCAGGAGTGCGAGGCGTTTATCCGCAACGACTCCTTCGTCGACGTTCCCCTCCCTGACGGTGCCAATCTTGTCGAGGGCAAGTGGGTCTTTCGGGTGAAGCAACTGCCGGACGAGGAACCGGTCTACAAGGCCCGCTACTGCGCCAAGGGCTTTACACAGACACATGGGGAAGATTTTTGGTTCACTTACGCCCCCACCGCCAAACCCCCCACCCTTCGCGCAACCCTCGACGTTGGTGCGCGTGATAACATGGAGATCGACTGCATGGACGTCTCCAATGCGTTCCTACAGGGCGACCTGCATGAGCGCATTTTCCTCCGCCGGCCACCTGGGTTCCATGCAGCCTTCCCTGAGAACACTGTCTGGCAGCTGCGTCGCCCTGTCTACGGCTTGAAGCAGGCGCCGCGCGAGTGGCATGCAAAGCTGGCTGCCACCTTAGGGTCACTCGGCTTCTCTCCCTCCCACTCCGACGCCAGCCTCTTCATCCGCTCCTCCCCTCGCCGCTTCTTCATCCTGGTGTACGTGGATGACATGATCCTGCTCTCTGACACGAAGGCCGACATGGAGCAGATGAAGCAGTCCCTGCAGCAGCGTCTCAAGTGCAAAGATCTTGGAGCCCTCACCCACTACCTGGGCATGGCTATCACTCGTGACCGCTCTGCTCGCACCATCACCCTCTCCCAGTCCCATTACATCGGCCAGATCTTGGAGAAGTTCGACATGGCGCAGGCCAAGCCCGTCTCCACCCCCCTCCCCTTCGGCCACCAACTCGTCCCACCCACCTCTCCCACCTCCTCCCCTCACCCCTATGCCGAGCTCGTTGGGTCCCTGATGTACGCGATGATGTGCACCCGCCCCGACCTCGCCTATCCCATCAGCGTGCTCGCTCGCTTCGTCGGCACCGGCCGCCACAGTGAGGAGCACTGGAAGGCGGCCAAGCGGGTCCTCCGCTACCTTCGAGGGACCAAGGACCTTGCCCTCACCCTTGGCGGTTCTTCCCCTCCTCTCCTCTCGGGCTTCAGCGACTCCTCCTGGGCCGACACGCAGCCGGACCGCCGCTCCTCCCAGGGCTACGGCTTCACCCTTGGCAGCGGCCTCATCAGCTGGCGCTCCACCCGCTCCTCCGCCATCTCTCTCTCCACCTGCGAGGCCGAGCTCTACGCCGGCACCATGGCCGCTCAGGAGTCCCGCTGGCTCTGCTTCCTCCTTGCCGAGCTCGGCGCTCCCCAGACATGCCCCACTCTCTGGTGCGACAATGCCAGCACCATCCATCTCACTGAGGACCCTGTCTACCATGCCCGCTCCAAGCACATCGAGCTCCGCTATTTCTTCATTCGCGAGCTTGTCCAGAAGGGTCTCATTGCCGTTCGCAAAATTGCGACCGAGGCCAACCTGGCCGACATTTTTACCAAGGCCCTCCTTCGCCCTGCGCACTCCGCTTTCCTCCGCCTCATCGGCCTCGCTCGCCCGGGCGCTCCTTGATTCAGGGGTTGTTCTCTTCTTGTGTTAGCATGCTAAGGGGTTGTGTTAGAATTATATATATTGTAGCATGCTAAGCACATGTGACTGTACACCAATTGTGGTGTACAGTTGGGTTGGGACTACACCCAACATTGGGTGTAGCCTTGCACTTTGGGGTGCCAATCCACCCAATTGTGGTGGAGCCCCCAAATTGCAACCCTCTTGACTTTTTGGGTACCTCACTTCACAATTGAGGCCACCACAAGCCAAGTGGGCCTAGGGTTGCCACACTTCTTAGAAGTGTGGGCAACCCAACCCACCCCACCTATGGTTACCTCACTTCCCAAAGTGAGGCCAACCCAACCATAGGTTGGGTTCCTCCTTCCCTTCCAAGCTTCTCTTCCCAAACTATGTATGCTAGGTTTGCTCTCTAATCAAATCACTTGTTCAATTCACATCTTTCACAACCTCGGGTTCCTGGGATTTGACATCAAGCTGCGGTGAGTAGCAGATTGATTCAAACAAGTTGATCTAAACAGTTTGATTTCAACAGGTTTATGTTAGCAGTTTGATTTAAGCAGTTACCAAGCAGCATGTTCCCTTTCTCTTCGCCTCTCCCCTCCCTCTCTCCCTTCAGTCCACTGGCAAAGGGAGAGGCAGAGATGGCAGACGATGTTAAAAGCGAGGCCTTCCCCTCGTGGCTCAACGTGGGGGGCAGCCGGGTCCTCCTGTCCTCACCTCCCCTGTCTCTCCTCCTTTTCTCTTCCCCTCTCCCCTCCCTCCCTCCCTTCAGTCCGTTGGCAAAGGGAGAGGCAGAGATGCCAGACGATGTGGAAATCGAGGTCTTCCCCTCGTGGCTCAACGTGGGGGGAGGACGCCTGCGCATAATCCTGGGGGAGGGCGAGAACCTCGAGACCAACAAGCACGCCAACCCCTTCGTGGTGCTGCGCTTCCGAGCGCAGGAGTGGGCGAGCAAGGTGCACAAGAAGGCGGCAGAGCTGACGTTCGATGAGGACGACAAGTGGGAATTGCTGCTGGACGAGGCTCCTGCCAAGGACGTGCTGCATGTGAAGGTCTACAGCAAGAACTTGAGCACGCTCTCTATCTCCTCCTCCAAGGTACGCAGTTAGAACCCCTTCAGTCACCGCTCTCCATCTCCTAGCGCCGTACCGTACCACTCTCTCCGCCTCTCCTCCAAGGTACGCACCTCCACCTTCAAGGCACTCTGCTCCTCCTCCAAGGCACGGGTGGACGAGCAAGGTGCACAAGAAGGCGGCAGAGCTGACGTTCGATGAGGATGACAAGTGGGAACTTCTGCTGGATGAGGCTCCTGCTAAGGACGTGCTGCATGTGAAGGTCTACAGCAAGAACCTGAGCACGCTCTCCATCTCCTCCTCCAAGGTACGCTCTCTATCTCCTCCTCCAAGGTATGTGCCTGGAGCTACTTCATTCTCTCCTCTAGCACTGTATCTCAGCCTCAGTCTCTCCATGTCCTCCTGCGAAGCACGTGCTGCATGTGAAGGTCTACAGCAAGAACATGAGCACGCTCTCCATCTCCTCCTCCAAGGTACGCAGTTAAAACACCTTAATTCACCCCTCTCCATCTCCTAGCACCGTTCCGTATCACCTCTCGCCTCTCCTTCTGCAAGCCGCCTGCTAAGGACGTGCTGCATGTGAAGGTCTACAGCAAGAACATGAGCACGCTCTCTATCTCCTCCTCCAAGGTACGGGCTTGACGCACCTTCCTTCACCCCTCTCCATCTCCTAGCACCGTACCGCAGCACCCTAGCCTCTCCGCATCCAAGGTATCCACCACATCCAAGGACGTGCTGCATGTGAAGGTCTACAGCAAGAACATGAGCACGCTCTCCATCTCCTCCTCCAAGGTATGGTGTGGTGTCAGAGGCACCTTCATCCACCTCTTTCTCGTATATCTTTGATGCTTGGACGGAGCTTCCTCTGCTTCTGGATGAGCCGCCTGCTAAGTACGTGCTGGTCATTCCCTCCCCATTCCCTTTTCCACTCCTCCCAACCGCCACGGGACCTTATCGGTTACTGCGACATCAATCTATCAGACGTGCTGGCCAATGACGGGCGGCTCAACGCCTTGTACCTGCTCTCAGACTCGTTCTCCCTGTGTCATCCTGTCATCCCTTTTCCACCCCTCCCTACCACTACAGGACCTTATCGGTTACTGCGACATCAATCTATCAGACGTTCTGGCCAATGACGGGCGGCTCAACGCCTTGTACCTGCTCTCAGACTCGTTCTCCCTGTGTCATCCTGTCATCCCTTTTCCACCCCTCCCTACCACTACAGGACCTTATCGGTTACTGCGACATCAATCTATCAGACGTGCTGGCCAATGACGGGCGGCTCAACCAGTTCTACCTGCTTGCTCTTTGCTGTTCTTTCCTTTCCCGCTTCATTCTTCTTCCCTCGTCAACACAGGACCTCATCGGTTACTGCGACATCAATCTGTCAGACGTGCCAACGACGGGTGACTCACACTCAGTCGATTCATCTCACCCCCACCCCCTCCCTCCCCATTCCCTCCTTATTCCCCTCCGCATTCCCCTCCACATCCCCCTCCACAGGACCTCATTGGGTACTGCGACATCAGTCTATCAGACGTGCTGGCCAATGACGGGCGACTCAACCAATTCTACACGCTCTCCGACTCGCCCAAGAACGGGCGCATCAGGATCGAGGTCCAGTGGCACGAGCGTACACCCGAGTCAACCGTGGTCAACGAGCCGCCTCCCGCAAACCGCATGCAGTAAAGAGGTCAGGGGAGGGCGAGGGGAGGGCGAGCTGCTTGCTGCCGAGGTGGCACGAGGGTGCAGTGGATGTGGAGGCGAGCTGCTTTCTGTTATCAGGGGTGGCATGAGCGCACACCCGAGTCAACCGTCGTCAACGAGCTGCCCTGTGCCACCCGCGTGCAGTAGAGGCCGCCGCCTGATGGAATGGAGGAGAAACAAACCACTTGGTGTCACCAGGGTGCCGGTTTTTGAGATTTCTCAAAAACCAGGAGAAACAAACCTCCTGGTGTCACCAGGGTGGCATGAGCACACCGCGAACTCAACCATTTTCAATGAGCCTGTGCCTGTCATTAGAGTGCAGTACAGGCCATCACCTGCCACCAGCGTGCAGTACGAGGGGAGTTGGTGTGGTGAGCTGTGCTTGAATGTGATTATTTGGTGCGACAATGGATTGCTATGAGATGGCTGGGTGTTAGAAGATTGAGCTGCAGTGAAGTGACTCCGCAACACGTGCACCTCAACTGGGGGGGTGTGTGTGGCACGCAGTTCTTTTGTAGCTGGTGCTAGTGTAGTGTAGCCAAGGTAGAGTCACTGCAGGGCTTTGAATAGGAGGCTGGTTGTGATTACCGTAGAAGTTGTTACAGGCTTGTTGAATTGGGTAGTGGGAAGTGATGGTGTGTTGTACGTCATTGCGGTGAATTGACATGAGGTGCTAGTCAGTTTCACTGAACAAGATTGACTCAAGCAATGATTTACACTTTTACTGTAGATTTTGGATTATTGGTGTGGTGGTGACCCCACAGCTCCAAATTTCCGAATGTCATTTTTCATGCAGTCAGCCTCAATACATGTTTAAAGCCAGACACATTCATGCATTCAAGAGCAGCAGGACAGCATCAGGCCCCACATGGTCGTCAGCAGCAGCCGACATGAGAGCACACTCGTCCTTCAGTGCTTGGCCTAGCATCTCAGCAGACAGGCTGTCTCCCGGGCACAGCCCCAGCGCCTGCTCATGCTCATGGGGGGTGGGGGTTGGGCTTGTGGGGAGAGCGGGTCAGATCTGCTTTTGAGGCGCCTCAAAACATGTCCTTCAGTGCTTGGCCTAGCATCTCAGCGGCAAGCTGTCCCCCGGACACAGCCCCAGCGCCTGTTCATGCTCAAGGGGGTTAGCAAGAAGGGGGAATCAAGGGGGGTGAAAGATGCATCTGACAAACATAACCAGGCTTACAGAACCCTAGAGCCTGCTTATGTTTGCGAGCAGTGGTTGGGGAGGGGGAAAGATAAGGGGAATAAGAAAACAAATGCTTCCATAATACCCCACTTGACATGACGGGAAGGGTGAAAAGGGGCTTGGGGAGTGGGGACAGGCGGGAAGGAGGGGAGCGGGGGATGTGCTGTGATGCATGGTGCGCTAGAGTCCATTTACACCTGGTGCGACTTAGCGACAGCAGCATGTTTCCACTATTGACTTGTGCAGGAACAAACAAAGGCAGCAAGAAGCACAGAGCGGGTTTGGCTAAGGGACTTTCTAAACAAAGAACAGATAGCTTGTTGGGAACGGGATGAGGTTTGTACAACAGTAATAAGTGCCAATCCCACCTTGTGGTAGAACTCAATAGCGGGGATGAGGTTTCCCTGCAGGTGGTACGTGAAGGCCATGGCTGCAAAGGTGCTGGCAGTGTTGGAGCGGAGAGAGAGAGCCTGCTCATACACCATCAGCGCATCGCTGTATCTCCTGCTTGGATAAATGGGGGAATGGGAAAAACCGGAGGAGGGTGAAGTAGGGGGAAACGAAGGTGGTGAGTGAAGGCTATAGCTGCGAAGGTGCTGGCAGTGTTGGAGCGGAGAGAGAGAGCCTGCTCATACACCATCAGCGCATCGCTGTATCTCCTGCTTGGATAAATGGGGGAATGGGAAAAACCGGAGGAGGGTGAAGTAAGGGGAAACGAAGGTGGTGAGTGAAGGCTATAGCTGCGAAGGTGCTGGCAGTGTTGGAGCGGAGAGAGAGAGCCTGCTCATACACCATCAGCGCATCGCTGTATCTCCTGCTTGGATAAATGGGGGAATGGGAAAAACCGGAGGAGGGTGAAGTAAGGGGAAACGAAGGTGGTGAGTGAAGGCTATAGCTGCGAAGGTGCTGGCAGTGTTGGAGCGGAGAGAGAGAGCCTGCTCATACACCATCAGCGCATCGCTGTATCTCCTGCTTGGATAAATGGGGGAATGGGAAAAACCGGAGGAGGGTGAAGTAAGGGGAAACGAAGGTGGTGAGTGAAGGCTATAGCTGCGAAGGTGCTGGCAGTGTTGGAGCGGAGAGAGAGAGCCTGCTCATACACCATCAGCGCATCGCTGTATCTCCTGCTTGGATAAATGGGGGAATGGGAAAAACCGGAGGAGGGTGAAGTAAGGGGAAACGAAGGTGGTGAGTGAAGGCTATAGCTGCGAAGGTGCTGGCAGTGTTGGAGCGGAGAGAGAGAGCCTGCTCATACACCATCAGGGCATCGCCATATCTCCTGCTCAGGGTGGGGAGGGCAAAGGGCAAACACAAAGGAAGGAAGGCGGTTGGTCACAAAAAAGGGCGTTGCCTCACTGGCCTCACTCGCCCCATTTTCCTCCAACATTTCCATCAACCCAATCCCCCCACCCATTCCCCCACCCCATTCTCCCGAGCCCTTGTCCCCCAACCCACTAACATCAACCCATTCCCCTCACCTCATTCCCTCCACCTCGTTCCCCTCACCCCATTCCCCTCACCTCATTCCGTCACCTCATTCCCCTGAACCCATTCCCCTCACCTCATTCCCTCACCTCATTCCCCTCCATTCCTCTCACCTCATTCCCTCACCTCATTTTCCGGTACGAGTGACCGAGGTTGACCACGGTTGACTCCCAAAGACCCAGCGACTCTGCCACTACAGCCTGCCGCCCTGCTGCAGCATTTGAACTCCCACGTGCCCCCTCGCACTCTGCCCCTCCTCCCTCTCCCGCTGCTGCTCCGTACCCTGCCACCAGCCGTAGAGCCACTTCAAAGTGCCGCGCTGCTGAGGTGAAACTGGGACGTACAAAAGAGGTTGCGTGGGGAGGGGAGGGGAGGGGAGGGTGTGGGGAGGGAAAGGGAAGGGGAAGTAAGGTATTGGGGGTCTTAGCTGCTGCTTCTCTGCATCCTACCAAAAGTCGCCGTGCCACCTCCAACCAATGCACTGCTGCTGTAAACTAAGGCTTCTCGATACATATGGTGGGAGGAAGGTGCGAAACGGGGAGAGGGGGGAGAAGAACACTAGGCAATAAAATCATTATCTTAAAAGGAGGAGGGGGGGAGGGGAGGGGGGGGAAACCGGAAAATCGGAGAAGCAAGGAGGCATGGGACTTACTCGAGGCTTCTGTAGGCAATGACTCCCAACTCGTTGTGCACCAGCGGGTCTGAGGGGCACAGCCTGCGCGCCTCATCCAAGAACTGGGCATCGGGGGGGGGGGGGGGGGGGGGCAAGGGGAGGAGGGAAGAGGAGGGAGAAGAGCTCGTTGTGCACTAGCGGGTCTGAGGGGCACAGCCTGCGCGCTTCATCCAAGAACTGGGCATGGGGGTGGAACGGGTGGGGGAGAAGCGGAAATAAGGGGATTCAGAAAGATGACAGACGGTACAGAAGGGAAGAAGGGGGAGAGGGGAGGAGGTGGGCGAGGGGAAAAGGGGGAAAACGGGAGAAGGTGGGAGTGGGGAGAATGGGAAAGTGGGGAGGGGGGGGGGGGGGAAGAATGCATCCCGTCTTGTGAAAGTGAAACCGGAGAAATAAGAACACGAGATATTGGAACTTGCATGCAGCAGCTAAATATCCGGCTATACAAGGGTTGACACACGAGCTGACTCACATGCAGCGATAGACTGAGGTTGTTGGAGCGTGCATATTCCATGCCAATGCACACCAGAGGCACGTGGAAGCTGCCACAGAGACAGGAAAGGGGTGGGGAGATGCGGAGAGCCAAGGGATGGGCCATGCAAAAGGGTGGAGGAGGGCGAAATGGAATGTATTACTGTGCTACACGAATATTTTCAAGGGTATCTTGTGGCCATGGGTGATGGAGGCACATGGACGCACCACATCCCACCCCACCACACCACATCACACCCCACCCCTCCCCACCACACCCCACCCCTTCCCACCAGACCCCACTGCACCACACCCTACCCCGCACCATACCCTGTGAAGAGCCGCACAGCCGTCCGATAAGCCACCATGGCCTGATCCGTCTCCTCCTGTGCCGCATACGTGTGCCCAAAGCCCATCCACGCGGGGGCGAAGGCAGCACTGACGGTGGTGGCCTTGCAGAAGAACCGCCTCGCCTGATCGTGCTGCCGGATGCAGTAGTAATAGCACGCCACTGCAAACCATGCCAGTGCCCTGCCAAGGGTGTGGTATACCGTGGGTGGGAGTAACAGGAACAATAATAGGGGGCTTTTTGAGTTCTCTAGAGCACCTTCATGGTGGTGGCCTTGCAGAAGAACCGCCTTGCCTGGTCGTGCTGCCGGATGCAGTAGTAATAGCACGCCACTGCAAACCATGCCAGTGCTCTGAAGAGAAAGCATGAGTGGGTGGAAATAGAAACAAATACAGCACTAAATAGCTCGTTTCTCCGGCCAAAGTGCACCGTTGCTACCGCACCCAGAGCCACTCAAGAGGTGCTGGCACTGCTATGCTGCAATACCATCCACTCACGTGTTGGGGTGGTCGTCCACGAGCTGATGAGCCGCTCTGAAGAGCTCGTTCCTCCTGCCCAAGTGCATCTCTGCTACCAGATGAGTGGGGATTTCGGTCCAAAGCACTGCCGTTGGGGCTGCGCTGCTACAATACCACCACCATCCACTCACGTGTTGGGGTGGTCGTCCACGAGTTGATGAGCCGCTCTGAAGAGCTCGTTACTCCTGCCCAAGTGCACGAAGTGCACCAAGTGCACCGCTCAAGCCTTTATAGACCACTCGCATGCTACCATCCACTCACGAGTTGGGATGGTCATCCACGAGTTGGTGTGCCGCTCTGAAGAGCTCGTTCCTCCTGCCCAGGTGCACCGCTGCTGCACCCAGAGCACTGCTATAAAATAATACCACCATTAACTCACGTGTTGGGATGGTCATCCACGAGTTGGTGTGCCGCTCTGAAGAGCTCGTTCCTCCTGCCCAGGTGCACGGCTGCTACCAGATGGGTGGGGATGCAGCGAGTGTCGTGCGGGTCTCGATCCAATACACTGCCGCGGGAAGGGGAAAAATGGGATAAGCAGCAAGGTTCGAAGAGGGAGATGAACAGGAAGGAGGGAGGAGGGACAAGCAGCAAGGGAAGAGGACAGAAGGAGGCATAATGAAAGCTGGATTTTTAGGAGGATGATTGCCACAGTAACTCACTGCTTTGTGATCCGATACGCATCCTCGTATCGCCCCACGTGCAGCATCAGCTCAGCACGGCTCGTTGCCACGTCACCACTGCCGCCCAGCAACCCTTGCTCCACCGTCCTCCCTCTTCCCCTCCCACCACCACCACCACCACCACCACCGTCTTTTGAAGCCCATCCTAGCCCAACTCCTACCCCTGCCTTCTTCCCAACTCTCTCCTCGTTGTCACCCACTCCCTGACCAGCGCCATTTGCAGCATCACCCCAACCAGTAGCAGCCAAACCACCAGCAGCAGCAGCAGCTGCGGCGGCGGCGGCGGAGGCAGGTGCAGGCGTTTGCGAGGATGTGGAGGTGGGGCGAGCAGAGGTTCGTCTGGTGCCTAGACGGGTAGGCTGGTTGGAGAGAGGCGAAGGGCCTTCCAGCAGCTTCAGCTGTTGCTCCACTGCGTCCTCCCGACCATACTGAATGGGAACAGAAACATAACAGAAACATAACAGAAACATAACAGAAAGGCAAACGCGCACGTGAGATGAGAGATTGTTATGAGAGTCAAAGCAGGAGCCAAGGAGATGGGGCCAACAAGAGAGAGCACACGTGATCACATTTACGAGAACACAGAAATGGACTTCGTTTTCCTATAAAGGGGTACGGGTGCAGCAAACGGCAGGCAGATTGAAGGACTTGACCAGGTCGACTATTTTAGTCGATTAAAACACATATGCACCTTCTTGCAGCGGCACGAGTAGAGCAGACGCAGCCACTCAAAGCCAGCAGGGATGTTGAGAGACTCGACCAGATCGACCTCTGCACAACACATATGCACATGGACGACAGATGTGCGGCAGAGGGACAGCAGACGAAGAGCATCGCAGTGACCCTCAAAAGTATTGTAAAATCTGAAGTAATTTAGGTAGAGAAACTGAGGACGTAGAAGCGAACAAAGGGAGGAGCGCAGTGTTGAGATGTCTCACGGGTCAAGTAGCGGGTTCTATAAGCTGAATGTGCAAAAGGCCACAGCAAATTGCATGTCATTTAGGGTTTTACGGAAAACAATAGCACAGCTTAACATTCACCAAACATTGACGAGTGTGTGAGAGGGGGAAAGGTAGAAGCGAGGGTCAGATAGCGGGTTTTCTAGGCCCTAGGTGCGAGTCGTCACAGCATGGGAGCCCATGAGGCATCCCGTGACTCGGTGCCCAGTGCGCTTCATCACTCCCCCATCTTCATACTCTCAATCAGCAACAAGTTAGCTGATCTGGGTTGACACGGACCCAGCACGCTCAAGGGTAAATAGTCAATTGCCACGAGTCACATTATTAGGACATACCGGAAATACTAGATTGCAAGACCACTGCCACCTCTGGCTCATGGCCCTCCGTAATCACCAAGTCATCCTGTATCAATTGCTGCTCGAATCACGTCGCTCACCTTGCTCTGTTGTTAGCATATGGTTCTCCATCAGCTCGTCAAAGGCCTGGAGCGACAGCCACACGCGAACAGAGATAGACACAGGGAGGAACGCGGTAAGTGATGACGGCTCTTACACTGTAAACACACAGCTTGTTCGTTGTGGGCACACAGGGGGGTAAGCAATAAGCAGAACACAAAGAAACTGGAGACGCACCTCTGAACAAAACGGATCAGCCTGTAGCGCAGCTGAAAGCCTGATACGTGGAGAGCGACAAGGTGGGGGGGGGAAGGGAGGAGAATCGTCACAAAGGGATAAGCCTATGAGAAAAGCTGAGCGGAAGAAGAGGAGTCGGGAGAACAAGAGGGCAGCACAAGGCACAAGTGTGAAGATTAACGAGCCGAAGATTGTCGGCTGGACCATGAATTGATTGCCAGCACGCAAGCATGCTCAGATTCAAGCGTTGTGTAATCAGAGCCCATTTGGGTTGTCAGGATTTGATGGTGCTGTGAGAATCATCATGGCAGGCGGCATATGCACACAAACAGAGGAAGACCAAAAGCCAGACCCCTGGGGAAGACTGGAACAGACTTCTAGGGGAAACGATATATAAAGACCATATTGTAGAACGAATGAAATGATTGAAAAAGCGTGGCTGCAAGGCACAATTATGGAAACGAAATCATCAAGGACGCAGACCCATAGATTGTATCAGTCAACGAACATGCTCAGATTCAAGCGTTGTGTAATCAGAGCCCATTTGGGTCGTCAGGATTTGATGGTGCTGTGAGAATCATCATGGCAGGCGGCATACGCGCGGACACAGGGGAGAAGGTAAACTAGATTTTCCATGCAAAGAAAAGGGAAAAAAAAAAAGAGTAAAGAACATAACGTAACTTAGATTAGCAGTTCAAGCAATAATTTGATTCGGACAGTAACGGCAACGATATGGATAATGTGCAATAACATAGATCTGCTCAGACACAGTAAATGTTGTGTAATCAGAACCCAGCATTAGGGTTCAGGATTTGATGGTGCATTGTTTGTCGTCACAGCAGAACAGATAGCACGACTGCAGGTTCAAACAAAAACTGAAAAGTATATGCGTAAAAAGGAAAAGTAGGAGGGGGGGTCAGATAACGGGTTTTCTAGGCCCTAGGTGCGAGTCGTCACAGCATGGGAGCCCATGAGGCATCCCGTGACTCAGTGCCCAGTGCGCTTCATCACACCCCTTCAAAACGTATTTTCTCTGGCTGCTATTTCACTGCACAGATACGGCGACACGCCAGGCGTAATGCTAAGAGTGTACACAGAAAAGAACCTGATGGCCGACGCCAAGATTTCATGATGGATTGCTTATGACCATGGCGGATTGCAAAAAAGCCAACGGACAGCAAGAAACACGCAAGTGGATATAGTTTTACAGAGGACAAGTTGTAGTGTGGAGGGTCAGGTAGCGGGTTTTCTAGGCCCTAAGTGCGATTCGTCACAACAAGAGAGCCCATGAGGCATCCCGTGACTCGGTGCCCAGTGCGCTTCATCACACCCCCCGCACTGCTCTTTATCGCGCACATCTCGTACTCGTTCGCAGAAAGAACCGATTCGAAGGAGGTAACTACACGACGTACCAATGAATCGCTTTTGGTCGATTTCCGAGAGCCTCATACGCGCGTCCGCGGATCAGATTGAACGCAGCTGCGGGCTGCAGGTCAGCAAGGTAGCAGGGAAGCCACAAGCCAGGCAAAAAACGACATTAGCGGGAGACGCATATGAGGTCACGACACATGTAACCGAACAAATGATAGAATGCGGTACATTGAGAGGGTAGAGATGATGCACATGTCACAGCATGTACCACTTCCGCTCAAGTCAGAGCACAGGTGATACCTTGATTCCATTCCGTGGCGAATCTTCAGACGCTCCTCCAAATGTCGGGGTCGACAGATCCAATCTCGTCGGAGCAATACCGTCAGTGGGCGTGAGAAATCCTGCACCAGGTACCGGCGTAACCGGGAAGCCGGACCAGCTCTTCCCAGCAGTAGCTCCAAAGTTGTTAGCGTCTTCCAGCAATGCAAGGCATTCCTCCCAGTCGTTGACTTGCTCCTGCTCAGAACGTCACCATCATACGAGTCCAGTGAGGCCTCTCGTCCGCCTGCAGGTCCTACACCACATCAGAAGAGAACCCAAAATGCGAAAGCGACCGATCCCATTAAGCTACAATAACGATGTTCAACATTAGCTCCAAATTGCTCAGTATGTTAACATTACTCAGGATACAAGTGATAAGCGCGGTTGAAGGGCCAGACGTGATAGAAACACGAACAAATAAAAGAAGAAACAAAAGACGTTTACGAAAATAAGAAGTGAAGGATCACTAACCAAGCATTTCGCTGCAAGAAGTCGAAAGCGAGTGTCGGAATGGACAAGATCCTCGGCCCGCAAAAGCCTCAATGCTCGTCTGAATTGCCGCGAATTATAGTAGCATCGTGCCAAAAGAAGGACGTCCTCAGGATCCTGAGAAGATAAGCAAGCGAGCTTATCGGCGAGGAACGAAGCGGAGCTAATCAGATTCTTGTCCAGGCAATCTCGGACGATCCCACGTAGACAATCTAGCTCTGACATGGCGACAAAGAATTCTAGACCATTCGAAGAATGTAGTATTGAGATAGGAAAGACAAGATCCGTGGAGAGATAGAAACGTTCGCTCCTGACGAACTGCAGCGGAAACCACAGCAGATTCAATGGTGCTGATTCAGATGAAGGTGAGATTTGAAGAAGAGGCTGGAGGTAATGGATGGAAGACCTCGATAATGGATGGAAGACCTCCCAGGCCACAACAGGTCCACTGAACTGAACTCGTTTTGGATGCAAGAACTCGTTATATGTGTCAAAAGCTTTGGCAATAGCGGATGACAGAATGTATTGGAACCGATCACTGTATGGAGAATTTTCGTGTAGTGTATTACCCCGATATGGAACGTAAGTTGTACGTGCAGTGTACCGAGAACTAGCGACCGTTGCACGAACTTTGGGACTGTCAGGGCGGGAAACGGGCTGTTTCTCGGCGAATCGGCGAAGGTGCGATGACACATCGCCATACCAGTCAGAACACCGAACTTGCGCGGCGGATCTCCTCTCCGCTCCGCCAAAACGTTCCGCGGGTGCAGGTTCCGCATCTTCTTCCGCCAACTTCCCTCTCTAGGGAAGGTTTGGCAGTCAGTTTGGATGCTCTGGGCGTGCCACTCACGTCAATGACACACCCGCGTTGTCCTCTGGCCGTTCGTCAAGCACTCCGTCCGGTTTTACCCAACCAACCAGCGACGACACATTCCGTCAGTCAAACCAGCTAGAGTGATTCCATCAGGCAACCGAGCCTCGTATTCTGGGACCACCTCACAGATTGTGCCCTGATGCATTCTTCCCCTCCATTATTCTCAGCTAACTAGTCAGTCGTTACTGAAGGAACTACCTCCTAGACTTGCTTTGTAGCCTCCGAGGTAGCCTATCACACCGCTTAACACCTTACTGAGCTAGCATCTGCTCTGCAATATCTCGTCGAAGTTCTTGAGCTGCTGCTAAATAGTGTGCAGTCGCCTTTCTTGTTAGCGTCAACGAAGTCGCCATGAATCCTGAGTAGTGGGTATCGAAGTAATTGTTGGAGCACGGAACCGTTTTAAGAGTAATAAGTTGCTGATAGATCTCTGGATATTTTGCTTGTGCAGTGACTACCTCTTCAAGCTTTTGTTGATTGGGGACTCTGGTGTTGGCAAATCGTGCCTTCTCCTCCGTTTCGCCGTAAGAATCTCATATTGCTTCTAGGTTCGTTACATGTGTATAATTCGTCATTCTTTAATTTGGTGACATCTGTATCCCGTTCATCTCATCAGGATGACTCGTATTTGGAGAGCTACATCAGCACCATCGGCGTGGACTTCGTGAGTGCTATTCTCGCTTTCTCTTAGAATCTTGTTTTGCTGTGCAATCTGAGACTGACAGTAGTCTCTTTAAACTCCTTCCAGAAAATCCGCACTGTGGAGCTCGATGGCAAGACGATCAAGCTTCAGATCGTAAGTTCCGTCAGGTTCAGATTCAATATTGAATGCTATTTTCTGTGGATGTTCTAATGCTGAACCAATCTTTCTGCAGTGGGACACCGCAGGGCAAGAACGCTTCAGAACCATCACTAGCAGTTACTATCGTGGAGCACATGGAATTATTGTAAGTGACTCGCTTATCGTTAAGTTTGTCGGGAGATGTGGACATGCCGTTTTTTGACCTTTACTGGTGAACATGGCCCAGGTTGTCTACGATGTTACTGATCAAGAGAGCTTCAACAACGTGAAGCAGTGGTTGAACGAAATCGACCGATACGCTAGCGAGAACGTCAACAAGCTGCTTGTGGGGAATAAGTGCGATCTTACCAACAAGAGAGTCGTGGATTATCAAACGGCTAAGGTGAGACCTACCTAGATGAAATCTCTTCTTTTGAGATTATTGTTGAGAGCCGAGCTACTTCCTGTATCTGCTTCCCGCAACTTTGTTTTTCCCCACCTTGACAGCATACAATAAGAAAATACAGCATAAACAAGGAAATCTGAGCTGGATGCACTGGATTCATTGCGAACTGGGTCGTTCATGGGTAACATACGATGTACTTCGATTGCTTTAATGTCGTCTTTCCTCCGTCTATCCTAAACTGCTGGCAGGCTTTTGCTGATGAGATTGGCATCCCCTTTTTGGAGACCAGTGCAAAGAACGCCACAAATGTAGAGCAGGCTTTCATGACTATGGCAGCTGAGATTAAGAACAGGTATGTAGCCCGATTGCAGTATGCTCCACCTGGCATGTCTTCTGTGCCCGAATTTGGCACTGCCGTCTTTCCCGCCACTCAACCTTTTTCACCCCACTAGATCATTCTGTTGATCCCTTTGCCCACCATCAGTACGTTCAATATGCGTTTCCTTTCCCAACCCCCCGCTCCCCTTCCCCCCTCGCCCCCCCTCCCCCCCTCCTTCCACTCCTCTCATTCTTGTGATTACTTCAACCTCCCATATTTACGCCGTGCTGGTTTTCTCTTTTTGTGCATCATTTGGAGAGGTATTTTCCTCGCCTCCCAACCATTCCCCCCCCCCAACCATCTCTTCCCTTCAGAGTATTGCAGGGTCCCCCCGCCCCTTCTCCACCTCACCAACCCCCCCTCTCTCCCCCAACCACCCTTCCCGATGCCTCTTTTACGATTTTTGGAATGTTGTATGTAATGTTTGCTGTACAGGATGGCGAGCCAGCCAGCATTGGGCAGTAAGACAGGACAGACCGTGCGTCCAGGAGAGAGCAGGCCTCTGCAACAGAAGAGCAACTGTTGCTAGCTACGGCGAGCTCTTACACTTCACCTACAGTATGGTTAGCAATTTAGACATTCTTGCTGGTTTCTTTTAATGTAATTTCGTACAGTCAGCGGGAACCTGAGCTAGACTTGTAGGACATTGGCCTTTGCTACCTCCTGTTGACTCAATATATAGATTCCAAAGAAATTCTTAATGCGGATGTAATAATGGGTCCGAGAGCAGTTTCCAGCCACATGTACTGCTAGAACATAATGTATCGGTGCACAGGCAGTATGGCAGTCTAGCTTGCTCATGTCAGAGACACATCGGGAACACGTCAGGAATCAAAGGACAAACCCACCAACATTTCCGCTACACTGGCATGGGCACAGGTACAAGCGCAGGGCTCATGACCATCGGTTTAGCAACTGCCACAACCTTATCTTCTCCAAACAGGTACTCCACGAGGGTCAGAGCGAACTCAAATGCCGTTCCCGCCCCTCGACTCGTCACTACCGGACCATCCACCACCACACGTGCCGGCACTGCAGATTGATCCGCAAGCTGGTCAGAAAGGGACGGGTGTGCTGTTGCCTTCTTCCCTTGGAGTAACCCCTTAGACTGGAGCACCACGACTGGAGCAGCGCAGATGGCCGCACACAGCCGCCCGTCTGCCACTTGCTCACGCAGAATGCCGTCCAGCAAGATGCTGTCACGAAGGTGGTTTACCCCTGGAATACCCCCTGGTACGAACACAAGGTCAAACTTACGCCCCGCAGCAGCCACGTCTGTGAGCGTGGTGTCAGCTGTGAGATTCGTCCCGCAACGCAGCTTCAGATTCAGAGAATCGCTGACAGAAGCGACGGTTACTTTCGCTCCCGCACGTACGAGCACGTCAATTGGAACCACCGCCTCCACATCCTCTGTTCCGTCAGCCACTGCCACCAGCACTGTCACCTCCTCCCCTTCCTTCTTCGGCTTCGGAATCTTATCCTTGTTTTCCACCACACGCAGCAAATCTGATCCGTCCCCTTTCGCAGCTACTATCCCAGCGGCCACCTCGGCTGCTTTTGCCTCCCCAAACAGGCGAGTTGCCAATGCAAGTGCAAACTCAATCGCAGTGCCAGGGCCGCGGCTGGTAACCACATTACCGTCTTCCACGACTCGAGATGCGGTAACCGCTGGGTCAACGCCAGTCAACTTATCAGAAAAGGCCGGGTGGGCCGTGGCTTTGGTGGAGGAAGTGAGGACGCCCCAGGATTGGAGGGCCACCACAGGGGCGGCACAGATGGCAGCCACGGACGAATGGGGGAGTGACATGTGGCGCTCCACGATCTGCTTGAGGGGTGCGCTGTCCCTCAGGTGCTCCGCACCTGGCATGCCTCCTGCAGGGGAGAAAGAGAGGGATGGTAGAAGGAAGGGGATACAGAGAAAAAACAAAACAACTTCAAACTAGAAGTTGGTTAGGCGCGATGTGACTCATGTGCTCTGCGCCTGGCATGCCTCCTGCAGAAGAAAAAGAGATGGAGGTCAAAATAATAGAAGTTTGCATGCCACGTGGACTGCATCCTCCGTCTGATTCCTGACCCTATGTCATGTCACTTCAGGTATCTTTTCAATAAAATGTCTCACGCAACTGATATAGCCGATATTAGAAATTCAGAAACACCAGTCCCTCGTTACAAGCACATTACCTGGCAAGACGACAAGGTCGAAATCCGTATCCACGACCGACGTGATGACGTCATCCGCGATGAGCTTCACTCCGCGCGACGCGACAATCGCCTTCTGCGGCTCGACGGACGCAACAACTACCTCCGCTCCCGCGCGTCGAAGCACATCCACTACAATCACACTCTCCATCTCCTCCGTCCCCGTCGCAATCGGTACAAGCACCTTCTTGGGCTTCGCGGCGCCCCCGCTTTTGTCACCTTCGCCCGCCATGGCTCTCGGGGTGAGTGAAACGCGCGAAGCGTGGAGGTTCCGACGCGCGGAGAAGCCGGCGGAACCGGGGGAAGCGACACGTGCGGAACTTCCTGATGAGAGCGCAAAGGCGGAAGACAACGGGGTCGCAACACTCCTCTGCGAAGCAAGCGGGGGGAAAAGATCTTGCGCGGAGATGAGTCGTGGGGAAGGGGCGGTGGGTACCCTGAGGGACTGGGTGACGAGAGATAGAACAACAGCCGATTGGTGGGAGTGGGAAGAAGCAACACGAGAAGCGCACCGAGCAGCAACAGTAGCGGCAGCGGTAGCGGAAGCGGATGCTGCGGCGGCAATAACGGCAGGCATGGTGGAGGAGGATAGAATGCCACGGGGATGAGAATGCCAAGGATATTTCTAGATTCTAGATTCTTCTGTGGGTGAAAGATTTGGCCTCGAGCTTTTCCTCGTTATTGCTTCACTTGAGGCAACTGATGCGTCTCCTGAGTAAGATTCGGTAAATCACATTGTTTATGTATGAAACGTTTTGTTCATGTGTTTCTGTACCAACAGAAACTTCTAGAACCTTACATGCTTATATCGGGTGACTCATTACGGGCACATTCTGCCCACATCTCTCCTAGATTTCGTCGTGCTGAGTTCTGACAAACTTTGATGGCCAAATAGCATCTATCAGCCATGAAGTAATAGTGTTAGTTTCTGTAGTTTTTCGACGCGAAGTCGAAAGTGCAGGTTAGGCTGCAGAAGGCTAGGTCACACATTTCGCGATGGCGAAAAGGGATCGCCGAGCATCGCAAACCGCCAAGCCGCAGGTGCGACCAAATTCACTGAAGCTGCTTAATCACTGTCTTATTGTCGCGTTTTACGTTGTAACCAGCTCGTCGTTGATGTTCGCAGAAGAAGGTGAAGTCGCCAGCGGAGATCACGGCGGACAAGCTTCGGTACCACAGAGATTTGGACTCGCGATGGGCTATCATTAGCGTAAGCTTAAGCATTCGCCGTTTCTTATCATTCCCGTTCCTTATCAGTCCTTTACTATTCATATTGTTGGGATGTTGCCGCACTCCCGTCATCCAATTCAGGAAAACCGGGTCGAGTATTTTCGCGGCAAGGATTTCGCAGATCTTCTTCGCAAGCATCCCGAACTCGCGACGCCATTAATCCCCGCCGAAGATGCCGCGAGCCTTCGCAAGCCGATCGAGGAGGCCGTGTTTCACGCGCTCGTGGAGGCTCAGCTGGTGGTGCGCTGCGATCGAGTGGTGAAGACCCTCAGACCCGGCCGGAAGAAGCTATCGAAATGGCCGGCAAGGCTTGAATTCCACCAGGTATTGACATGACATACTGGACCGGCTTTGGTGCAATATAGATAGGATTTCAACTACCATGGGAATTTTAAAAGCTCAGCTGGTGGTGCGCTGCGATCGAGTGGTGAAGACCCTCAGACCCGGCCGTAAAAAGCTCTCCAAGTGGCCGGCCCGGCTTGACTTTCACCAGGTACTCATTTTTGGGCTGGCTGAGGCGCAAGGGGCAGGGGGGAGAGGCTGGCTGAGGCGCAAGGGGCAGGGGGGAGAGGCTGGCTGAGGCGCAAGGGGCAAGGGGGAGAGGCTTTCTGAGGCGCAAGGGGCAGGGGGGAGAGGCTGGCTGAGGCGCAAGGGGCAGGGGGGAGAGGCTGTCTGAGGCGCAAGGGGCAGGGGGGAGTGGCTGGCTGAGGCGCAAGGGGCAGGGGGGAGAGGCTGGTTTTGTGCCAGTGAGGTTTAGGAAGTGCCTGCCTAGGGGTTGGTGGATGCTTAGCTGGTGGTGCGGTGCGATCGAGAGTGGTGAAGGCCCTGAGACCCGGCTGAAAGAAATTCCTCGAGTGGCTTGTGGTGCTGGACTTTCACCTGGTACTTATTGTGGCTCATATTGCCCCAGCTAGCCTGTGGGCAGACCACCCTCTCCTTCCTGTCACCCCTCTGTTTCCAGCTCTCTGTTCCTCTCCTCCGCTCTCCCATTTCTCTCCTCTTTCATGTATCCACCCTCCCTTCTCTTACCACCAGGATCAAGCATTCACAGTGGACGATGGCTTCTATGCCTGGACGTACGAGCGCCAGCAGCCCATATGGCAGACCATCCCCTCCATCCTTCCCCCTTTGATTCAGATCACTGCTCTTCTCCGCCTCTCTCCCTACCCTTACCACCAGGATCAAGCCTTCACAGTGGACGATGGCTTCTATGCCTGGACATACGAGCGCCAGCAGCCCATATGGCAGACCATACTCTCCTTCCTGCTCCCGGTCTTCACCGTCGCCTGCTGCCTCTTCCCCGTCTTCCCCCACTGGTGCAAGCTCGCTGTGCTCTACTTCCTCCTAGGGCTCATCGCCCTCATCTTCCTGCTCCTATTTGGTAAGTGAGGTATTATTCTAGCAGAGGGTTATAAGGCCGCCTGCTGCCTCTTCCCAGTCTTCCCCCACTGGTACAAGCTCGCTGTGCTCTACTTCCTCCTGGGGCTCATCGCCCTCATTTTCCTGCTGCTCTTGGTAAGTGAAACACTTAGTGTGGGGTTACGTTGTGGTTAGAGGTTTTCACAGCTGGCCGCTGGCTGCTGCCTGGTACATTCATTCGGGTTATTAAAAAAAGTTTCAGCTGGAGCAATTCCGCTAGATGCAAAGGCATTCCCAACCTGCCCATTTCCCTCGTTGAAGTTCCGGTGGCGATGTTTGGAGCCATCTGGCTGGCTGTGGGCAAGTGCGAGTGGTTCTTCTCCAGCATCTTAGGGAGGCTGTTTCATGGCACTATCCCCCTTCACACCCACCTATTCACATACTCTCCCTTCCCACGCTTCCCCTGCTCCCTCATTGCAGTGCGGGTGGTGGTATTTGGAGTCATCTGGCTGGCTGTGGGCAAGCGCGTCTGGTTCTTCCCCAGCATCCTAGCAGAGGAGGGCTCGCTCGCAGAGCTCTTCCGCTTCTGGCCGGATAAGGACGACAAGCCGCCCGCCAAGATCACCACGCGGCTGGCGGTGGCTGTGATGCTGGGCTTCACCTTCTGGCTCATGGTCACATATGCTCCTGACCAAGAGCAACGAGCCAAGTGAGTGTTTATTTCTTTATGTATTACACCTGGTTTCTTTTTCTCGCACTGGCGGTGGCTCTGATGCTGGGCTTCACCTTCTGGCTCATGGTCACCTATGCTCCTGACCAAGAGCAACGGGCCAAGTAAGCACCCTCTATGTGTATATCCACCTGGTTCCGTTCCTCGCACCGTTGTTGCCCTTTGTGCTTTGCTGATGCCGGGGTTCACGTTCTGGCTCATAGTCACCTTTGCTCCTGACCAAGAGCAACGAGCAAAGTAAGCACCTTTTTCATGTACATGCAATTGTTTTCCTTTCCTCGCACTGTTGCTGCTCTTTGTGCTTTGCTGTGATGCTGGGGTTCACCTTTGGGCTCATGGTAGCATATGCTGCTGATGGGAGCAACAAGCCAAATGAGCGTAGTTTATATCTGTTTGTTTGTTCTTTTCCTGTTGACGTTCTTTTGCTGCCTAATGTTTCTAATGGCTCAAGCTGCACATGGCGTTTCTCCACCCAACACCCTCTTTGCATCTTCTTCATTGCAGGTACCAGAAGAAAGTCTCCAACATTATCGACGACGTCTTACAATGGCAACCACAGATGCTTGCAGGCAAGATAACACCCGCGTCCCCTGTCAATGCTACTCCAGCCAATCAGACCTCTGCAAATGCCACGGCTGACAATTCAACCACTCCCAGTGCAAGTGCTGAGGCAGCTGACGTCAAGTCAGATAGCAGCAGTGGTGCCAGTACAGGTAGCAGTGGCAGCTTCGATGCCACCACTGGCAAGGAGGATATGTCTGAACAGTCTCCTGGTGGGGACCAAAGTGGTCAGGCTCACACAGAAGGCAGTTCTACGACGGGAAGGGAGGCAGGTGCTTGACCAGGTTGTGATTAATTTTGTCATCTGGTTTTTGTACTTGTGTTACATGTGCGAGCATTGTAGATCGAATTATGAGTAGTTATTTTTTCCTGAAGTCGCAAGTTCCCGAACCTTCTGGTGTTTGCGAAGGGGTGGACCGCTCTATCGCAACCGCTATCCTTCGCATTCCGTCGTAGGATTTCGTTCATTTCGCCCGCTACATTCGCACACCTTTCCTCCACGCCCTAGGGCCTCGTCCCCTTCACCCTCTGCTCGCACATTCTCCAGCCACCATTCTAGGGATCACCAGCAGTCCCGCCGATTCGCTTCGCCTCATAGCAACTTCACAGCCATTCACATCGTTCCGTCAGCTCCCTTCGCAACTTTCCGCGCCACGCGTGTTTGTATTTGTCAGACACTATGTGAGTAGCTTGATCCGTGGAGACTATTTTCCGGTCCTTCGTACGTAGTAGGTTGTGCTTCAACGGATTCTCGCTCGAATTGGGTCTGACGATCTTGTGTGCCACGTGTAGGGCTGACGACGAGCCTGTGGATCCGAAGCCCGAGATCGAGGAGGGTTGCCGGCCGAAGTGTGTGAAGCAGCTGCTTGCTTACGAGGTCAGACTTCCGTTACCCTCAAAGTATCGCTTCTTCAGTATATCTAACGCCGTCTAGTTTACCATCCTGTTTACAGGCGTAGGCCCGTCTCGCAACGTTGTATTCGGCGTTTAGCCGTGTTGAGCTGTCCAATAACTCCGCTTGTAGGCGATGAGTTGACTGTGGTTCCTGATCTGCATTGCGTAGGCCTGTGTGAAGAGGATCGAAGGCGACGAGACTGGGGAGAAGCATTGCACTGGCCAGTACTTCGACTACTGGGCGTGCATTGATAAATGCGTGAGTCTGTCGCCTCGTTTTTTCTTACATGATCTGGAAGCGTGGCATGTCATTTGTCTTTCGTTCTGCAATCTAGTTAGATGTGACCTGATCTATTGGTTCCTTCCGTACACTCTTTGACAACCTGTGCAGGCTGCTCCAAAAATCTTTTCCCAGCTAAAGTGATACGGTATCTTGACTACAGTACTCCAGCAGTAGACGTGGTTAACTCTGGTCTGTTGCTGGACATTTCTGTTTAGGCATTGTCCTTCATATTCTTTCCTGTAAATGCAGTGAATGCTCAAGTGGACTATTAAATACTATCTGCTGAACGTATGGCAAGGATTTGCAAACCTCTGGCAATGCCTGGCAACTTGCAACCATTGCTGAAAGCATACGGTATGCGAATGAAAGTTGAACTGATTGGAAGTGTATATCCTCATCAAAAGATGAGATGGAATGGAAGGAATGCCTTTAGAATGGATGATAGTTCAGCTTTAGAATTGTCTATCAGTATCAGAGTTGTGACAGCTCCGTTGTCGGAAAAATCCGGCCGGCCGGAATTAGCGAAAATAACGCATTTGCGACAATCGCACAAATCTTCGTACAATTCGCCAAATCCAGCCATTTGTTAAAGCTTTTGTATACATTTGAAAGAGGGAGGTTCAAAACTTTTGAAATTTGAAATATTGGTAACTCGATTACCGCTAGTTCACTCGCTGAACAAGGGAGGGAGATCCCCCCAACACCCAGCACTCCCTGGTGATTCAAAACTTTTGGATTGACAAAAGTATACGAAATCCAGCCTATGTGAGATCTAGGCCACCACGCTCTTCTGCCAGCATGATACGTAGCTAAGCACATCGACTCAACAGCCAGCGCAAATTCTGCAAATTTGCGTCACAAACCTAAATGCGTGGGGTAGTTTCATGTAATTATACGGATAAACCAACGTCAGTGGTTCCCTTTCACGCGGCGATCCCGCGGGACCTCCTCTCACGGCCTCGCCTCGTCGTCCGTCGTGTCGCCTCATGTCAGAATGAAGAATGGATGGTGCATTGATGTTGGTTGGGGTACATATAGCTAACCCTAAGTTTTGTACCCCCTAAGACAAACCTCACTATAGGCTACAACATTTGACACACCCCCATAGCCTAAGTGAGGGGTGTCTAGCAGAACCAAACGAGTACGGTCACAAGACCAGTCCAAGAAACAAAGCTCAGGGTGGATCACAACGTCACCACACAGTCTGAGCACAAACAACAGTGGCCACAAGGCCAGTCCAAGAAGTAACAGAGATATATAGAAAGCAAAGTAAACAGTACACTCAAGTCTAAGCAACACGAGAACCAGTGTCAACAAGGCCTAACTGCACACAGCACCTCTGGTGGTCACAAGGCGGAAGCGCCTTGGTGAAGATGTCTGCAGTGTTGGCCTCGGACTCCACAAACTCAAAGCGAGCCTGTCCACGCCTCTGCAACTCTCGCAGAAGAAAGTACCTGACGTGAATGTGCTTCACTCTGCTCTCCAGTCGTGGCTCTCGACAAAGGAGAATAGACGCCTTGTTGTCAGTGAACAAGGTCGGTGCAGAGCTCGGCCGCTCACCAAGGTCGGTGAGCAAGAAGGTCAACCAACGCAGCTCCTGTGCCGCCATGGCACCAGCGTAGATCTCAGCCTCAGCTGTAGAGGTCGAGACCGAAGAGGAGCGCGTGGACCGCCAGGAAACAGCTCCAGAACCCAGGCTGAAACAGTACCCCTGAGTAGACCTGTGAGTCTCAGCGTCGTCAGCGTAAGAGGAGTCACAGTGACCAGTAAGTACGACAGACTGCTGCCCTCCAAGAACTAGCCCCACGCCTGACGTCGTCGCTAGGTACTTCGCCACCCTCACAGCTGCTGTCCAGTGAACAGGACGGTGTCTCCCTGGCGCAACAAAGCGCGCAAGAACGCTGAGAGGGAAGGCGAGGTCCGGGCGAGTACAAGTCATCAGGTACATGAGGCAACCCACAAGCTCTGCGTAGGGACCACTAGGCTCGAACGGCTCGTCAGGAAAGGGTCCAGTGAGTCTGTGGTCAACAGCAAGAGGTGTGCGCTGTACTGTGGAGTGCTGAAGCCCGAACCGCTGAAGGACCTGCTGCACCATGTGCGACTGTGAAAGTGTAATGGTGCGAGCAGCTCTGTCCCTGGTGATCTGCAGGCCAAGGTAGTGGCGCAGCTCACCAAGATCAGTGCAGGTGTGTCTCTTCTGCAGTTCGGACTTCACGTGTGCCAAAGCAACCCTGTCAGGGGTGGCGAAAACAAGGTCGTCAACGTAGACCAGAACAAAGAAAGGTGTGGTGCCACGACGAACGAACAGCGACGGGTCAGCAGAAGACGGCTGGAACCCAAGGTCAGACAGGGTAGAACGCAGGGTGTCGTGCCACTCACGAGGAGCCTGACGAAGACCGTAAACCGGTCGCCTCAGCCTCCACTGGGTCCCAGGAGGGAAAGAGCCAGTGAAGGCAGAGGGACGACGCAACCAGACCTCCTCGTGAAGACTGCCCTGAAGGAAAGCAGTAGAGAAGTCGAGAGAGTGTAACTCGTAGTCTCTCTGTGCTGCTACGTGTAGTAACACCCGAAGAGTGGTCATCTTCGGGGTGGGCGCGAAGGTCTGAAAGAAATCAACTCCCTCGCGCTGACTGAAACCTCTAGCCACGTAGCGCGCCTTGAAGACCGGAGGAGATCCCGGTGGCCGCTTCACCCTGTAGATCCACATGCCGTCGACTACGTTCGCCCCCGGAGGGGGAACCTCATCGACGTAGGTGCCTGTGGATCTGTAGGAGGCCATCTCTGCGTCCATGGCAGCTCTCCACTGAGAGGCCCAAGGCCCTGACACTGCCTCAGCGTAAGTGCGAGGAGTCGGAATGTCAAGGGCGTCGGGGTCACCCTCAGGGGCGAGGAGCATGGCACAGAGATGAGGGGAAGCGGCGGCCAGGAACTCTAGCTCAAACTGCCTGTCCTCTAGGGCGTCACAGCCAAGGGCAGACACACCCCCGACGGCCAGAGGACTGGAAGGAGGAGCAGCCACAAGAGCGGTGGCGAAGTCAAGGCGGCGGGTAGAGGCAAACTCAGTGACTGCGGCAGTAAGAGCGGACACAGAGGACACAGAGGCACGAGGGTGGGTAACAAGAGAGGCGAGAACACGAGAGAGAAGAGGACGGTACGTGCGGTAGTAGTCAGTGACAGGAGTAGGGAGCGACGCAGTGAGAGCCGACTCAGGAGGAGACGGAAGCACAGACGGAGACGGACGAGGTGGACTAGAACGAAGTAAGGCAGTACGAAGGTCAGTGAAGGGAACAGGAGACGAGGGACGAGCACGAGGGGAGCGACGAGAGGCCCAAGTCTGAGAAGGAGGAGGGGACAACGAAGACTGAGAACGAGGGAAAACAGCGGGAGAGGGGTCAGGAGGAGGAAGCGGAGGACCAGAGACGGGAGGAGAGGGGGAGGAGGAAGGAGAGGGAGACGGGAGACCAAGGGTCCGAAGACCCGAGACAGGAGGAGGAGACGGCAGCTGCTGCTGCTGCGGCTGCTGCGGCTGCTGCGGCTGCTGCTGCTCCAGCGGCTGCTGCCCCTGCTGCTGCTCCTGCTGCTGCTCCTGCTGCTGTCGCTCCTGCTCCTCGAGCCGCTGCAACTCTCTCTCCTCTCTCTCCAACTCCAGCTGCTCCTCACGAGCACGACGAACACGAGCCTGGAACCTGGTCGGGTAGGGGTGGGGGGAAGGAGTAGTGTCCGGGGCAGCGGCAGCCCCAGAGTCGACCTCCGAAGCACCAAGCACACCACCCCCAGAGGCAGCACCAACACCAGCTCCAGACCCAGGCTCTCCAGAAACCGAAGGAACACCCTCACCCCCAGACGCAGCACCAGCACCCCCAGACTCCGCACGACCAGTACCAGCCCCCGGAGGAGAAGAGTCCTCTGCAACCCGCGGCTCAGCTCCAACTCCAGCACCCCCAGAACCAGAGACCTGTACAGGGACAGTCGCAGGACCAACCTCCCGAGAGGGAGCACCTACAGGAGGCGGTGAGGAAGACTGTGGGGAGGGAGGCTGTACAGGGGGGGCTACCGAAGGGGGAGGGCTAGCCTGAGACACACCAGACGGGGCTGGACCAGGGGGGGGAGGCTGTAGGGGGGGAGCAGGCGGGGGAGCGGCTGTCAGGAAGAGGGGGGGAGGAGGAACCGGGAGACCTCGACTGGGGTACCTATAGCTAACCCTAAGTTTTGTACCCCCTAAGACAAACCTCACTATAGGCTACAACATTTGACACCTCACGACGCTGCCTCCTCACGCCACCGTGAACGCGCACGATTCGTCTCAAACTGCCGAACACGCACGATCACAGTCGCGGCCCGATCGCGACTGCCTCGCTACCACGTTTCCGCACTAGCCCCAGCAGCCGCACTTGAGTGCGTGAACGACTGCAGAAACGGGAGCTTCCAACCCCTTCCCGCCTCCTCGTCTTCCTTCTCGCCACCCCAATTCGCGTTCCCGCCTCCCCGTTTCCCCTTTCCAATCCCCAGGACCCCTTCCGGTCACCCCGTTTCCCCTTCCCGCCTCCCCAATTCCCCTTCCCGCTCTCCGTTTCCCCTTCCCGCCTCTCCGTTTCCCCTTCCCGCTCCCCGTTTCCTCTTCCCACCACCCCGTTTCCCCATCCCGCTCCCCGTTACCCCTCCCCGCCTCCTCAATTCCCCTTCCCGCCTCCCCGTTTCCCCATCGCGCTCCCCGTTACCCCTTCCCGCCTCCTCATTTCCCCTTCCCGCCTCCCCGTTTCCCCTTCCCGCCTCCCCAATTCTCCTTGGGGCCATCCCGTTTCCCCTTTGCGTCTCCCCATTACCCCTTCCCGCCTCCCCGTTTCCCCTTCCCGCTCCCCATTACCCCTTCCCGCCTTCCCGTTAGCCCTTCCCGCCTCCCCAATTCCCGTTCCCGCCTCCCCTTCCCCCTTCCCGCTCCCGATTTCCCCTTCCCGCCTCCCCGTTTCCCCGTCCCGTTCCCGTTTCCCCTTCCCGCCTTCCCGTTTCCCCGTCCCGCTCCTCGTTTCCTCTTCCCGCTCCCCGTTTCCCCATCCCGATCCCCGTTACCCCTCCCCGCCTCCTCAATTCCCCTTCCGCCTCTCCGTTTCCCCTTCCCGCCTCCCCAATTCCCCTTTCCGCCACCCTGTTTCCCCTTCCCCGTCTCCCCGGTACCCCTTCCCGCCTCCCCGTTTCCCCTTTCCGCCGCCCCGTTTCCCCTCCCCGTCTCCCCATTACCCCTCCCCCCTTCCTCCCTCTCGTTTACCCCCCTTCCCCCTCTCATTTCCCCCCCTTCTCCTCCTTTTCTTTCCCGCTTCCCCCCATCCCCTTCCCTGCTTCCCCCCATCCCTTTCCGTGCTTCCCCCCATCCCCTTCCCTGCTTCCCCCCATCCCCTTCCCTGCTTCCCCCCATCCCCTTCCCTGCTTCCCCCCATCCCCTTCCCTGCTTCCCCCCATCCCCTTCCCTGCTTCCCCCCATCCCCTTCCCTGCTTCCCCCCATCCCCTTCCCTGCTTCCCCCCATCCCCTTCTCCCATCCCATTCCCTTGCTCCCTCTGTTTCCCCTTGCTCACTCTGTCTCGCCCTTCTCACACTCTTCCCCCTCCTCTTTTTCCACCTTGCTCACTATATTTCCCGCTACTCACTCTCTTTCCCCCTGCTCACTATCTTCCCACCAGCTCGCTCTCTTCCCCCCCCATCACTTTGTTTAGGGTTGCTCACTCTGTTTCACCCTTGCTAACTCTGTTTCACCCTTGCTCCCTCTGTTTCACCCTTGCTCCCTCTGCTTCTCTCTCTCTCTCTCTCTCTCTCTCTCTCTCTCTCTCTCTCTCTCTCTCTCTCTCTCTCTCTCTCTCTCTCTCTCTCTCTCTCTCTCTCTCTCTCTCTCTCTCTCTACCCTTGCTCGCTCTGTTTCACCAGTGCTCCCTCCCCCCTTTCTCTTCTCACTCTCGTCCCCCTTGCTCACTCTCTTCTCTTCTGCTCACTCTGTTTCCCACTGCTTCCTCTCTTCCCCCCGTCTCACCATATCCCCCAATGCAGGGTACATGTGCCAAGCACCAGATGTTGTGGCTTTACCCTGGTATATTGATTGCAGTGTAGCAGACAAAACCGGGAAGCAACATAACATTCCCCCCAGATTTGTTATTATATAAAAATGAGTTATTCCCCTTGTACCGTACAAATAGTACTAGTACAATGGTTGTTGGACCCCGAAGTAGTGGTCATGTGTATGACTGCTTTGAAGCAGATAATGCTGTATCATAAAAAAATATCCAATACATGGCATGTCTATATGTCGTTTAGTATCAAACAGCCAACACATCACAACCACATGCAGAGAAGACCTGCGCGAACACAATGTCAAACTATATGTGCTGCATATTGTCTAGGCTGTAGTGGGGTAGCCCATATGGGGTACAACCCAATTAGGGTTTACTACTTGTACTCCTGCATCCTGTTAGTTCACATCATTCCTGCTGCTAGATTCTGACATGGTATCAGAGCGAAGGTCTCGGGTTCGAATCCCGGTGTGTGCACCTTGGGCATCCCAGTGCGGGGGGGTGTCAGAGGTCCACTGGTGATCCCCGATGATCCTAGGGAAGGGTTACAGGCACGTTGGCCTGGGGGGTTATGGGCGCACTCACCCGCTACACAAACAAGCCCTTTTATCCCAGTGGTTAGTGGCTGGGATTCTGACACACAAACCAGGAAGTCAGTTGTGACGTGGGTGAAGTAGCAGGGAAGCAAGCATCCGAAAGAATGACAGCTGAGAAATGATGAAGGGAGGAATGTAAAAATGAAAAAAGGAGGATCGGAGGAAGGATGGAAGCGAGGAATGCAATGGGGGAGGGAGGTAGTGATGATGGGGAGAAGGGAGGTAGGGAGGACATGGGGGAGAGAAGCAGAAGGGAGGGGAGGAAGAGAGGCTGGGGAGGAAAGTGGGGATGATAAAGGGTGATAAGCAGCAGGAGGGGAAATGAAGGGGAGGAGTGGGGGAAGTGATAAGCAGCAGGGGGGGAAATGAAGGGGAGCAGTGGGGGAAGTGATAAGCAGCAGGAGGGGTAATAAAGGGGAGGAGTGGGAAAAGTGATAAGGAGCAGGGGGGGGAAATGACGGGGAGCAGTGGGGGGGGTGATAAGCAGCAAGAGGGGAAATGAAGGGGAGGAGTGGGGGGAGCGATAAGCAACAGGAGGGAAAATGAAGGGGAGGAGTGGGGGAGGTGATAAGCAGCAGAGCAGGAGCGGAAATGAAGGGGAGGAGTGGGGGAAGTAATAAGCAGCAGGAGGGGAAATGAAGGGGAGCAGTGGGATAAGTGATAAGTAGCAGGGGGGGGAATTGAAGGGGAGCAGTGGGGGAAGTGATACTCAACAGGAGGGGAATGAAGGGGAGGAGTGAGAGAGGTGATAAGCAGCAGGAGGGGAGGGGGCGCAGTTGTAATAAGGGATAAGCAGCAGGAGGGGACATGAAGGGGAGCAGTGGGAGTAGTGATAAGCAGCAGGGGGGGGAAATGAGGGCGAGAAGGGGTAATAGGAAGTGGATGCGCTAAGCGGGAAGGCGCGCAGCGGGTGCGGTGCTAAGCGGGAGAGGGTGTCGGCGACACGCGGGAACGGCGCGCAGGTGGCGAGGCGCTACGCGGGACAGGCGCGCAGCGGGTGATTTGTTGCGCGGGAGGGGCGCGCAGCGGGTGCGGAGCTAAGCGGGAGAGGCGCGCAGCGGGTGCGGAGCTAAGCGGGGGAGGCGCGCAGCGGGTCAGGCGCTAAGCGGGGGAGGCACGCAGCGAGTGATACTCTGCGCGGCATGGCGCGCAGAGGGCGAGGCGCTAAGCCTCGCGAGGCTCCATAGCGGGAAACCAGCGCAGTGGGTGAGGCGCTAAGAGGGAAATGCCTACCGAGCGGGTGTAGAGAGTGGCGGCGTGGCGAACGGCGAATGGAATCACCAGATTCGCTCGTCGACCCCTAATTATCAATCCCTGGGTGGAGATGCATCCCGTCGAGGCGCCCTTGACAGGGCTTAGAAAAGCCAGACGAAATTGCGGAACACGACGCGCTCGATGAATGCAGGGCCTTTCCGTCTTCGAGTCGGATTGATGCACGGCGCTACGGTGGAAGTAGCTGGCGGGCAAGTTAGATGGTCCTTTTCCGACCGTACAAGCCTATAATGTACCTAAACTCATCTCACCCGTTCCGTAACTGGGCGGTTTTGATTGTCAAATGATATATATAGGTGATACATATTGGTAGGCTGTAGTGGGGTAGATGTTATAGGGGATAACCCCTTAGGGTTTTCCTACTTGTAAAATTTCTCCTCCTGGTTTTCCTCCTGACGCGCCTGGCTGGCAGTTTTACGACCCCACCTCGCGCCGTGTCTTTGCGTCTCAGGACGTCACCTTTGACGAGTCTGTTCCCTTCTACCGTCTCTTTCCCTACCGCACTGTCTCTCGCCCCCCCCCGCCGCTCTTTCTCGCTCCAGGTCCTCCCCAGGTAGACCCCCTCCCCGCGCCAGGTCCTGCTCCTTCAGGTGTTTCTCAGGTAGACCCTCCGGTACCTGCGCCTGTTGAGGTCACTGGTGACTCAGGTCCTGCTGGAGGTGGTCCTGCTCGGGGTGCTGTCTCTGGGGGTGCTGAGCCTGGGGGTGTGGAGTCTGAGGGTGCTGTGCCTGCGCGTGAGGAGCCTGGAGGTGCTGAGCTTGCGGGTGCCGAGTCTGCGAGTACTGAGCCTACGCGTGAGGAGCCTGGGGGTGCTGGCGCTGGAGGTTCTGGAGCAGCTGGGGGTGCTGGCGCTGAGGGTTCTGAGTCTGCTGTTGCGCGGTCTCCTTGGAGTAGCCGCCTTCGTCCACGTGTGCCTCTCACCCCACAGCAGCTCCAGGACTGGTACGGTCACCGTCAGCGTCGCGCTGCTGGAGCTAGGAGTGGTGCTGGACCTTTGTCTACTGGAGGTGCTGGAGTCGCTGGTTCTGGAGGTACTCGTACTGGAGACACTGAGGCTGGAGACCCTGGGACTGGAGGTGCTGGCTCTGGGGGTGCTGCTGCTGGTGACACTGAGGCTGGAGACCCTGGGACTGGGGGTGCTGGTTCTGGGGGTGCTACTGCTGGAGACACAGGGGCTGGAGACCCTGGGACTGGAGGTGCTGGAGCTGCTGGAGGCACTGGAGCTGCTGGGGGTACTGGAGCTGCTGGAGCTGCCGGTACTGATGCAGCTGCGCCGACACGACTGTTCTTCGCTCCGCCGTCTCCGTCGTCTCTGCCGCCGTCTGACTCTGTTCTTCGTCAGGTTCTTACTCTCCCGTCGTCTACTGGTCTTCCGTTACAGCCTGGCTCACCGCTGCCTGCTCCTTCTCCTTACACTGAGCAGACTGGTAGTCCTGCTGAGCGTCGTGAGCCTGTGTCGCGTCCTGTCTCGCCTGCTCGTCCCGGTCGTCGTGTTCCTCGTTCGCGTCAGCAGGCTGTCCCCAGCACACACCTCGTAGTTCGTCGTCCTTCCTCTGCTCTGCAGCCTGTTCCTCTTCCGTCTCCTCCTGCGTCCTCTCTACCTGACGTTCCAGACCCTGAGTCTGACCGGTTTCGTGCTGAGCACCCTACTGTCACGCGTCTGCTAGCCACTGTTGTCACTGACCCGTCGTTTGAGTCTACTGCTGCGTCTGCTCTTGTCGCTGAGCTTGTTGACTTTGCTGCTGCCTGTCGTCTAGACTACGCCACCAGTCTTGTTGCTGCGTCTGCGTCTGTCTGTCCTCCGTCCGTCGGGGGTGAGTGTGCTCTTAGCACGGACGTCCTTGAGGACAGGCAGGAGGAGTTCCAGTGTCTTGCTGCTGCTTTACCTCATCTTGTGTCCTCGCTACTTGCCCCTGAGGGAGACCCGGATGCACCAGACATCCCGACTCCGCGCTCTTACGCAGAGGCGATAGAGAGTCCCTACTCCTCTCAGTGGCAGGCAGCCATGGATGCAGAGATGGCTTCCTGGAAGTCCACAGGCACCTATGTCGACGAGGTTCCCCCACCTGGGGCGAACATCGTCAGTGGCATGTGGATTTTCAGGGTGAAGCGGCCGCCGGGTTCTCCGCCTGTCTTCAAGGCGCGTTACGTGGCTCGAGGCTTCAGTCAGCGAGAGGGAGTTGACTTCTTCCAGACCTTCTCCCCCACCCCGAAGATGACCACTCTTCGGGTGCTGCTGCACGTTGCTGCTCACCGTGACTACGAGCTTCACTCTCTTGACTTCAGCACTGCTTTCTTACAGGGCAGCCTGCACGAGGAGATCTGGCTGCGCCGCCCCCCGGGCTTCACTGGGTCGTTCCCTCCTGGCACCCAGTGGAGCCTCCGACGGCCGGTCTACGGTCTCCGCCAGGCGCCACGTGAGTGGCACGACACACTGAGGACGACACTTGCGGCTCTTGGGTTTGCGCCTTCTACTGCTGACCCGTCGCTGTTTCTGCGCACAGACACTTCACTGCCGCCGTTCTACATCCTCGTGTACGTCGACGACTTGGTTTTTGCCACTGCTGACACTGAGGCTCTCGCCCACGTGAAGTCGGAGCTACAGAAGAGACACACGTGCACTGACTTGGGTGAGCTGCGCAGCTACCTTGGCTTGCAGATCACCCGGGACAGAGCACGCCGCACCATCACCTTGACTCAGTCACACATGGTGCAGCAGGTCCTTCAGCGCTTCGGCTTCACCTGGTCTTCAGCACAGGCCACTCCTCTGGCTACAGGTCACACGCTCTCAGCTCCACCTTCGGACGAGTCTGTAGAGCCGAGTGGTCCTTACCCAGAGCTAGTCGGCTGCCTCATGTACCTGATGACTTGCACTCGACCTGACCTCGCGTACCCTCTTGGTCTCCTCGCTCGCTACGTGGCTCCTGGTCGACACCGACCTGAGCACATGGCTGCTGCTAAGAGGGTACTGCGCTACTTGTGCAGCACATCAGGCATGGGGCTAGTGCTTGGAGGGACGAGCCCAGTTGTCCTCACTGGGCACTCAGACGCTTCTTGGGTTGACGACCTGGCTACTCAGCGGTCGTCACAGGGTTACACCTTCAGCCTTGGCTCTGGTTCAGTTTCGTGGCGTTCTACACGCTCGTCTTCAGTTCTTGGCTCCAGTTGTGAGGCTGAGATCTACGCCACCGCCATGGCTGCACAGGAGTTACGCTGGCTCACCTACCTGCTGACTGACTTGGGAGAGCAGCCTCGTTCTCCTCCAGTGCTGTACGTTGACAACAAGGCCGCCATTGCCTTGTGTGAGGAGCACAGACTGGAACACAGAACGAAGCACATTGCTCTGCGTTACTTCCTGGCTCGAGAGTTGCAGCAGCGAGGCCAGCTTTGTCTTCGTTACGTGGCCACTCGGGCCAACACTGCTGATATATTCACCAAGGCACTTCCGTCTGGTGATCATCAGCGCTTTTGTACTCTGTTAGGCCTTGTGCCTATGCTTCCACACTTGCTGTAGTCTTTGCTTGTACTGTGATCTATATACCTATATACCTGCATGCTGGCTCTTGCTAGGTAGCTCGACACTGTACTGTCATTGCTGCATATATATCTCTGCATGTGAACTGGCCTTGTGGCCATTTGCTTGTGCTCAGAATGTGTGGTGACGTTGTGATCCACCCTGAGCTTGTTTTGTTTCTCTTGACTGGTCTTGTGACCCATTGCTCTCCCCCACTTTGCCTATGGGGGTGTGTCAAATGATATATATAGGTGATACATATTGGTAGGCTGTAGTGGGGTAGATGTTATAGGGGATAACCCCTTAGGGTTTTCCTACTTGTAAAATTTCTCTCGATAGTCAACTCACCTTGCCTAGCTATCTCAACATTGATGCTCCGCATATTATGTTGCTGCGCCCCGGTTCCTCTATCTGTGCGCAGCCTACGTTATTAGACGCTTAGCATGCTTCGGAATAGAAGCGTGAGTGGAATTGGTTTTGGGTGACGGGATTTTACCGTGGTAGGAACTCCTCAGGGGTGCAATTTTTCGCCAAGCCTCTCGCCAACCTCCGTTGTTTCGTTATGGCGAATTGAACCCTGGCAACTGTACAACCCTAAACAGTAGTTGCAAATGTATACAAAAGCTCCGACAAAGTTCCGACGAGCAGTCGTCTCGCCAGTCGACCAATTTGTCGACTTGAAATCGCTACAGTAACTACGCGACATCGCCAACTTGTGCCACGCAACGTGTCACACAATTATTGGATCTGCGATTGCGTCGCACGATCCGGCCACCCTTGCGACCTGCTAATCTGGCACATTTGCAAAGCGGCCTGCAAATCGGCCACCAAATGTGTCAGATTTTTCACCCCCGTAAATGTGGCCGGATATTGGTCGTTTTTTATGTCGACCCTGTTGTCGACTTTGGCGAAAGATTTAGTCGACCAAATTGTCGACCAAATTCCAGCCAAAACAAATGTAACGGATCTGACGCACCCTAAGACACACTTCAGACCTTCAGGCTGAATCTCTCACGGTACTTGTGAAGCCGCCATGTACGCCTAGCTGGTGCAAGCGAAAGTGTCTATGGGTTCAACCATTACCTGTCTATCTAGTCCCTTATAGAGGACCTGAGTCTGGCCCGAATTGGTGATAACCACTGCGAATCGGTGCGACTCGGTGCAAGTCGTTTTGGAGGTCAAAATGTCTAAGCGCGAGCTGCATCAGAAGCTATTCGAGGAGTTCGATTACAAGGAGAAGGCGGGAACTGCGTGGAGCCATAACTACTTGAATCAGAAGCCATGGCATCCGCTGTCGTATCCGAACCAGCGTCGCAAGTGGATCGCGGAGCAGATGCACGGTATCCAGAACAAGCGACTGACCGAAATAGAAAAAGAGGTACGCGTTATATGATGACTCGGTACTGATGCTGTTGTTTGTGGATCGCGGAGCAGCTGCACGGTGCAGGACAAGCGACTGACCGAAATAGAAAAAAAGAAAGAGGTACCCTTCATGAGATGTCACAGTACGGGAATAACGACCGTCATCTGGTGTGACTTCTTTTTCCGCGTCTCCTTTTCGCTTGTTCCCGTTCCCCTGTCACTTCATCCCGTGGGAGACGTGTCACCTTCCCCCATGCCTCCCCACGGCAGCTCCTGAAGGAGCAGACATGATTAAGCAGATTGGAATTGATAAATCACTGGCTCTTGCTCCCCTTCCCGTTTCCTCTTGTCCCTTGCCTCCCCATTCCAGTTCCAGAAGGAGCAGGAGTATTTCAAGCAGACGGCGCTGCTTTCGAAACAACAAAAAGCCAAAGCGGAGGCGATGCAGTCGGTGTCGTTCCTCTACATGAAGCCGCCCGGGTACAACGCCGCGAGCCAAGAACCCAGGGCCAGCTCACCCACTCATGCTCCCCTTCCTTGCCTCCTTGTTTGCCTTCACTTACCGTTCCCTTCTCTCCCTTTCCCGTCTCGGCCTATCCCTTGCCTCCCCCCTGCAGTTCCAGAAGGAGCAGGAGTATTTCAAGCAGACGGCGCTGCTCTCAAAGCAGCAGAAGGCCAAGGCAGAGGCGATGCAGTCAGTGTCATTCCTCTACATGAAGCCGCCCGGGTACAACGCTGAGAGCGCGCGGGCGGCGGAGCTCGCAGAGGAGGAGAGGGCGAAGCAGGAGAGGGAGGGGAAGGCGCTATTGGAGAGAGGAGGTGGGGCGGGAGGGGGCAGTGCAGGAGGGGGAGGGACGGGTGGAGGAGGAGAGGAGGGAGGAGGGGAGGGTGGGGGAGTGGGTGCGGATGGGGCGTTGGTGGTGGGGGCGGAGGCAGGGTGAGTCTCTGCTCATTCATTCCTTTCTTTCTTTTCCACTCAACTTTGAAGGAACTCAGAACAATCTGGGCCTGATGAGAATTTTCCTGCCGGATGTTTCAGTGTCACCTATTTGCGTAAAAACTTATATAGAAGCCGAGAACCAGAGATGTCTTGCCCCTGCACTAATTCATGCACTCCCATGCACACCCCACCCCACCTGAACCATTCCTCTCCTGGCAGATCTGAGCCGGCTGATAAGGACCAGGCGGAGAAGAAAAAGAAGCCCCGAGCCACGGACGTGTTTGGGCGAGCCGTGCCAACTGGAGACGACTTTGAAGTGCTCAAGAACGCGCCCAGGTGAGGCGAGAAGACTCCACAGTTGCGTAAAAAGATATGTTTGTTCGTTAGTTAGTCTGCTTGTTTGTTGGTTTTCCTGAATGAGAAATGAGGAACGGCGAGTGCAGGCGGTATGGGTGTAGGGAGGCGTTCGGCCGTCATCACATGTTTGTTTCCCTTCTGCTCCCACACTTCTCAGAATGGACACAGGAATCATAGGCTGGCCGCGCCCCTTTGGGCTCGAGCTGAGGAACGTCAAGTGCGGGCGGTGTGGGGGCTCTGGGGGCTGTATGGGTGTGCCATCACATGTTCGTCCCTCCTCTCCCTTCCACTTTCACACCACTCAGAATGGACACAGGGATTATAGGCAGGCCTCGCCCGTTTGGCCTGGAACTAAGGAACGTCAAGTGCGGGCGATGTGGGGCGATAGGGCACAGCAGCGGCGAGAGGGAGTGCCCGCTGTTTGACTCTGTCACTGAAAACGACCTCAAGCGCCAGCAGAGGGAGGACCCTCTCTCTCATATCCTCGCCCTTAACCGCCCCCAGGTAAGCCCCGTCCGTGCTGCCCCTATCCTCCCCGTTGTTGGGTTTTATGGCACCTGTTTTCAGAGAGGGAGTGCCCTCTCTTTGACTCTGTCAATGAAAACGACCTCAAGCGCCAGCAGAGGGAGGACCCGCTCTCTCATATCCTCGCCCTTAACCGCCCCCAGGTAAGCCCCGTCCGTGCTGCCCCTATCCTCCCCGTTGTTGGGTTTTAAGGCACCTCTTCTCAGAGAGGGAGTGCCCGCTGTTTGACTCTGTCACTGAAAACGACCTCAAGAGGCAGCAAATGGAGGACCCGCTCTCCCACATCCTCGCCCTCAACCGTCCCCAGGTATGCCCCATGATGGTATGCTCCTTGCTGCCCCTTCCTTTTCTGTGTATTTCTCAGCCCGTTGTGTGGCAGCTGAAGGAGCAAGGGGCAGGAGGAATGAGCCTTCGTGGGGGTGCTTCAAGCCAAGCCAAGCCAACACACCGCGCCCCTCTTCTCAAACCATTTCCTCATCGCCCCCTTCCCGGCTGCTTCCTTGTGTTCCTCAGCCCTTTGGGTGGCAGCTGAAGGAGCAAGGGGTAGGCGGTGGGTTGAGCACTTGAATGAGCATGTTCAAGCCAAGCCAGCACCATGCACCCTTCCCAACCCATTTCCCTTCAAACCCCTCCCTAACCCGCCCCCCCACCCTTCCCATTCCTTTCCCCGCCCCCCCCTTGCTGATTCTCCTCAGCCCTTTGGGTGGCAGCTGAAGGAGCAAGGGGCAGGAGGAATGAGCCCGCCCCGGGGCGGCTTCAAGCCAAACCAGCACACCATTCCCCCTCACACCCCTCTTCCTCACCTGTTTCTTTCTGACTCTCTTCAGCCGTTTGGGTGGCAGCTGAAGGAGCAAGGGGCGGGCGGCATGAGCCCGCCCCGGGGCGGCTTCAAGCCAAACGACGCCAACCAGCAGATCCTGCCGCCCAGCGACGACGAGAACGAGGGCGTGTTCGACCAGTACGGAGGGTTTCTTTTAGGAGGAGAGGCGGATGTAGCAGCATTGGCGGCAGGTGCTCCTGCTGGGGGGGCGTTCGGAGGGGTGAGAGGGATTGGAGGGGGCGGGGGGCTTGTGCCTGGTATTGCTACTTCTGTGTTAGACTCGCTGACGAAGCAGCAGCGCAAGGAGTTGAGCCGGGCTTTAAGGATGAAGGAAAAGGAGGAGCGGCGGAAACGGAGGAAGAAGAAGGAGAGGAGAGGTGCGGGGGAGGGTAAGTGTAAGAGCGGGAGGGAGAAGAAGAGGAATAAGGAGAAGAAGAAGGGACGGGGCAGACGGAGGAGTCATCACCATCGCAAACACTCAGACTCTGATTCATCGTCTGATACAGGATCAGATACTTCAGATTTGGAATCAGATTCTGAATCAAGCTCAGAGGATGAGGAAGCTTCTAGCTCTAGTGAGGGCAGTGGGAGAGACAGCAGCTGCAGTGACAGGAGCAAGAGGAAACGGAAACGAGGGACGAAGAGAAAGAGCTCGCATGATAGGAAGGGGAGGGAGAAGCAGAGGAGACTCGGGGAGGATCCAGGACTTCTGGAGGAGAAGGGGAAGGGGATCAGCAAGAATAGGGTGGGTGCTACTAGTACTAGGGATGCTGGTGAACGTTGTAGTTCGAGACCAGAGGACGAGGATGGGGACGAGAAGGGGGATAGAGTGAGCAGGCACAGGACAGAGGGGAAGGAAATGAAGGGGCGCGCTATTGAAATTGGTGATGGGGACGGTGAAACGAGGTGGGGGGACGAGGGTGGGGAAGAGAGAGGAGATCGAGAAGGGATGGATGGTCACAGGGAAAGGAAGCTGGGACGGGTAGGGAAGGATGGGAAAGAGGAGAGGAGCAGGAGGGAAGAGAGAGGGGATGAGAAGAGAGAAGGTCGGTTGAGAAAGGGGTTCTCTAGTGAGGAAGCGAGGGGAGTGGAAGGGAAGCGGGAGCATCGGGGAGAGAGAAGAGAGGAGAGGGGTTGGAGAGTGGAGAGGCGAGAGGGGGAGAGAGACAGAAGGAGAGAAGGTGACAGGAAGGGGGTAGAGAGAGGAGGGGCAGGGAGGAGTACGAAAGGGGGAGTGAGCGAGGTGATGTGAGGGAAGGGCGGGACAGAAGGTAAGGTAGGTGGTGGTAATGGCCCAATATTGTTTCTTTGTCAGCAGTTGGCTTTTAGGCTTGGAACGTTTGCAATGCACGTCTTCACAAAATACACCTGATGCTCGTTAGAGCCCCCCCCCGGTTGCCTTGTGCTTTGGGACTGTAAGCTAAAGCGCATTTCGCTTGGGGTTCGTTCGTTTCGTCAGGCCCAGAACGTGCTTCAAAGCTGCACGTGGTAACCACCCTGTTTGTCCGATTCGTAACAGTACGGGTTTGCACCACTTGTCCTTCTTGTGTGCTCAGGGTTACTAAACGAGCGCAACAGTACCGAAACGAGCATGCACATCAATTGTTCTTCATAGTACAAAACAACCAACACAAATACAACATCCAATCAACACCCCCCACCTGGCCCCTCATATCCATTCATCACACAAAACGAAACAAGCACAATTGAGCACAAGGATCGATCACTTGTGCACTTCAAATTTCACTCGACACATTGCTGGGTCTGCTCCACCCCCCTTCACAGACGCATCCACTCCGCCGCCTCCACATACCCGTCCATCACGGCGCCCACCCCGGCGTCAAGCAGCTGCTGATGGCGGGACGGACGGGTCATCCAGACGGGAAGCACACGGCCCTGCGGACGAGGGGTCTCGGGCGTGGGAGTTGCGCCGGGGGAGGGCACGGGCTGAGGCGCCACGTTCAGGTTGAACGAAGGGCTAGCCCGCTCCATCTGCGCGACTATGATTGGATTGCGGATGTCGAACAGATGGCACAGATCGCGCAGCGTGATGCGAGTGGCCCGTGCGTACCCGATAAGCATCTCACACGCCGCACGAGCAGTGCGGCGTGCTTCACGGCCCACGGGGTCGGCGTCGTCGTAGACGGCCTGCATGGTCGTCGGCGCCTGCCACAGCTCCACCTCCACGCCCACCTCCGCCTCAGTCGGCGCAGGTCCCGCAGCGCCTTTGGCGCACGTTGGCTCCCCGTCGTCGATGGCGACGTACTCGGCCGCCGTCATCGCCGCATTCCCAAGCGCCAGCCCGCTAATGAGCGTCCCGACATCGTCGATGTCGTCGTCGAGCTCGATGTCGGGGTAAGCGGCGGGGGTGGGCTCGTCGTCGTATACGTGCGTCAGGTCCATACTCCACAAAAGGGGAAGACACCCCGTGCGCCACCAGCACCGTTGAATGGTGCGCGCGCCGACGGAGGTCCACGCGTCCGACAGCCACGCGAGGACATCGCGCAGGTTCGGGTGGAAACGCGCCACCGCGGACGTCGCGCCGTCTTCGTTCCACAAAGCCGAGAAGGCCCGCAGCCAGTGCTGACGGTAGCGGGCCTTTGCGGTGGCGATAATCCCCTGATCCAGCGGTTGTGTGAAGGTGGTGGTATTCGGCGGCAGGAAGACAAGCCTCACGTTGCTCATGCAGGTCGTCCGCATGCTGCAGACGATCTCGCTCCATGCGACCTGGGAGCGGAGCATGTGGCTGCTCGCGTTGTCGAGCAAAACGACGATCTTGCGGCCTTCGGCGTACATCGCAGCATTGAGTTGCGAGATGAAATGTGTGAATAGCTGTGGGCCGGGAAGGGATGGGAGGGCGGAATGCACGGGGAACAATGTGAGCATTAGTAATGAATGGCGATTTAAGAACAATACGAGTACTTTGTCACGCGGTGCAAAAGCACCCGCAATCTATATAAAATTTCATGCTTACCGGCGAGGTCATCCAGCATCTGGCGTTGTGCCGCCAGTAGCATAGCGCTTCGGGGTCATAATCCGGCCGGAAATCGTGCGGCCGCTTCGCCTTGCTTATCACGAGCGGCCGGTGTCAGAATGTTATTTGTCTAGCCTGCAGTGGGGTGCTCAATAGTGAGTACAACCCCTTAGGGTTTGCTATTTGTGTGTTCTGCTGCTTGCTAGTCACCATTCATTCTTCGTTCCAATTCTCCTTCGTAAACCCTAACTCCTAGTTCTAGAGCACACCCACCTACCTCCTAGTGTGGGCCTAGGCTACTAAGCCTAGGCCCCACACCTACGATTCTAACATGGTATCTAGAGCCGGCGAGATCCTGCCGCCTAGTTCATCGGGCCCACCAACTCCTTCCGCTGTCGTACTATCCGCCGCGCGCCCCGTGGTGCGCGGCATTGCATTTTCTTCCCGCCACGCGCTCCGAACACGTGGCGGCTTCTTCTGCCCGCCGCGCGCTCGGGGCGCGCGGCGGTTATCCCGTCCGTCGAAGCGTCCTTGGGGGGGCCTGCGCGCTGCCCTCCCTGCTGCTCGTCGCGACGCCCGTGCGGGACCCGCGGGGCGTCGCCCTTACTCGTCGCGGCGCCCCCTGGGTGCTGCCCCTTCTCGTTGCGACGCCCGTACGGGACCCGCGCAGCGTCGCCCTGCTCGTCGCGACGTCCGTGCGGGACCCGCGGGGCGTCGCCCCTGCTCGTCGCGACGCCCGTGCGGGACCCGCGGGGCGTCGCCCCTGCTCGTCGCGACGCCCCCTGCGGGACCCGCGGGGCGCCGTCAGAGCCTGCAGCAGCAGCCGCCGCTCTACCAGCAGCAGCAGCCGCCGCCGCTCTGCAGCAGCAGCCGCCGCCGCCCTGCAGCAGCAGCCGCCGCCAGGCCTGCAGCAGCAGCCGCCGCCAGAGCCTGCAGCAGCAGCCGCCGCCAGAGCCTGCAGCAGCAGCTGCCACCAGAGCCTGCAGCAGCAGCCGCCGCTCTACCAGCAGCAGCAGCCGCCGCCGCTCTGCAGCAGCAGCCGCCGCCGCCCTGCAGCAGCAGCCGCCGCCAGGCCTGCAGCAGCAGCTGCCGCCACCGAGCCTGCAGCAGCAGCCGCCGCCAGAGCCTGCAGCAGCAGCCGCCGCCAGAGCCTACAGCAGCAGCCGCCGCTCTACCTGCAGCAGTTGCCGCTGCCGAGCCTGCAGCAGCAGCCCCTGGAGCAGCCAGTCACTGCAGCAACCGCCCCTGGAGCAGCCCGCCACTGCAGCAGCCGCCCCTGGAGTTTGCCCGCCTTTGTTCGAGAGTGTGGGGGTGACGGGTATGGGGGTGCTTCGTGTGCGTCGTCCCTTCCTCCTCCTTCGTCTCCCACTGCTGCAGCTGCCGCTGAGGGGGGTGGATGTGTGGGAGCCGAGGGGACTGGCGCTAGGGGGGGTGATATGGGAGTGGAGCTAAGGGTGGACCAAGGGGTGTGTGTCGAGGGGTGTGGGACTGTTGGGGGAGGTTGAGCGGAGACCGCCGTCGTGTCGTCTACAGCGCCTGTACTCCGGGGCGCTCAATCCCGGTAGCTCAGAGAGCCGGTTGCACCTGTCGCCCGTGGGTCCGTTGCTCCTGCCGCTGCTGTTCAGCCGCCGAGCCTGTTACTCCTGTATTCCGGGGCCTTTCTCCTCCCGGTAGCCACCAGCGTTGCACCAGAGCCGTCTGTTGCCCGTGTGTCTGCAGCTTCAGTCGTCGCCTCCACTCTTCTCTCATCTCGCCAGCCCTCCTCCTCCTCACTTGCCCTCTGTGACTGCCTCTAGCTCTGCTTACAATTTATAAACTATTGGTTCTTGAACTTGTGCTCAGAATGTGTGGTGACGTCGTGATCCACCCTGAGCTTGTACTGCTTTGTGTGCTCTGCTGATTACACCCCACTTTGGCTATGGGGGTGTGTCAGAATGTTATTTGTCTAGCCTGCAGTGGGGTGCTCAATAGTGAGTACAACCCCTTAGGGTTTGCTATTTGTGTGTTCTGCTGCTTGCTAGTCACCATTCATTCTTCGTTCCAATTCTCCTTCGTAAACCCTAACTCCTAGTTCTAGAGCACACCCACCTACCTCCTAGTGTGGGCCTAGGCTACTAAGCCTAGGCCCCACACCTACGATTCTAACAGCCGGAATGCATGGCTCCTGTCCGCATTCACGAGGAATGCGACGGTCAGTCGCTCCTTAGATACTTTGCGGCCGGGAATGCGGCCGCTGCTGTGCGTGCGCCGCGGAAGCACGCTCAGCCAGAGCGCCGTCTCGTCGAGGTTGAAGGTGTCACGCGGTGTGACGCCGAGATGCGTGAGAAGTTGCGGCAGCTTCTCACGTGCTTCGCGAACGGCGGCCATGTCCGCGCTAGCCGCCTCGCCTTGAGCCGCACGGCACCTCACCCCCTGGCGCCGCAGGGCACGGCGCACCCAGCCGATGGAGCAGCGGAAGGTGGGCGGGATGCCCATGTTCCTCGCCATTCCCGCGACATGGTCGCGGATGGTCTGGAGAGTAAGGGGCACGCCAGCGGGCCCGGCGTTTGCGATCCACCGCGCCATGGCCTCCTCCAGCTCAGGCCACGCGCCTCCACGACGGCGCACTTGGTTGTCCCCTGTTGCGGTGACGGCCCATCGCTCGGCGCTCTTCAAGATGCGGCCGACTGTGGAGCGATCCGACCGCAGTCCGTACTGCGAGTAACACCACCTCGCAAGGTCCACATGACGCAGGCGAGGGTTTTCGATGTGGTGGGCGCAAAGCGCGCGCTTGATGTGGAGGGGGAGCTGCTCCCGTCGATTAAAACGGGGCATTGTGTGAGGCTGGGGTGTGAGATAATGCTGACTTAGTGAATGCGAGGTCATTTTATCGTGGGATGGCGGGGTCCAATGCTGGCTAGGTTGGGCCTCGTTCTTTGTGGCTTGTGACATCTGTGTGGTTGGTGTTCGTTCCATGCACCTGGCTTGGACATTTGATCTTAGGTGTTGGTAACCATACGTTCAGAAGTCTGACGTGGGGTGTGCGAACAACGCCTGGCTGTAAATGAGCTTGTACCCAACACATGCAGGAAACACGTGGCATCGTGCATCTGCCCAGATTGTCTGTTACACGCACGATGATCCTCGCTTGCGTGGCTGGGCAGAGGGGCGAATGCGTTCACGAAACCCAGTTAGTTTCGTCCATTCATTTCGCCATTCTGACCCCTGGCCTGGAAACAAGGCGCTTCAGGGTCGGCTTCGCTTGTTCGGGAACTGCAGTGCTCAACTGCCCGAGTCGCATGTACTGTTGCCTGCCACCCAACGTGCCTGTACTGTGGGAGCAGCAAGCGGGGGTTTTCTGCTCGGGGGCAGCGTTTCCATCCGGTGCAGGGCAATTTCGCGTGCAGGGGGTGAGCATGAGCTGTATATTTGTTATATTTCCCAACATGTCTAGGTGAGGTGCTATGTCAAGAAGTGGAGTAGTCATAGCCATACTTTTTTACAATGGTGAAAGCACCGGAGACTCACGGTGTCTGTTGTTGCTGATGGTGGTGAATTCTTCGCTAATGTTTTTTTTACCGTGCTGAATCTGTCTGCCATGTCTTCGCAGCACCGTCGATACTCCTGAATCTGGGCAGATTGAGCAAATCTCGTTTGTTCCCGCAGCTCTTGATCCCATCTCTCTAAAGTTCGACCAATCGCTATCCGCCGGTCCAGCTGGATCTAGGCTCTCCATCACTCATCTTCCTTTCGGGTCTCACTGCCCGGCATCGCCGTCTTGCCTTGTTGGCCGTCATTGCTTCTGGCCATCGGGTTAGAGACTCTAGTGCTGTAGTTCGAGAGTTTCGACTTGGCAGACTGCCCTGCCCGCCCTGAACTTTACCTCGGGCGTTGTTCATGCCCCGGGAACTCCGACAGCATCCTCCGGCCTTGGGGGCCTGTACCATCAGTATTTCAGCCTCGGTATTCGGGAATCTTTCTCGGTACAGGGGTTTAACGTACTTACTGCTCAACTGGTCGGGTTGTGGGGCTCAGCTGGTGACTGTGGTGAGTGAGGGAGCGGCATCCCTGGATGGTCTTGCTTCCTGCTGCTGAGGGCTCTCCATACCACTCGAAGCAATTGTATAAAAGCAGCCTCTTGGCACAACCATTCATTTCTTGCCTAGCCATTTCACCATTTATTCTTTTGCATCTCGTTATTCCTTGCTTTGTTAGTGCGTCGTACTTGTTACGTTGCAGCTCACCTAGGTAGGCTTCCAGGTTCGCAAGCATGGTTCTCCTTAGACTTACTTATTAGGGTTTCAGCCATGTGCTGTGGCTGTCCCGTTGACGCCTCGTCATTCACTTATTCAACAATGAATCTCCACGCAAGAGACTCCGGATCTACTATTATTTACGAAGATGAGGATTTGAGCTTGCTGGAGTTAGCCGCCAGCAATGACCTAGATAGTTTTAGACGAGGCGTCGAATTTCTACGGAAGCCATTGACTGAATGCGAGTCATGGTATTGTCGTCAGAATGGCTCCACCAGAATGGCTCTTGCTCAGCGAACCCCAGCCATGATTGCTTGCCTATTCGGCAGCCTAGATATTTTATCATATATTTTTATTGAAGCACGGAGCCGCGGTATAGAGTGCAACATTAACCAGGCGAGTCCTTCCGACGGCAGCACAGCTCTTCATTGTGCAGCGTTGGGTGGAAGCCCCAGAGCAGTGGAGGTGGTTTCGTTCCTTCTCCGTCACGGAGCCGAAAAAGATGCTGTTGACCGTGACGGAAAACGTCCAGTCGACGTCATCGCAGTCTCCCCGAAGCTTCCTCACGTCAAATCCGCCCTGGAGCGCCTTCTCAAATCCTCCTCGTCTGCCGGTCCTGACCCGATCTACCACCGTCCATCTCCGTTCATCATCGTCCAATCAGCGGCGTCCTCGTCTCCACCGTTCGAATCTCCGTCATCACCCAACTCCCATTCCGCATCGCCCAACATGCTCTCTCCCGCCACCTCCAGCAGCAGCGATCTCTCGTCTAACTCCACCGGACTCGACGTGCTTGCGCCCACCACTCCATCCACCGGCGCGGGTGTCGTCGACTCATCCATGGCGGATATGAAGAGCAGCGTGTACGCTTCGGACGAGTTTCGGATCTACAGCTTCAAGGTGCGGCCGTGCTCGCGCGCGTACAGCCACGACTGGACGGAGTGCCCGTTCGTGCATCCGGGGGAGAACGCCCGCCGGCGCGATCCGCGCAAGTTTCACTACAGCTGCGTGCCGTGCCCGGACTTCCGCAAGGGGTCGTGCAGGAGGGGGGACTCGTGCGAGTACGCGCACGGCGTGTTCGAGTGCTGGCTGCACCCCGCGCAGTATCGAACCAGGTATGGCTTTCCGCATATGTGAAGCGTAGATCGACTCTCTATTATCTCACCTTCGCAGCACCGAACTAAGTATGGCTTTATTGGAAGCTCCTTTGCTCCTTCCTCTGACATTTTCCGTTTGAAGAGTTAGCGGAGCTTCTCGGTCGACACGCTCTCGCTGCTTTCCTGTTCGTCCCCGTTCCCGTGCTGCTTCGTTCCTGTTGCTCGATTTGCTGTTCTTGGCCAACACGCCGTAACGTTCCCTGAACGGTCCGTCTTTCCTTCCGTTGCGGCCCTCCCATTTCCCCTTCCGTTCTCTGTCTTCTCGCGTTAATCCCTTCCCCCTTTCTCTTCCAGTACCTTGCCTCGGCCGAGAAGCTCCGCCCCTTCTTTTTCCAAGGTCCCGCCAATGGCTCCGCCACTGATATTTTCTCTCCCGCTAACCGCTTCCGCTCATTCCCCTCCCCTCCCCTCCACCTCTCTTCCCCCCCCCCCCTCCCCGACCCTTCTCGGAGCACAGACTCTGCAAGGACGGCACCAGCTGCTCCCGCCGCGTCTGCTTCTTCGCGCACACGTCCGAGGAGCTCCGCCCGCTGCAGAGCCCCGCCGCGGGCACACCCGCCAACATGTTCGCGCACTCCCCCGCGGACATGCGCGCAGTTACCGCCTCCGCGGACCTCCCTCCGCCTTCCCCCTCATCCGTCCGCATGATGTCGCAGTTTGCGCCGCATAGCGCAACCAGCTCCTCCCCCACTACCCCCATGTCCCCCACAATCGCCTCGTTTTCCGCGTCCGGGAAGTGCATGCCGGGGGGGAGTCAGTCCGCGGGCGGGGGGGGAGGCGCGGGGGGACACGGGGGAACTGCGCCGCTGAACTTGCCGTCGGGGGTGAATCTGATGCGCCTCCGCGCGGCGCTGAATGCGCGCGAGCTGACCATTCCGGAGGAGACTGAGGAGGCGCTAGAGGCTCTGGAAGCTTCCTTGCTGCAGGAGCAGCAACAGCAGCAGCAGCAGCAGGGGCAGCAGCAGAACTCACCACTTTCTCGACCAACTCTGCAGCAACGGCAGCAGCAGCAGCAGCAACAGCAGCTGCAGCAACAGCAGCAGCAACAACAGCAGCAGCAACAGCAACAGCACCGTTGGCAGCAGCAGCAGCAGCAGGAGCAGCAAAGGTACTGGAACCAGCAACTGCAGCAACACCAACAACTTCAGCACCACTCTCCACCGCAGCACATCCTCCAAGACCACCTGGAATCCATCACAAGAGCCGACCTCGGCGCAGCACGAGTCACCACCGACCTGGGTGAACTATCCCTCGCCCGCCAGGGCAGATCCCCAGGTTTGCCTTTCCACCAGCTCCAGGACGCGCCGTCCCGTTATGAGCCGTCTCAGAACTCGCTAGGAAATGACCTGTCCCTCGGGCGAAACCCGGGGAGAAACTCGGGCGTGAGTTATCAGCTCCAGGATGCGCCGTCCCCCGGCCCTGGTAGGGGCGCGCAGCAGCCTTACAGCCCCTTACGTCCCGACGTCGTTACAGGGGATATGGGCGGTGTGGGTGGGGGAGTCGCGGGTATGAGCAGCGGCGGAATGGGTATGGGAATCGGGGGCGGCGGTATGGGGGGCGGGGGTATGGGGATGGGGGGTGGCGGCATGGGCATGGCAAGTGTAGGTGCAGGGGGTCAGATGGGCGCTGGTGCAGGCAATGTCCCGTCCAGTCCTGGACGATTAGGCATGACTTTGTCAGGGGAAGGCTCACGACTAGGGCCTGTGAGTGGCTCTTCAAGCCCCTCTCTTGCTGCACCTAGAACGTATGGGGGTGCTGGCAGTGATGGTGGCATGGGGGGAACAGATGGGGGGATGTTTGGTACGCTGCCCTCGCCGAGCCAGTCTCCTAGGTATGGTGCTACCGGGCCCTCTGTCATGTTCCGAGGCGGGTCGGTTGGTCGGGCAGAGCAGATGATAAGGCAGCTGCAGCAACAGCAACAGCAGCAACAGCAACAGCAGCAGCAGCAACAGCAACAGCAGCAGCAGCAACAGCAACAGCAGCAACAGCAACAGCAGCAGCAACAGCAACAGCAGCAGCAGTTCAGGAGTGACAGTGAACGGGCATATGCACTCTCGTCCTCTCCTCAGCCCCAGGCAGAGCTCGAGTCTGCATATCTACAACATATGGAGGGGCGTGGATTTGCACCAATGTCGCCATCACAGGCTGTGGCGTCTCAGTTTCGCATGAACAGTAACCTTCGCCAGCAGCAGCAGCAACCCCCCCAATACCAGCAGCCACAGCAGCAGCAACAGAACCAGCAGCAGCAACAGCAGCCCCAATATCAGCAGCACTTACATTCAGGTAATCCCCTCTCTAGTGCTGCTGCTCCCTCGCCCGCCAATCACTCCATGTGGGCTTCACCATCTGGTCTGCCGACCTGGCAATCAGTCCACTCTGTGCCCACTTTCGAACCCCGCATGCTGCCCTCTCAGCCTGAAATACCCTCTCAGCAAGGACTTGGCCATACTAAAACAGCAGGGGGGCAGCTTGTAGCGGGGACAGGGAGGGAGGAGGTACAGGAGACGGATGTGGGGTGGGTGGGGAGCCTGGTTCGGGATGGGAGCAGTGGTGCTGGATTTTGAGACGCCTAATGTCAGGGCGGTTTAGTAAGGTGTGACAGTGGTGCTGCTGGGTCTGAGAAATCTAGAATCGGGGAGGGAGGAGAAGGGAAGTCAGATGTGAAGCGGTTGTGGAGTCTGATGGGGGGAAAGGGCTGCTGCCGCTGGGTTTTGAGGCGTTTCAGGCCCATGATTCGCATCCATTGGCATGTGTTGGAAGGGGTTGACAGGGTTGGATTCGACCTTGGTAAGACGGTTTGGCAGGGAGTCCTGATTTTGAGAATCTGGTATAGCAAGGAATGGGACGGTGGACTGGTAAGGGGTGTATTAATCCGTGATCTTCTGACTTGATATCGAAGCAGCTCGTCTCTTTTGCGTAGGCAAGAGTATGGTGCTGTCAGGAGCCTGACTGCTCTATCTGCTCTTTAATTGCATGCCAGCAGTAACATCCCAATGCTGCTGGCCCACTGATTTATCGGTTGCTATTGCATAACTTGTTCCATTCTTTATTCCTTCTTGGATTGATATAGCTTTGTTTTGTTTTTTTAGGGCCGTTTCAGCCTGTCTCCCTGTACTGATTACTGAAAAGGGGTGAACATTGTACAACCATAATTCTTTGAGTTGTTTGCATGCTGAAATTACATGTCCTGCTGTTGAAGTACCGTATTTTCCCGTATATAGGACCCCAGGCCCATGGCCAGGGGGCTTTCAAAAATCCAATCAAAATAGCTAGGGTGAATGAACAGCATGGATAGTGGAAAATATATAACCCCCATACAGGTGATTCAAAGTAGCCGTATGTGTTTATCTGGACCTGTCTTACTTGTAAGGAAATGCAGTGGGTACTGCTAGGCTCGGTACCGTACCGAATCTTGCTTTTCACAACACAATGTTCGACAGCCGCAACTTGTATGCCAGCATTCCTAAGCAAATGCGGTAAGCCTTCATACAACACCATTTGAAGCAAACACATTCTCTCATTCAGCAGCACCATCGCCCACGCGTCTATGGCTCTGCTGGCTCGCCTTGAGGCCGGCAAAGAAGTCCATTATTCCCACAGCAGCCTGCCTGCTGCTCACGCCACTGCTGTTGATGGTATGGCTGGGCCCATGCTCTGCCTCTTCACCTGCTGCCTTCCATCGTCTGCTGGAAAACACACTGTCGTGCTGACTTGAAAATGCCTGCTGGCTTGGCTGCTGGCTTGGCTGCTGCTGGCTTGGCTGCTGCTTGGGCTCCTGGCTTGGCGTGTGGCTTGGCTGTTGTTCATCCTGGTTGGGGTGAGTGACAGTTAGCGGGACTGGCGTCTTGGAAAGGGGCTGGAAGAAGTACTGCCAGAACGGTGGTGACGACTGCTCTGGTGATGCTGCCGCTGGCTCTGCTGTTTCCGCTGCTGCTGCTTGTAATGCTGCTGTTTCTGCTGCTGCTGCTTGTAATGCTGCTGTTTCTGCTGCTCGTGGTGCTGCTGCTGCTGCTGCCTTGGCTGATTCTGTTGTTGCTTTTGCTTCCACCTGCGTTGCTGCTGCTGCTGCTGCCACTGCTGCAGGCGGCTGCATTGCTGCTGGTGTTTGCGGCACTTCATCTACTAAGGGTGACTGGGGCTTGGCGTGCTGTGGTGCAAGCAAGGCACAGGAGAACAAGAAGAGAGGAACATAGAAGGGGGCATGGGAGAGGAAGTGAGAAGGAGATGGGGGCAAAATGGAAAGGAGGAGGAAGTGAGGCTGGGAGAATAGGGAGAGGGGATTGGTGAGAGCGAGAGAAGGCGACGAGAGAGAAACGTGGAGAGCGGGGGAAAAGGGGAAAAAGGGGGTAAGGGCGGAAAGCAGCAAGAGCGGGGAAAGGGATGTGAGCAAGAATAGGAAGGCGAAAACGTGAACAGTAGGCAAGAAAACCCACCTGTGCTGCTAGCATCAACAGATCATCATCTGTGAAATCCACGTCAGCAGCATCCGCTGCCACGTCAGCAACGTCATGGCCATGCTCATAACGCTCCCCATAAACATCACCACCCCCCCTTTCCTCCTCTTCCTTCCCCTCCTCCACCTCCTCACAGCCTGCGCTTACATGTCCTTTCCTGCTCCTGCCCTTCCCCACCTTGCGACCCCCCTTGGCCCCCATTTTGACCCCTGCATCCTCCTCCCTTCCTTCGTTCCCCCTCCCGCAGCCTCTTCCTTTTCTTCCCCCTCTCTCCTCTCCCCCTCTCCTCACCTCCTCCCCATCCATCAAATCCCTTCCATCTCCCATGTTTCTTTCCCCACCTTCCTCTGCCTCTCCCTCCTCCCCTTCCCTTTCCACCTCCTCTCCACCCTCCCCCTCTTCCTCCTCCTCTGTCACCCCCTCCACCTCCTCCTCCTCCTCTTCCTCCTCACTGAATTCATCCCCCAACTTAAACCCCATCGTTCTCCTCCTCACCCTCCTAACTCGTTTCACACCCCCTGCTCTCTTCCCATCACCCCCTCTCTTCGTCCCAGCTTTCTTCCCTCCATCTAAACTCCCTTTCTCCCTCTTTCCCCGAACCTTCTTCTCAACCTTCCCCTTCCCCTCGTCCCCCTTCGCCCCCTTCTCCTCCCCCGCATCCCCCTTCCCCCCATCCTTTACCACCAGCATCCAAGCAGGTAATACCCTCCCCCTCTTCCTTGTTGCACCTCTAACCACAGGCCTGGGAGGGCTAACAGGAGCACTTGCTGATGTGTCACGTCCAGGGGCTGACATGTCAGCAGCAGGAGCTGACGTGTCAGCAGCGTGAAGTGACGTGGCTGCTGTGCTGGCTGGCACCCTTGTGCTTGAAACGGGTGGCATGGAGGACAGCTGAGAGAGGGGAAATGGGAAAAGGGCATGGGATGGCATGGTTGGCATGGTTGGCATGGTTGGCATGGTTGGCATGGCATGGTACGGAACAACACATGACTACAACATAATGTACTGTACTTCGTCACCTGCTTAGGAGCGCTCCTCCCACCCCACCTGCCTAGGCCGAATGCACTCAGTTCTTGTCGAACCGCTTATACCGTCTTACACTATCCATTGTCTCAAAGCTCCTCTCTTCTCTTCTCTCGCCCACCTGAGTTGAGCGCTCCAGCAGAAGCGCCACCACGTGCTTACACACTCCGTTGGCTGACCTGCCATGGCGCACGAGGTGGGGGACGACAGGGGGAAGCGGGGGAAGGGCGGGCGGAGGGGTAGCATTTAGCAGTGCATGTTGGGCCACGTGAAGGAGAAGCGCCACAACGTGCTTACACAATCCATTGGCCGGCCTGCCATTGTGAGCGCGGCGGGGGACGGAGGGGAAGCGGTGAGGTGAGGGGACGAGAGGAGAGGAGAGGAGAACAGGGGGGAGGTGGAGGAGAGGGAGGGAAGGGAGAGGAGGATGGGGCAGACGAGCAGGAAGGATGACCGGGCCGGGCCGAGAGGGGAAGAGGCTCACGAGATTGTTTCGTATTCGTTGAACGTTCTGAGGCCATGCATATGGAGGAGAGCAGAACGGGAGAGGGCGAGAGGAGAGTAGGAAGCGTGTGGTTGTCTCACCGGGCGTGTGCCGGGCACGTGCATTTCCCTTCCACCTTCACACGTGGCACCCCTCCCCCTCCTCCACCTGCTCCCCCTCCTGCCATTGCTCGTCCACGCCCTCTCCCTCCTGCTCTTGCCCTACTGCTACCTGCTGCCTCTCCTGTCCCTGCGGCTCTTGCTGCTGCGCCTGTGAGTATATCGAAGCCGACGGTGTAGGCTTCTCCTGGATTCGACCCTGTGATAACAGGGAGCGGGGATTATAACGGGCATGAATAAGAACGAGTCTCAACATCAACTGATGAAGTCACTTCGTGGACGATCCATGGGAGAAGCGGAAGGAAGGTGAGACTCTAAGAAAGAAGGGTGCTGCAGCGCGCCATCCTACGTTACCCTACGTCACCCTACGTCACCCTACGTCACCCACGTCACCTCGCCACCGACGACCTTCGCAAACGTTCGCTACTTACCTAAGCATTTCGCCTCGCCCGTGGTCCATCCTTCCTCGCGAAACGACACGTCGGACAGTTTCCCGCCCTGCCACACGTCAGCAGCGCGCCTCCCCACAGCGGGAGCCACGCTCGCAAGCACTTCGTCGCGACTCGCCAGGAGAGCGGGAATCGCGGCCGGGGCGGAATTGCTGTCCATGGACACGACGAGTTAACCGCTAACGAAGTTGGGGGTTCGCAGAAGGGACGAGGGTTCGACGAAGGACCGTCACTTTCGAACGGGCGACTGAAACTCTCTAAGTCGATCAAACACGCCGCCGTCAAAACGCGTCGCGCCTCTGTAAGAATCCTCACCAAATATTTCGGACACTGGCTTCCAAACTCCCTGGTTTCAGAAAGCTGCAAATGTTGTTTTGGACTCGTTTGTGAACGATTCCTTACAGACCCCTTTGGAAACTCCCACAGCACCGCACAAAACCCAGCTTAACCTAGAGATTTCGACCAAACCAAATGGTCCTTCCAAAATATCGAAAATACTCCTCACACGTCCAAATCGCAAAACGCCTATTCAGTTCCTGGCCTGAGTAATTCCCGTAGGGCAGCACGGGAGAGCGCAGCGCAGTTCCCTAGGTCTGGCCGTTTCTGCATTAGCGTAGCGTAGCCGTCCGATCGTCTCGTGCATGAACGCTCTCCGGCGTTCTCGCCGCTTCTTCGCGTCCTCCTTGCTCCAACATGCCAACCGCCATTTTCCGCTGACCCCATGGCCTCGTCACTTCCCTCCCTTTCCTCATTTGTTATCACTAACTAGTACCCCGCTCGTTTCGACGTCGCTGCTTTTAGAGTCTACTCATCAGTCATCGCAGTCGCTGTTTGAAATCTCAGGAGTGATGGCGGCGCGTTCGTCTCTTGCCATGGCTGCTTCGTCCTTATCCAATCCCTCCGGTTTCTCCGGGATTTCCTCCTCCATGATCGTCCCATCTCCGCTCCCTCGTGCCACGTCAGCACTGAGCAGCTCGTCGACCCGACTCCCGGAGCTGCGATTGTCGCCTGCGACATGCGACAGTAGGAGCATGATATCTGCGACAGCAGGTTGTCGTATCAGCAAAGGCTCTCTTATAGTCACCCGATTTGGACAATCATCCGATCAACGTCCCTCCCAGTCTTTCATTCTTCCTGTCCGTTCGTTACAATCACGTCAGCAACACTCACAGCCTCAGCGTCTCCCACCTCCGGGTGCTTATAGCGATGGCAACCAACCAGGGTACCCCTATGCCTTCACTCGCGTTCCTAACGAGGCGTCCTTTAGCGCGGACGGCTCATGGCCGGATAACTACAAGGTTTGGGAGAACGGCGGCGGATTGGTCCACGTGGAGGCGGTGGTTGACAGCTCAGCAGTTATAGAACCGTCCGCTGTGGTCCACGCGGAGGCTCGGATTGGCGCGAAAACTAGGATCGGATCAGGGTCGGTGGTGGGGCCGTACGTGAAAATAGGCGCGGAGACTATCGTATGGTGAGTTGCTCCAATCATTATTCTGTTTTCTAGCTATTGCTGCCCTAGATCGATTGTGTTAAACGCTTGTCGTGTCTTTGAATCTTCTGCATGATTGCCGATCACTGCTTTTATGCTGACCGTGAAACCACGTGGCCCTTCTCACTCCTCCTCCCTCTCCCCATTCCATCCCCTCACCCTTTCCCCCTGTTTCCGTTCTCTTCCCCCCCCCCGTCTTCTTCACATCCCCCTTTCCCGTCCATCAGCCATGCAAAGTAGTACAATGTGTCACTGCGCAATTGCACCAAGAGTTTATTTTTTAGTTGACTGAAATGTCCACTGCGTGTTTACTTGACTTGACTTGACTGACGACCCGTCTCCACTCCTTGCCCTTCCCTCTTACCCCGCTCGTCCACTACTCCCCTCCCCTCCCCCCCACACCCTCTCCCTTCCTCTATCGCTTTTTCGTCTCTCCCTGGTATCCACCTCCCTCCTCCACGTGCAAGGTACAACTTGTCTCTGATGATTTGCACGACCAGAGATCGCTGCGAGCATTCTTGATTATTCACGACCCCCCTCCCTCTCCGTCTTTCCGTTTTTCCCTGCTATTTAACCACATACAAGGTACAATGTGTCCCTGACTAATTGCACGGTTGGGGATCGCTGCGTTTTCCACAACGGCGTGCAGATCGGGCAGGATGGTGAGATTTTCGGGCAGGAAGGGCAGGCTGGTTAAATTTGTGAGCAGGAGTGATAGGATGGTGAGATTTGCAGGCAGGTTGGGCAGGATTGTAAGACTTGTAGAAACCAGGATGCGTTGTTTACATGGGACAGAATGGGTGAAGCAGATAAGGCAGGGTGGAGAGGGACCGATAGGGCAAGGTGGTGAGATCGATATGATAGCTGTATGCCATATTCATGCCCCTCCCGTGTGCAGGGTTTGGTTTCTTTGTGGACGAATCCGGTAACATGGTCAAGAAACCACAGGTGAGCTGCACCCCTCGTGACTTTTGAGTCAACTCAAAAATCACCATGTGCAGGGTTTGGTTTCTTTGTGGACGAGTCCGGCAACATGGTCAAGAAGCCGCAGGTGAGCCGCACCCCTCCCCCAGCCTCCTCCTGCTTATCCTCGTAGTAGCTTCGTGTCGCAGGTGGTTTTTGAGGATGATAAAAAAACCTTCGTTTTGGACGAATCCGGCAACATGGTCAAAAACCTACAGGTGTCTCGCACTGCATCCCTCTCCCCATACTCCCCCTGCTTATCCTCTTTAGGTGTCGACTCAAATTTTCTCTTGCAGACTCCTCTCCTCCCACTTATCCGTCTCTCTTTTCTCAGATTGCAAGGAGGGACTCGAAGAAACAGCCTCCTCTTGATATTTCCTATCTTTCCGCCCCTCTTCTGTGTCTGTGTGTTTTTACATGGCGTGTGATGATGGCTGTGTGTGTTGATGGGTGCATGGGTGAGGGCAGACGCTGGGGGTGCAGATAGGCAGTGATGTGGAGATGGGGGCCAACACATGCGTGGACAGGGGCAGGTGCGTGTTGTGTATTGGGGTGGGTGAGTGTGGCGCACAGAGAGAGGGGAGGAGCGTGTGATTTACTCGTGATTTCTTGTTCTTTCTGCACAGCTTTCTCTCCTTCTCTCAGTGGTGCTTCTCATACACTCCTCTCTGCGTTTCCCCATCCCGGTCTGCTGCTCCTCTCCCACAGCTGGAGGGACACGCAGATTGGTGATTTCGTGAAGATTGATAACCTTGTGCAGGTCCGTGCATTTGCCCCTCTTTGCACGACCCTTTGGCACATCCTCTCTTGTGCAAATGTGTCTTGAGGCGACTTGATATACACCTGCAGCTGGAGGGACCCACAGATTGGTGACTTCGTGAAGATTGATAACCTTGGTATATGCTCGGCACGTCCCCTCTTTGCACAGCCCGTCCAACCATGCATGCATGAATTCGTTGCATCCCTTCCAGCCAACAGCATCACTCTCATGTTTCTTATAATGACTGTGTTGATTGATTATCGGCTGACATTGTTGACCAAACCCATTGGTTCCATTGACTGACCCGATTGACTGACCCCATGCATCCCAACCAGATCGGGCACAATGTGGTCATCGGTCGCTGCTGCATCATCTGCGGTCAGACTGGCATTGGCGGCTCGTCCACGTGAGTTCCTTGAATGACTTGAATCGTCCACTCAAAAACCGACGTATCTCATCACATGCGGTTCTAATGTTGACAACTCACTCGTTCCTCATAATCGCAAAGGCGGTCTGTCACTAACTTCCAGCTGCCCGTTTTGCTCCCTTCCCAGCATTTCCTGCCCTGCATCATCGGTTCCCCCAATCTCGCTTGATCCATATTTGCCTTCTTAAATGGCATGGCACTTGTATGTGTTTATTGCATCAATCAATCACATCACATCATCACATCACATATGTGCACGCATTCACGCATGCATGCATGGCAGCCTGGGAGACTACGTGGTGCTGGCAGGGCAAGTGGGTGTGGCGGATCATGTCACCATAGCAGATAAGGTACCCCCCTCACCACCCCTCAGCACTTCTCATCAAACCCTCACTACCCCTCACCAGCCCTTGCCACCCATCACCGCGCCCTTTTTACAGATGCCATTGTAGTTTAATTAATACTCACCAGCGCATTCACCACTGTGATCACGATCACTTACCTGTTGTCACCAGACTCATTTAATTCGTTCCCCGCTTCCCTGCTACCCTGCTGCTTCAAAGCCACGTGACTTCTTGGTTCCCTGTAGCCTGCTTGTCATTTTTTGTGCGCCGCTTCTTGTGTCTTTTCTTGTGTCATTGCTTACGTTCCTGCTTGTGCCATCTCACGTGTCATTGCATGTGTCCCGCCGTGTCTCCTTGCATGTCCTGGTGCATGTGTATCATCGCCTTTACACCCAGGTGCATGTGGCAGCCAAGTCAGGCGTGGCATCAGACGTCAAGGAGCCAAAGGACCATGTGTGAGGCGCCTAAAAGCTCCTCTCATTCTGTGTGTCATCACATGTGTGTGCCATGCCATTGCACGTGCAACCTCGCCCCCCTGGCTGGCCCCTGCTGGTGCGGGTAGCGGCCAAGTCAGGAGTGGCATCAGACATCAAGGAGCCAGGGGACTACCTGCATGTGTCAATGCATGCGTGTGTCCCTGTGTGGAAAACTGCATGTGTGTCTCCCTGTGTGCGTGTATCATTGACCCGGCCCCCCTGCAGGTGCGCGTGGCGGCCAAGTCAGGAGTGGCATCGGATATCAAGGAGCCAGGGAGGGGACTATGCTGGCTTCCCCACGCTACTCTCATCCGCCCATAACGTGTGTCATTGCGTGTGCGTCGTGTGCACCCCTGTGCCCCTGTGCCCCTGCAGGTGCGGGTAGCAGCCAAGTCAGGAGTGGCATCAGACATCAAGGAGCCAGGGAGGGGACTATGCTGGCTTCCCCATGGTACTCTCATCCGCCCATCACGTGTGTCAATGCGTGTGCATCGTGTGCACCCCACCCCTGTGCCCCATCAGGTGCGAGTGGCAGCCAAGTCAGGAGTGGCGTCGGATATCAAGGAGCCAGGGGACTATGCCGGCTTCCCCACGGTACTCCCACCTGCGCTCCCACCCCTCAAGACCATCCCCCATCCTTGCCTTCTCTCCTGTCCTTTCCCTACCCCTCACTGTCTCCTCTCCCTCCTCCCCTTTCTCCTCCTTCCCCTCTTCTTTTCCTGCCTCCCTGCTTGTCTGCCTCCCTTGCACGCTCCCTGCCTATCTCATATCTTGCCGCTTCAATCATTTTGCACAATTCCAAGGACGCATTTACAGCAGCCTTTTCAGACTCAGCTGTCTCCTATGCCTCCACACCCGCTCTCCTCCCTCCCCTGATGCAATTGTTCCCTGCACACCTCCTAGCCCGCTGCGCTGTCTGGTAGCCTAGCGGCAACTCAAACAAAATCATCCCATGTTCACGTCCTGCATATCATAACACACAAGTGGCCATGAGACGTTGAACGGTTACATAGTAATTGTCGATTTCCGGCTCATTGAATTGCTCGTTTTGTGGTGGTGGCACAGGTGAAAGCGAGCGAGTGGCGGCGATTGGTGGTAATGGAAAGGAGAATGATGAAGGGATCGGAACATGCCGCAGATAGATCCGCACCGTCTTCTAATCCAACGGCGAAGAAGGCTTGAGAAACTGAGTGCAATGGCCTTCTGTAAAATGGATACTGAACAGCGAGGCACATGTTCATGTGCTAGCTTTATATTTAGGTAGGTTGCTGCTAATTCTACCTTTTTTGCATGCTGCACAATCCGAACCTGCACGGTCTCTCAACTAGCGCGTATACTCTTCTGGCACTTGCAGCAGGTGGTCTTAGCTTTAGATGGTCCGTACTAATCCAATCATTGTAATCACACTCTTATCGCATCGCGTGTTTCGTGAAGCACAGCGACGCAGCAATATTAGGCACCGAATCTTCCTTGCTCACCTGGACTTTCGGCGCGAACTGCACCCTCTGTTATCTCCGCCCCTTACCCCGCTTACCTCAGTGCAACAGTTACCAGAGCGCAGTTGTCACGCTTACTGGAGCGCACAAGGCATCGCAGGCGCCGTACCCCGCTTACGAGCCCAGTAGACAGATTACCGGAACGCAAGAGACACCGAAAAGGCGGTACCGCGCGTATCGCAGCGCCATGGGTCTGGACGGCGGAACCATCATTACGCGCACCGACGTAATCCGAGGAGCGTCGTGGCGCCTCGCCTCCAGGTGGCTACCGCCACCGTTACCGTTACCGTTACCGTTACCGTCACCGTTACCGTCACCCTTACTGTTACTGTTACGTTCACCACCTGCTCACCTGCTGGCAGGCTATACCTTGGGAACTGCCCCTCCCCAATCTGCTCCCTGTCTCCAAGTTCCTCCTCTGGCGCTGCCGGTTTCCGCTCTCCCTCGTTCACTCCGCGCTTCCCCTCCCCCTCCCACTCATCCTTCCTCTCGATTTTGCACTATTCCCGCTGCCCTCCTCTCTTCTTTCCCCCTGCCCCCCTGCTCTCCCCATCTCCTTCCGCCGCCCCGCGTTCCCCCTCTCCTCCAATCACTCCGCGCGACCGCAAAGCAGGGACTCCGCGCGGTCGACGCGCGGGGGCCAGCTGTCCGCGGGGGACCTGCTGGGCGGGGAGGAGCGCGTGGGCGCGCGGGAGCAGCGCGACGCCGCGTGGAGCGCGTGCGCGCTGACGGGGGAGGCGCTGAGAGAGCCAATCGCGGTGTGCCAGCTCGGACGACTGTGAGGGGGAAGGGGGACCGAGGGGGGAAAGAGGTGGAGAGAGGGGGCGGAAGGGCGGGAAGGGGGAAAGGAGGAGTAAAGAGCGGTGGGGGAAAGGAGGGGAGGACGTGAGGGAGGACTAGATGGTTAAAAGAGAATTTCCCTGTGCTGTGCCTCCCCTTGTCTCTCCTGCCATCCACACCCGCTTTTCACCCCTCCCGCTGCCATTCCCCCTGCTTCTACCGGTGGTCCATCCATGCACTGTCCATGCTAATACCCCGCTGCTACTACCGCACGAGCGAGAGTGCGTGCCACAGCTGGTTCATGTGCGCACCCCTCTTTCCACCCGTCCCCCCCTCCCCATTCAGCTACCACCAAGAGAGCATGCTACAGCTGGTTCCATGTGCCTCCCACATGTTTCCCCCATTCCCCTCCCCTGCTTCCCCCAATCCTCCCCCTCACACTCCCTTATGCAGCTACAACCGGGAGAGTGTGCTACAGCTGCTGCTGTGGCGAGCGGGGGTTGTTGCAGAGGGGAGCCACAAGGTGAGCCTCAGCTCTCCCTGCTCTGCTCTGCGGTGCTGTGCTGTGCCGTGCTATGCCCTGCTCTGCTGCGCGGTGCAGTGTGGTGCGATGCTGTAGTGTCCGTCCCCTTCTCACTAATCTTATCCATTCGGCGGGTCCCTCTCCCTTCCTGCGCTGCTTCTCAAGCAAGAGTCGTTTTCCAATCTCTCTCCTGCGCCATCCCCCCTCTCCATTCCCCCTTTCCATTCACTCTCCCCATTTCACCATCTCTATCCCCCCTCTTCAACTCCCCTCTCTATCCCCCTCCCTTCTCCACCCCACCTCCTCAACCCCCCTATTGCCCGAACCCATGTGCCATCCCCCATCCCTCCCCAGTGGCGGTTCACCAAGCTGCAAGACCAACTGCACCGCTTTGCACACATCCGTTCCACCAAGGTGAGAGCAAGGGAGCAGTGGAGCAGGGGGGCAGGGGAGCAGGGGGGAGTGGGGAACGGGGGGAGGGGGGAGCTGGGGTGCGTGCAATTCAAGCGACCAATGCAATGCGAGTGTGACGCCCAGTCATGGGATAGCCGGCAACAAGAGAAAGCAATGGAAGCATTGTGAAGCGTTGTGAAGCATTGTGAAGCGTTGTGAAGCATTGTGAAGCGTTGTGAAGCATTGTGAAGCGTTGTGAAGCATTGTGAAGCGTTGTGAAGCATTGTGAAGCGTTGTGAAGCATTGTGAAGCGTTGTGAAGCATTGTGAAGCGTTGTGAAGCATTGTGAAGCGTTGTGAAGCATTGTGAAGCGTTGTGAAGCATTGTGAAGCGTTGTGAAGCATTGTGAAGCGTTGTGAAGCATTGTGAAGCGTTGTGAAGCATTGTGAAGCGTTGTGAAGCATTGTGAAGCGTTGTGAAGCATTGTGAAGCGTTGTGAAGCATTGTGAAGCGTTGTGAAGCATTGTCTGTTTTCCACCTCTTCCGCCGACCCATGCGCCACCTTGGATGTGTGGCCCACTTATGAGAGGGCTGGCCTACAAGAGCAACTCAGCAATTGGGTTTGTTGCTTCCTACCCTCCCCTCTTCTCTCCCTGCTCCCCGTGCTCCTCCCGCTCTCCCCTCCCCTGGCCACTCCCCTCCCCTCGCCACTCCCCTCGCCACTCCCCTCAGGACATTGCCACAGTGCGCTTCCCCTCAGTCGACCATGCAGCCCACAGCAGCCGGGGTGACAATGGCGGTAATAACAGTGGTGAGGGTGAGAAAGCGACCATTGATGATGGCAGCAGGTGTGGCGCTGATACCAACCGTACTGCTCCTGCTGCTGCTGCTGCTGCTGCTGTTACTGCTGCTGCCGACGCACTGACTGCATCTGCTGGTGCCAGTAGCAGTAGCAGAGCCGGTGGCAGCAGCGCAACCAGAGAAAGCGGCAGCAGTGCGGGTAGCAGCAGCAGCAGCAGCAGCAGCAGCAGCAGCAGGGACGCCTCGCATTGGGTTTGCGCGCTTTCAGGCGCCTCTGCCTGCACTGGCTTGCCGTGAGTCTCACGCATGGGAAATAAGGCACAAGGGGCAGTGGGGCACGCGGGGAAGTACGGCACAAGGGGCAGTGGGGCACGTAGGGAAGTAAGGCACAAGCAGCAGCAGCAGCAGGGACGCGTCTCACTGGGTTTGCGTGCTTTCAGGTGCCTCTGCCTGCACTGGCGTGCCGTGAGTGGGGGCACATAGGGCAGTGGGGTGCATGGGGCAGTGGGGTGCATGGGGCAGCACAGGGGGCAGCACAGGGGGCAGCACAGGGGGCAGCACAGGGGGCAGCACAGGGGGCAGCACAGGGGGCAGCACAGGGGGCAGCACAGGGGGCAGCACAGGGGGCGGCACGGCACAGGGGGCAGCACAGGGGGCGGCACGGCACAGGGGGCAGCTACATATCGTTAACCATTATTTTGAAACGAGTGCCGATGACACTGCCTCTACGCCACTTCCTTCCCTCTTATCTCCCGTCCCTCCTCCCACCGTGCGTCCCTCCCATCGCAATCCCTTCCCATCCTTTCTCCCATCTCTCTTGTACCCCTCCCATCCCAATCCCTTCCCATCCTTTCTCCCATCTCTCTTGTACCCCTCCCATCCCAATCCCTTCCCATCCTTTCTCCCATCTCTCTTGTACCCCTCCCATCCATGCCCTTCCCATCCTTTCTCCCATCTCTCTTGTACCCCTCCCATCCCAATCCCTTCCCATCCTTTCTCCCATCTCTCTTGTACCCCTCCCATCCCAATCCCTTCCCATCCTTTCTCCCATCTCTCTTGTACCCCTCCCATCCCAATCCCTTCCCATCCTTTCTCCCATCTCTCTTGTACCCCTCCCATCCCAATCCCTTCCCATCCTTTTTCCCTTCCACCTCCGGTCCGTCTCGTCCCTCGTCCCTCCCATTCCCTCTCCTCCTTGCCACAGCTTCTCTCTCCTCCGACCCTGCGGGCACACCTTCAGCGCACGAGCCCTGGCGCAGGTGAGCTTTCTGAGTCGACTCATAAATCATCCCCCGTCCCTCCCATCCCCCATCCTCCATCCCCCCCCCCATCCCTCCCGTCCCTCCGTGCCACAGCTTCTCTCTCCTCCGACCCTGCGGGCATGCCTTCAGCGCACGAGCCCTGACGCAGGTGGGGTTTCCTTTCCACGTGTCACAAGCACTGGCGCAGGTGGGATTTTTTTGCCACGTGTCACAAGCACTGGCGTAGGTGGGGTTTCATTGCCACGTGTCACGAGCACTGGCGCAGGTGGGGTTTCATTGCCACGTATCACAAGCACTGGCGCAGGTGGAGTTTCATTGCCACGTGTCACAAGCACTGGCGCAGGTGGGGTTTCATTGCCACGTGTCCCTGGCCTGCCAGCACAGGTTGTGAGCACGCGTTCAGGTGATTTCTAGGTGACGGCTCAGGTGATTTCACAGGTGTTTGTTCATGTGATTTCACAAATTCCTCTGTGTCAAAACCAGACGTCACATGGCATCTCCTCCACCCTTTAGTGTTCTCTCTCTTCCACGTTCTCCCTCGTTCTCCCTCTCTCGTTCCCTCGCTCCCTGACCCCCCATCAGGTGAAGGACAGGCAGTGCCCTGTTTGTGGGAAGGAATACGATGGAAGCTCTGATGTCACTCCCATCAACCCCACACCTGACCAGGTAAGTTGTCGATCTGCAAGGTTGGTACAACTGACAAATGCATTGGCTTTAATCTATATCAGAACAGGTGACTCTGTTGAGGCGTACTCGTTACAGTGGGGCTCTCGATGTGTGTGTGTGTGTGTGTGTGTGCACGCGCGCGCGCGCGCGCGTGCGTGCGTGCGTGCGTGCGTGCGTGCGTGCGTGCGTGCGTGTGTGTGTTTCTGAGTCGTTTGCTTTTTCGTGTGTGCCGGATTGGCTTGTCATGCATCTCATGTTACAAAACTGCACCATCTTTCAATGCTCTGTTGTGGACGGGCAATTCAGGTGGAGCATTTACAGCAGCAACTGAAAGTGAAGGGTCGTGCCAAGAGAAAGAGAGTGCCAGCATGTGATCCGAGTCGTCCTCAATCCGACACCCAGTCTCTATCGGTAAAGTTCCTTTCTTGTTTATTTCCTTGCATATTTTTTCGTGTCCGCACTTTCTCTGTTTATTGAGACGTACGGTAGAGCCGAGATGGCCGATGGCCGTGGTTTGTTTCTTTCTTTGGCAGAAGAATAAACGGTCCTGCAAAAACAACTGAAGCGCAATTTGAAGTCTATTAAAGATCTTGTTGAATCGAACCTCGTATTTACCATGCCTAGTAGATATTAAATTAATTACAAATGGCCAAGCATAAGCAGACCATTGTACCATATGAATAACGGTCCTCTGATGGTGTCTTCGTTAAAACAATCTAGAACGGATGAGGTGAGGTGAGGTGTACAGTTGCCCTGATCGAATCACTTCGCGTGCTGAGTCAGCTTGTATTGTGGGAATCTAATCCTGCTCCAGCTGGCACTCAATCAAGAATAGGTTTGACCTCGGGCAGTTCCAGAACAAGGAAAACTTCGGCAGAATGATTCTGGAGGATACGATATGTGCTTATACAGAGGTTTACCAATCATCCACACGCACTTTGGCATGTTTGTTTTCATTTGGGGTACCACTCCCCTGAGTCACTTTTTTTCCCGCAACGCGAGGGGCTACCCCTGAAACGGGGACAACCACCCTGCAAACACCACCTTCATCTCTATTTGCCGTGTCTGGTGAAAATCACATCTTGCCGTGTAAATCAGGTATCGTTCTCGCTGTATCGCACCGCAGCTTGCTCCAGTCGCCCTGCGCTTTTCGCAATCATGTTTTCGTGCTCCTGCAAACGTGATTGCCTGATTGCCTGAATGTTCTCTTCTTGTTCTCCAATCTGTACACCTGATGCGCGATAGAGTCCCCCATACCTGCGTGAAGAAGAGGGACTGTAAGTGGTCCTCTTACTTCGCCCGCTTTCGTCTAGCTCGCCTCGGGAGCGAAGGGCTTCTATCCCGCAAATGTAACACCGCGCTCAAGTTAAGAAGCAACAGTTCAGGGTGGCAGTGTTTGGTTGTAATGTTGGGCTTTTGTTACAACAATGTTACTAGAACAATGTAGCCACCGATGTCACAATCACTCACAAACACCCCACAACATGCAACCACTTCGCAGTACCCAATCAGAGCATTACAACTGTCATTTTAACACTTCAACAACTGGGGCAAATGACGGTGCACAAGAGTGCACAAGATGTGCAAGCGTGTGCACAGAGGAGATTCAAATTTCTCCTCGCAGAGCTGAACCCCCCCTCACATGGTCATCCACTCTGCAGCATCGATGTAGCCATTCATCACGGCATTCACGCCAGAGTCAATTAGCTGCTGGCGGGTCAGCGCCGGCGCAGTCATCCACGCAGGAAGGACGCGACCGCGGCGACGAGGAGTCGCCGCGGCCGCGACGTCGGGCGTTGCCTGCGAAGGAGCGGCGCTCGCGGAGGCGAGCATCCGGGCAGTGGGAGGAGGCGCGGCGTTCAGGTTCAGCGCCGGGCTTGCGCGCTCCATGCGGTCGACGATGACGGGGTTCTTGATCTCGAAGAGTGCGCACAGGTTGCGCGGAGTGATGCCGGTAGCTTTGGCATAGCCAATCAGCATCTCGCTGGCCGCCCTCGCATAGCGCCTCGCCTCGCGGCTCTCGGGGTGGTCGTCGTCGTAAACCTCCTGCATGGTGGAGGGTGGTTCCCATGACGTACTGGAATACGGCGTGCGCGGCTCAATGGCCAGCGGATCCTCGCCCGGCTCCGCGCACGTTGGCTGGTCGTCGTCGATGGCGACGAACTCGGCGGCGGGCATTGCGCTTGGCCCGAGGCCAAGCCGGGCGATCATGATGCCCACGTCGCCGATGTCCTCGTCGAGATCGATGGGGAGCGCGGCATTCACGCCGGCGCCTGTTGCCGCTAGACCGTCGCGGCCGACATGAGCTAGATCCATTGCCCAGGAGCGGGGCAGACAGCCTGTGCGCCACCAGCAACGCTGGATGGTGCGGGCGGGGATGTTCATCCATGCCTCAGAGAGCCATGCGATGACATCCCGCATGTTCGGGCGAAAGCGCGCCAAGGCTGTGGTAGAGCCGCCCTCCTGCCACAGGGTAGTGACCGCGCGGAGCCAGTGCTGGCGGTAGCGCGCCTTCGTGGTGGCAATCAGCCCCTGGTCCAGCGGCTGAGTGAATGCCGTGGTGTTGGGCGGCAGGAAGACAAGGCGTATGTTGCCTAGAATGCGGGTGCGGAATCCGAACAGGTCCTCGGATTCTGCATCCTCACTCTGCACGGCGTGGCTGCTCGCATTGTCAACTAATATGACAATATTGCGGTCCTCGGCGACCATGGCGGCGTTGAGCTGGCCAATGAAATGAGTGAATATCTGGCCAGAACAAGGAGACAGGGATCAGTTATTGAATTCCTTTTTCTTTATACTGTAAACGCAAACATACAAGTCAGGCGCCAACGGGCCTTAAAGCCAGCGGAAACATTCAAAGTAGGACCACTATCACGGACTTACAGGGGCGGTCATCCAACCCTTGGCGTTGCTACGCCAATAACAGAGTTCCTCCGGGTCGTAGTCAGGCAGGAAATCCCGCGGGCGCTTCAACTTCGAAATCACCAATGGGCGGAAGGCGTGGCTCCCATCCGCGTTAACAAGAAGCCCGACGGTGAGACGCTGCTTCGCCAGCTTGCGCCCCGCCACACGCGCACCTCCGTACGTCTTGCGCGGCAAGACGGACAGGTACAGAGCGGTCTCATCAAAATTGTAGACGTCGCAAGGACAAAGGGCGAGGTACATAAGGAGCTGCGGGAGTTGCTGCTGGCAAGTGCGCACCGCAGCGTGGTCCTGGTCGGCCGCCTCGCCGGTGGCGCTGCGGCAACGAATGCCATGGCGACGCATAGCGCGGCGCACCCACCCCACGGAGCAGCGGAACGTGGGGGGCAGATTCATACCGCGCGCGATGACCGCGACGTGGTCGCGGATGGTGGCGAGGGTCAGAGGGACAACTGCGGGGCCGGCGTTGCGGACCCAGCGCACCATGGCGTGCTCGAGCTCCGGATATGCGCCGCCACGCACACGCACAGTGTTGGTATTCGGGGCGATCCATCTGTCAGCGCTTTTCAGGACCCGCCCAATGGTAGAACGATCGGGACGGATCCCGTAACGCGTGAAACACCAACGCGCCAGATCGACCTGGCGCATGTTGGGGTTGCTCACATGCTGGGCACAAATCGCCCGCTTGATGTGCAAGGGGAGCTGCGAACGGCGGTATAGGCGCGGCATGCCTGTGTCTCTTAGTAGCTAATGGTTCTGAGTGACATCTCTGATTTTGGGACTTGTCATTTTATGGGGGACTCCCATACCCCTGCTTGACGAATGTCGAATTCGTTTTGCGGGCCGCAAATGTATTGAGTCAACATTCGCAGTCGTTCACCTAGCCACATTTAGAAGCGAGTAACAACCTTTCGACGAGTGCATGTTTCGGGAATGTGGCCTGTTACACGCACAGGTTACCAGCGTCACAGGAAATGACGTGTGCATAAATGCTCATTGTGCATCGAGATGGGTTTATATCGATCGCTGGCAATGTACACGTGGAGGCAGTGCTGCTCGGGATGAGCGTTTGGTGCACAATGAGCCTTGCGGACGTGGCGTACACTCGCATGCGAAAATGTTTGCGAGGGCACAGCAATCTTAGCCACAGTTTTCGCCGTGCATGACTATGGCCTCGGAACAGGGCATCCTTGGGCCAGAGTCTGTTGTCCTGGTGCTCATGTGGTTGTTTTGTCGCCCGGCCATCCACGCGCAAGTAGCTTGGCGCGCTTATAAGCAGGGTGCAGCTGGCTGGGGGAAATCTCACGAGTGCAGGCTTTCTGAAATGGGCAGGGCAAATTCGGGCGCAGTGGTCGGGCATCGTGTGTATTTGCGTCTTCGGTTCACCCGACCAGTTTAGCCGTGCTAGCACGGACAGCCATGGGGACCAGGTTCGTGTTTTGCGAGGTTTGTTTCCGAGAAATTTCCATTCAGGGCAACTGACGTGTAGTTAATCTTATGACAAAAGCTGGAAGGCGATGGTGCCGGACGGGACGAAAGATCCCAACGTTCTCCATGCGACGTTAAAGGTCACACGGTTTTCGTTACGGGCGAAGTGCCAGTCTCGTCCATAATCAAAATTGAGTTGTGACGATCCTTCTTACGAAGGACAGATCACGATAATCTAGGACGGTTCTTCTCGAGAAGAACCTTCACGCCCGTTCGCTTCTCCTAGGGGTCAGCTGAAGCTGTTACGGCCACACAGACAGCTTTCGTAATCTCGCGCAGATCCGCTCACGTAAACGTAAATTCATTGTGCTGTGATGCGAGTGCGTGAGGCAGGTGAGGTGAGGTTTGCGTAAGTGAGAGTGACGGTGAGAGAGTGATGGTAGTAGAAACAGTGTCCCCTGGAGGTGCGAACAGGCAAGGAGGGGGGGATCCTCTTCAAGCGAACCTCGGTTAGACAACCTCGGTTCTCGCTACAATACCACACGCGTTTTTTATTGGGCCAACATCATAGACATGCAAATTAGTCTGGTAACCCTATTCGATGGTATGCAAAACCGTCGATACCCCAGTTCTGCTGCGCAAAATTGTCTGGTAGCGCCACTCAAAACACTGTGTAACAGCTGACGCAGCACAGAAAAGGAAGAAAATATGGGATTGAATCAGTTGCGTTTTCGATTTCGTATCGTCGTGGTTCTTACCGCGTCTTGTTCGGCGCCTAACAAATATTCCTGCCGGCTACTATTTTCCGCTAAATGTGACGAAAAATCCACTGGAATGAAAGGCTACGGGGTCCATTTCGATAACATTAATTTGGACCAATATATTGCTACCGGGAAATGTAGGGGCAGGGCAGAAAAACAATAAAACCCCTAGGGACCTGGACGCATTTCTGGGAGGGATCAACCCTAAACACGGGAAAGGACATTGTTTTTAGGGTTGATGCCTCCCTGACGCATCCCTTTCCGATCGGGTTTTATTTTTTTCTTGGCCCGAAGAAATCACGTCTTAGCGCGAAGGCAAGCGCGGTAAAGATCAAATTTGAATTAAAAACGAACGTGCTTTCAGGGCAGCATGTCAATAACTTGCAAACAGAGGTAAGACGGTTTTGCATACCATTGGATAGGGTTACCACACTAATTTGCATGTCTATGATGTTGGCCCTTTTTTATTCCGTCTCCGTCTCCGTCTCTGTCTCCGAACCGGACAGGTGTATCTTCTCCCAACTCGGTGCACTACGGATACAGCTGATGCTCACCCCATGCACGCGAATTTGCCTTGCGCCGGATGGATACGCTGCACCCGAGGTCGTTTCCCCAGCCTTATGCACCTACATTACAAGCGCGTCGCGTGGTTATCAACCAATAGTAACGAACAGACCAAAGTCAAACTAGGTACAGACCGAAGTCAAGCAGAAGAGACTGAAGTCAAACTAGGTTACAGATCTTGTTTATAAGCACATGCGAATCCTTTTTAGCTAGCTGCGAATTGACGAAACTTATGCGAAATGCTCGTAAGGCAACCGGGAGGGGCTCAAACAGGCATCAGGTGTATACGGCGTGTACAAACCACCACAGCATCCCGCTATGTTCGGCTAACAGTCAATAGATTAGGTCACCATGCTGGGGTGGGTGGGGGGACCGCTCCAGCAAGGCTTACATCATCACCGGTGGTGATACCATTATGACGACATTACGGTTACCTAGCATGCGGCGTGAATGATGCCTGCGATCCCGCCGCCTGTTCGCCGCGAAACCAGATTCTGAGAATCTACATCCGATTTGAAATGTTGTTGACGGTCCCAGCAGCCTGATTGGTAAAGTGTCATCCACCTCTGACGGCTAGCAGGCCAAGTTTCCACTCAGACGTTAAAAATGTCGCCAATTATTGGCTCACAGACTCTTGCCACGCCACTTGCTCTGCTTGCAAGTTGTTTAATGGCCAGTCGGTCCCAGGCCGAGTCGCGAGAGTGCTTCTCCTCCTCCCCTCTCCAAAGGACTCCGAAGCACCCCCATGCCGCGACGCGAGTCAGCATGAATGCATCGATGAGTAGCATCTGAAAGAGCCGCTGTGTTTCCTGTCTTGGTCAGCTTCTCCAGATCTGTTTTCATAGAATGCCAGCTGGTGTACGAGTAATCAGGCTGATGCATGATTATTCTGGGACAGATTCCCCTGGCCTAGTAGTACTAATCGATTATCTCCCAGCAAGTGGCTCCCAGCAAGTGGCTCCCAGCAAGTGGCTTCTAGTCGTTTCCGACGATTCCTTCCAGAGAATCCTTTTGCGCTCTTCGTTCCGTTTCGAGGCTTCTCAATAGACTCGTCTGGGGCAGTGACAGCGACAAGGAATAGTCCGTCAACGTCACGTTAACTTAGTCCGACTCTCCTCATGGATTGCCTGGGCGAGGCGCCACTAGTAACGGAAGAACCATGTTTCGACGCGGTTCTAGCAGCAGCGGACGAACCGCATTTCGACGCAGCGCCTCTAGCAGCGGGGGGACCACCATGTTTCGACTCGGACGCGCTCCCAGCGGGGGAGCTTCAAGCCGCGCTGCTGCGAGAGGCTCTTCAATCCGAGTCGGATTGGAGCAGCATGGGCAGGGAGGAGCTCCGCCTGATCCACGAAGCCCTGCAGCGCGCCGAGCAGCCCACAGAGTTGACTTTTAAGTCGACTCAAGAGTCAACGGGCAGGGAGGAGCTCCGCCTGATCCACGCAGCTGTGCAGCGCGCCGAGCAGCCCGGCGGACTGGGTGATTCCGCTTTGACCGCCGCCGCGCAGCACGGGCTGGGAGATTTAGAGCCCGCGTTGATCGCCGCCGGCGATAAAAATCTTGCCGAGCCGGATTTAAGCGCGGAGCGGCACGCACGGCCAGTGGTGCGAGCGCCGGGGAGTGAAGGAGAGAGTCGGGTTGGAGTAGCACCCTCAGCCTCAGCAGGGGGGCTTCTGCAGGATCATTTTGTTGGGAATGGGGCTTTTGGGGAGCTATCCCCTCCCAACCCCCTGCTGGCTCAGACGCGGGATGAGTCTGGTCGTTCCCTTCCGCTGCTTCCTGCGCAGCTACTGGCTCAGCATCTGCCGCCTAATCAGCATCTGCCAGCTCAGCAGCCTTCACAGCGCAGCACCTACCCTCCTCCGCCTGCCTGTCGCTCCTTCCCCTCACCATCCCTTCCCTCGGCCCTCAACCCGTCAACGGCTTTCATGACTCACAAAACACCCGCCTTCATGCCAACTTTTGGCACGAAGCGAAGGCTTCTAGCTGCTCAAATCAGTAGCCTTGCTGATATGGACGCTTTTCAGGCGCGGAAGAGGTTATGTGATAACCCTGTTTCTGTTGACTCCGGTCTCCCTCGCGCTGCACGTGCTGCTGTTGCGACTGCTGCTGTCAGTGAGCCATTCGCTGCTGCTGCTGCTGGTATGCTCTCTACCAACAGCAGCCGCGTTTCCGACGAGAAAATTCCGGGGTGTATTTCCAAGCTAGATGTGCCGTGGAATGCAGCAGCAGCAATAGCAGCGCTTCCTGCTATGGCGTCAAGAATTACCCCTGTTTCAGCGCCCTCCTCCTGGACTGCTGCTGCTGGGCCTGCTGCTGGGCCTGCTGCTGCGGCTGTTTCTGCGACTACTTTTAATGAGACTGCTTTTGCTGCAACCACATGCCCGAGAGACTCTGGCGTGTGGCGCACACGTCCAGGCATGAGCCCATCACACTCTGGCCTGGCCTCCACATACTCTGGCGTGTGGCCCACACGTGGTGGAGTGTGCCTGCCACAGCAACACCCCTTGGACCAGCTTGCTGCTGCTCTCGTGAAGCCTCTGCCTCCGCATCCCTTTGAAATGGAGTGTGGGACAGGACTTGACAAATGCGTGGACACTTTTCCCCTGGCTGCTGCTGCTATTGATGGTGGTGTTGGTGGTGCTGCTGCTGCTGCTGTTGCTGCTCCGGCTGCTCCTGCCAATCCAGTCTCGTCCCTTGAACACCAGCGGAGGCAGGCAGCTATTAGCTGCCTGTTGAGGCGACTCCAAACACAAGCAACTGACAGCACCGCACTGCACCGCTCCGTCTCGCCAGCACTGACAGCAACTGACCGTCTCAAGGGCTGTTGTCGCCACCGCTGCATTCCCCAAAACCAAATCCGTCACTGCAGCCAGCAGTGCAATCAGACATCTCCCAAGCACATGCGCACAAACTCTTCACTCCATACACCTCCATACTGCAGGCAGCAGCAGTGCGTGGGCCTGCGTCAGCCCGGGAGTCAACCCCAGGAGGAAGCATGGGCTTTAAGTCGCCCTCTGCAACCCCGTCTCCCTTGTCCCAGTCCCTAAGGGGAGGGGTGGGACGCGCAAGGACAGGGGCGAAGCAGATCACTGGGAAGAGTGCTACGGAGAAGCAGCGGCGGTCCAGAATAACGTGAGTGGGTGGAAGAATAAACTTTGAGGTGGATGATCATTCGGTCTTGTGTGTAACTGCATTGCTTGCATGTTGTTTGTCGGATTTATTGCTCTGTGCACTGCACTGCACTGCACTGCACTGCACTGCACTGCACTGCACTGCACACTACCCCGCCTCATCCATCCCGTGTCTCCTTCCCTTCCTCCCTCCTGCTTCTGCTTCCCATGAGTGTCTCACACTGAACGATTAGAGGCCCTCAAGGCAGTGATACCAGCGGAGGTGCTGCTGAGGCAGCAGGGGCGAGCAAGTTTCGAGATGTCTCTAAAGTCTCTTCTGTTCCTTGCATCCCTCTCTCGCCCTTCATCTTCCGCCTCCCATGTGTGCCTTTCAGTGAGCGACTGGAGGCCCTCAAGGCAGTGATACCAGCGGAGGTGCTGCTGAGGCAGCAAGTTTGTGCAGGCTTTTAAGATGTCTCAAAAGGTTCCTTTGTTTCTCCTGTCCTCCCATTCCTTCCGCCTCCCATGTGTGCCGTACAGTGAGCGGCAGGAGGCCCTCAAGGCAGTGATACCAGCGGAGGTGCTGTTGAGGCAGCAGGGCCGGGCAAGTCTCGAGATTTTTCTAAAGTCTCTTCTGTTCCTTGCATTCCGCTTTCACCCTTCCTCCTCCCATGTGTGTCTTACAGTGAGCGACTAGAAGCCCTCAAGGCAGTGATACCAGCGGAGGTGCTGCTGAGGCAGCAGGGGCGGGCGGGGTTCAGCAATCGCACGCAGATCGCCACTCTGCTGGATGCTGCCGTGGGGTTCATTGAGGGAATGCGCCAGTACAAGCTGGAGCTGCAGAGGCAACTTCTGGCCCCGTAACGCATCTGGTCTGAGCAAACTACCTCGAATTCTAACAAAGCCACTCTCTCCTGGATGCTGCCGTGGGGTTCATTGAGGGAATGCGCGAGTACAAGCTGGAGCTGCAGAGGCAACTTCTGGCCCCGTAACGCATCTGGTCTGAGCAAACTACCTCGAATTCTAACAAAGCCACTCTCTCCTGGGTGCTGCCGTGGGGTTCATTGAGGGAATGCGCGAGTATAAGCTGGAGCTTGAGAGGCAGCTGCGGGCCTCGTGACCGACAGTGCATCTCATAGTTTTCAACGCTTACGCATGTTGATTCGGCAAACGCTGCAGCAGGCTCCACCTGAGCCGCAGCCAGTCGCACGCAGATAGGCACTCTCTTCTGGGTGCTGCAGTGGGGTTCATTGAGGGAATGCGCAAGTACAAGCTGGAGCAGGAGAGGCAGCTTCTGGCCTCATAACGGTGCGTCTGCTCCAAGCAGCTACCTTAAATTCTCGAGAACCAAGTTGGGAGCAGGCTTCAGTCGTGCAGCCATTTGCACGCACACAGCCTTCAGTCGGGCCGTTACATGGTTCATCGAGGGGATGCTTCCACCTTGGTGATCTGAAAACCTCCCATTCTTGCAATCTGAATACGGCTCGTGTGGAGCCTCCTCGGCACGTCATGGCCCAGGCCTTGGGTTTGACTTTCTTGAAGCGAAGGTCTCAATTTGTAGCTTGGGAGCTGAATGCAGGTGCATTCGCAACATCTGCTGCTGCAGCGCAGTTACGGACAGACAGCGGTACAGTAGACCCTCCCTTCAAGGCTCAAAGATTGAGGTTCATTCTATGCTATGCTCAAGCTAGATACTCGTGACTTTTGAGTTGACTCAAAAGTCACCTTTATGCTCAAGCTAGATACTCGTGCATGAGCAGGTTTTAGCTTCGCAGGCAGACAGCCATTCGCTGGATGCTGAAGAGATAAACAAGCAAAAACTACAGGCAGACAAAGACATCCATTGTTGTAGCTAAGCTTTTGGATGTGTACACGTGTACAGTATCAAGTTTGCAGTTTGCTGTAAAGCACTTTTTTTTTCTCCAACAGCTTCCATGTTATAGCATTGAATGAATCACACGCTGCATATGCTGCACTGTGCACAGATTGATGGATATGCCTTGTCCACCAAATTGTCGTACAAGTGTTTCGCACTGCAGTGGCACGATTGCGATTAGCACAACAGTTTTGCAGCTGAGGTCAATCCTTTTGAATCAAACAGATACGGTATTGCTTAGTAAATTACCAAAAGTGGGATCCAGCCTAAGAAACTGTAGCTGTTACAGTAATTTGAGTCCGAAGGATTCTGGAGTGCTTCAAGGTACTCACAGCTGTGGACTAAGAAAATGAATGGGCACAAACGTAAGCTCATCCAATAAATGGGCGCTTTTGGTCCCATTTACCCCTGTTGAAAATGGAACCCCCCAGGGAAGCCACCTCCAAAACCGCCTGGGAATCCACCTGGGAAGCCCCCTCCCCCTTGGAAGTGGAATCTGACGTTCTGTCCAAAGGGGAAGCCACCTCCTCCCCCCTGCTGCTCTGGTTCGTCCACATCCTCTCCCCGGTCATACCGGCCTCTCTTTTCCTCATCTCCCAACACCTGTAGGATTAGGCGAGGGAGTGGGATATGGGTTGAGTTTCGAGTCCACTCAAACTTGCCGCTTCCCCCCTGCTGCTCTGGCTCGTCCACATCCTCCCACCTGTCGTACCGCCCCCTCTTCTCCTCATCTCCCAACACCTGGAGGGTTGGGAGGGAGAGGGGGCGAAGAGGGGAAGTAAGGGGCGTGAAGCGGACAACTCAAAACTCAGTGGTACTAGCCCCCGCCTCCCTGCTGCTCTGGTTCGTCCACATCCTCTCCCCCAGTCATACCGCCCCCTCTTTTGTCCTCATCCCCTAACACCTGGAGGGTTGGGAGCGAGAGGGGGTGAAGAGGGGAAAAGGGTGCAAAGAGGGGATGTGGGGAGAGTGAAGTGTAGGCCTTGAGGTGTCACAACACCCGGCCGTACTTACCCCCTTGTTCATGTTGACTGAAACACACAAAAAAAGGCAGATGTGCCCCCCCCGCATGTGCCTTTCGCCTTGGCCTTTCCTTTAGCGCCTCCCTGTTCTCCACGTTCCTCCAACCCTTCCCCTGCTCCCATACCCTGTGCGGGCATGACCCACAACTCTCCTCACCTCATATGCAGCGGCCACCTCCCTAAACTGCTCCTCAACCTCCTCCTTGTTCTCCGTGTTCTTATCCTGATGCCACTTGAGTGCCATCCTCTTGCAATCCCATTCCCTTTGCCCACTGACCCCATCCCATTGACCCCATTGAACCTGTGTTGACCCCGTTGACCGCCCTCACCTCGTATGCAGCGGCCACCTCCCTAAACTGCTCCTCAGCCGCCTCCTTGTTCTCTGTGTTCTTATCCGAATGCCATTTGAGTGCCACCCTCAGCAATTCATTCCCTTTCTCCAATGACCCCACCACGTTCACCCTGCTCGCCCTCTCCACCCTCCTCACCCTCTTCACCCTCCTCACCCTCTTCATCCTCTATCTCACCTCGTATGCAGCAGCCACCTCCCTAAACTGCTCCTCCGCCTCCTCCTTGTTCTCTGTGTTCTTATCCGGATGCCATTTCAGCGCCAGCCTCTTATACGCGCGCTTGATGTCAGCAGCAGACGCGCTCTTGTCCACCCCCAGCACCTTGTACCAGTCCTTGCGCTTGCTCATCTTCAACCCCTGCTCTGCTCGCTGAAACCCAGACACAGCTTCACGGCTCTGCATAGGACGAAGGGGAGGGGGAACGGAAAGGCATCAAGAGGGGGTGAGGTGAGAAAGGGGGAAAAGAACCTTATCCACCCCCAGCACCTTGGACCAGTCTTTCCGTTTGCTCGTCTTCAACCCCTGCTCCGCCCTCTGAAAGCCTGATACTGCCTCCCGGCTCTGCACGGGTAAAAAGAGGTGGAAGAGGGGAGCAGAGGAGTGTATGGAACGAAGGAAAGGGTGAGAAAGGGAGAGGAGCGCTCTTGTCCACCCCAAGCACCTTGTACCTATCCTTGCGTTTGCTCATCTTCAACCCCTGCTCCGCCCTCTGAAAGCCTGATACTGCCTCCCGGCTCTACATTGGGTGGAGGGGATGGGAGGATGGAGAGGGCACAGAGGTAGGGTGAGGGAGGATTGGAGGGAGAAGAGCTCTTATCCACTCGCACTACCAGCTGGTACAGGAGCTCTTACACGGTACCAGTCCTTGCGTTTGCCCATCTTTAACCCCTGCTCTACTCTCTGAAGCCCCCAGCTTCACGGCACTGCACGGGTTTAGGGGAGAAAGAAGAGGGTTGAGGGGGGTGGCAACAGGGTGAGGGTGAGAGAGGCAAGAGCCCTTGTTTGCACTCAACTCGCACTACCAGCTGGTACAGGAGCGCTGTTGCACAACCAAACGAGGGATGCTGCACAGGTGGCTGATGCAGAGAGCGATTCAGCAGGTGCAGATAACTCGGCCTACCTGCTGGTTCAGCTGGTGCGCGTGTTTGAAGTCCCCCAGAGCGCCCTCCCATTCCTCAGATGCAATGCGGGCCTCACCACGCTGGTAGGACAGGGCAGGGCAGGTAGACAGAGATGGGAGGGTGGGAAAGGGGGGAAAGCAGTGAGGAGCGCCCTTAGTGGGTCAGCTGATGTGCGTGCTTCAACTCCCCCAGAGCGCCCTCCCATTCCTCAGATGCAATGCGGGCCTCACCACGCTAGCAGAGGGCAGGCACATAGACAGGGATGGGAGGGTGGGAAGGGGGAAAGTGGTGGGGGGACGGGTGTACGGTGGTAAGAGGGTGCGAAGCTGACGTCAGCAATGAGAGGGTGATGTCAGCAATGGAATGGCATCAGCGGACAGGCAGCATGAGGAGAGGAGGTTGGGTTTTTTTTAGGCGCCTTTTGAGGCGGTTTTTGAGGTGACTTTTGAGGCGACTCAAAAGGCGGAGTGGCAACATGAGGAGGAGGAGGTAGGGGTTACGATAACACTCACCAGCAGCAGCGCATCAGAGTGGTCGTTGTCCATTGTCAGCACTTCCGAGCACGCCTGTGCCGCCTCCTTGCCTCGCCCCAGCACTGTTCTAAGTCAACTCAAGCCACATGAGGGAGGTTGGGGTACTGAATTACTGACCAGCAGCAGCGCATCAAAGTGGTCGTTATCGACTGTCAGCACTTCCGAGCACGTCTGTGCCGCCTCTTTGATACATCCCACGAGGTGACTTCTGAGAAGTGTTCAACAGTCAGAGTAACAGCACGAGGAGGTTCCATTACTCACCAGCAGCAGCGCATCGAAGTGGTCATTATCGACTGCCAGAACCTCCGAGCATGCCAGTGCTGCCTCCTTCCCTCGCCCCAGCTTCACCAGGCTCTTACACAGCCCCAGGTGCAGCTTCATGTTGTGCTGCTTGTGATCGGGGATGATCTGAAGGGAGGGGGAAAGGGGGACAAGAAAGGGGAAAGGGAGCAGAAGATGAGAGGGAGTGTGGCAAGGGCAGTGACAGTGCAAGCGCAACGAGGCTCCTGCACAGCCCCAGGTGCAGCTTCATGTTGTGCTGCTTGTGATCGGGGATGATCTGATGGGGGAATGCAGGGAGAGGGGGGGAGGGAGGGGATGATTTGACGAGGGAATTCATCAGGCCCCAGGTGCAGCTTCATGTTGTGCTGCTTGTGGTCGGGTATGATTTGACGAGGGAACGCATGGACCGGGGCAAGGAAGAGTGGGGAGAGAACAGAAGACGTGAATTCGAGGGGGAGGGGAAGTGAAGACTATCAACAGCGAATTTGGAAAATCTTACCGCACGTTCAAGTGTGATTTAAATAGACTGACCTCGAGAGCAGCCTTGAACTCGTCTGCTGCCTTGCGATACTTGTTCTGCTCCAGCAGATCCTGGGCCTGGTATAACCAAGAGGAGGAGAGAAGGAAGAGTTACCAGGAAACAAAAACATTAGAACGAGTGTTAAGATGTTCCTTAAAAGGAGGCCAGTTGAGACGATCTCTGGTTTACCAGCTCACGGTAACCTCCCTGGTTGTTCTCCCAAGAAGATCCAGACCCTGAGTTGCCAGCACGGCCTCTTCCCTCTCCATCTCACTGCTCACTTCCCTTCCCACACAACTTCCTCTCCACACCCCATCACCCCACTCACCGCCTTGGTTTCCCCTTACGGTTTCTGATCCGTCTCCATGCCCTCGTCAGCTCTTTTGCTCCTCCTTCCAACCGCTGTGCCCTCCCCTTCCCACACCACTTTTTCTCCCTTCATTTCATAACCCTGAACGTCTGCCTGTACGCCTCTCACAGCTTCTTGCCTCCTCCTCCCCACTCTCGATGCCTCGCCGCTTTGATTCTCTTCTCCCTGATTGTTAGCTGCCTGTATACCCGCTACAGCTCCTCCTTTCAGCAACTCCTCTCTTTGAATCATTGCGATAAATTTTCTGCTCCGAGTCTCTTAGCTGCCTGTATACCCGAGTCAACTCCGCTTCTCCAACTTCCAAACAGACCCAGTTTCCTCCCCTTCCCACAACAAATCCTCTCTCTAACCCTGTCCACTCACCGCTTTGGTTTTCTTCTCCAAATTCTTGAGCTGCCTGTAGGCCTTTTTAAGCTCCCCATGCTCAGGATCCGACCGAAGACCCGCCTGGAAGTGCCTGGAAGAAGGGCGCACGCAGAGAGACAGGGGGAGTGAGAGAAGCGTGGGGAAAAGAGGAGGAGAAGGGGAACGAGAAAAGGGGACAGGGGGGGGCGGGGGGGGGGGGGGGGGAGGGGGAGAGGAGCGGGGGAGGGGCAGGAAATTTGTGATATCTCACGGAAAAGGTCCGCGTGTGAGAGGCGGTGAGGAAGAAAGGGGTACGGGGGCGCGAGGAGGGGCGAGATGAGGAGGGGAGGGAGCGGTGGATAGATGACGAGCACGCGGAAGGAAAAAAAGCACGCCACTTGGAGTCTCAAGGCTTGCGTAGATTGTGTGGTCGTTGTCTGCATTGTACTTACTTAAGTGCGTGGTCATGGTCCCCGTTGTACAGATACGCCCTCCCCCTCAGAAGCAGCCCTTCCAGGTCGTTCTCATCTGACTTAAGCGCCCTGCCCGCCTCTGCAATCACGCCAGGGTAGTCCCCCTTCGCCATAAGCAGCTTCGCTTTAAGCAGCAGCGCCTCTTTACAGTCCGGCGCTACACTGAGCACGTCATCCTCTAACCGCTTCTCCACCTCCTCCCCTCCCCCGGACTCTACTGCGCTTTTAACGGCTGCTAGGGCCTGTGCTGCTGCCTTGGTTGACGCTAGCTCCTTCCGCGCACTGGTATGCGACGGCTTTAACTCTAATAGCTTCTCGAAATCGGCGGAAGCTGCTGAGAACCTGCGTGCGGGAAAGAGTGATGAGCAAAAAGGGGAAAGCAGGGGGAATGGAATGAACAGTGATACAGGGGCGCCAGACGACCAATTAGGCAGAATTTGGCGGCCTACTGGCAGAATCGACGGCTTACTGGCGCAGCTGACGGCGAACACGACATCTGCAGGAGGCGGTTCCACCTGAATGGCCCTGTCTATATTCGCCACTTCCTGTGCCTACTGGCAAAATTGTCGGCTTACTGGCACAGCTGACGGCGAAGACGGCCTCTGTGCAGGTAGCCCTGCAGGAACGACGGCTCCACCTGGATGGCCTTGTCTAGGTCCGCCTCTGCCTCTCTGTGCTTCCGCTGCTGCAGATACACCGCCGCTCGCTTCGTGTAGCCCAGGCCCGTGCTAGGATCCGCTTCTGGAAGTGGGGGGGACGAGAAAATGCGGGGACGAGGAGAGGCGTGAAACTGAGTTTCTCAATCAGTTAAGTTATACGACCTCTTCGTTTAGCCTGGACCTAAGTTTGGCGCTCGCCTGTTTTTACTTTTTTTTTTTTTTTTTTGGTGCATAGCAAGGAGAACTGGGGAGGCGAAATCCTCATTAGCCGAGCAGCCCGTTGCGTGTGCTGAGTGTGAGTCTAAGGGACAGAGGAAGGAAGGGATGGATTATGACATGAACTTGGATCGGCGGAAGGGAGGGGAAATTGGACTGAAGTTTCAACAAGAAGATGACTGACAGTAACCTCTGCGATTGCAACTGACGGGTCATAATCCTTTCAATGCCCCTACAAAGGAGAAAGTCCGTTGGTATTGTTACTGATTCACGAACTTCGCAAGCATGAATTGGTGATGCAGTGTTGAGAGACTAACCGATGAATGCGGTGTAGTGCCGCAGCGCGGCGGAATACTGTCCTGCTGACACCGCCGCATCGCCAGATTGCAAAAAAGAGCCTGATTGGGAAAATAATTGCGATTCATGACACAATTGCAAAGTTATAGGGTTAAGTCAGAGAGTTACGGAGTTGCCGATTTAAGTTGGATCGGGGATACAAGACACAAAGCTTCTACTACTATTAGTATCCGCGAACGCGATGCACGCTGTCGATAAGCTGCAAACATCGATAAGCGACGGGAGGTTGTCAACCGTACCTGGATCTGCTGCCGATGCAGCGACAACGAGGAAGGTCAGCACACTGATACTTATACATTGCCGCGAAAGTTTTGCAATAATTTCATAAGTCCTGCTCCTTCTCCACCTCCCGCAGGCGCTACCATCAATCATGCTGCTACCGATCGCGGCGCAAAATAACTTGCAATTGATAAGGCACCTGGGACGAGGTGATGGTAAATTAGCCTAAACGGCAACAGCAACCCAACACTCAAGGTCTGCCTTCTATGATTACACGTTAATCGGCAGATTTCGTTGGAACTGGATTACAAGGGAACTAGTAACTGTCCAGTGAAAGCTGTTTGGTGATCAAGGCTTCCTAGCGACAATAGACCTTGAGATTTGCTTTCAGAGATAGTTGGAAATCTGTGATGTGCGGAATTTCCGAGGCTTGGTTTGGTTTGGATTGGTTGTCCGAAAGATGGCGACTGTTTCACGAAGAGTCGTCAGCCAACCATCGTAAGCCATCTGGAGTGCGTCTGGGAAAGATTTTCTTCTGGAACCTGACACAGTTCCAGTAGTGTTTTGCTACCGCTGATTGGTAGACCTGAAATTATTGACGTGTATTTCACAGAAGCATTTTCTGGTTATGGAATTCCCCGATTTGAGGCAGTCACCTTAGCCATAAATAGAGCCAACCGTTTTGTTTTCACCACATCAAAATTAGTTTCACTGTCCGTATTTGGCGTTTTCCTCATTGATAACATAGTGAATCCTAAGTTTTTATACCATTCTCTTCATGAGGCAGCAGTATTTTATTAATGTGATGGATAGCATCCCGTATCTTAGGTGGTTTACGAATAAACCTTGTAGCCATGTAGTTTAAAACCTTACCTAGTTTGTGTGTAATGAACTCAAGCAAATCTCACCGTTCAGTTTACAAGCTTATCGACGGTGAGCCGTGGTTTCAGCAAGACTTGGATAAGCCGTGGCGTTCGTGATTTACAATTGATGCCTGTTTGAGCCCCTCCCGGTTGCCTTATGAAGGGGGCGTATAAGCTGTCACGAGCAGTTCGCATAAGTTTCGTCAATTCGCAGCTAGCTAAAAAGAATTCGCATGTGCTTATAAACAAGACTCTGCTACCTAGTTACCTAGTTTGACTTCAGTCTCTTCTGCTTGACTTCGGTCTCTTCTGCTTGACGCGCTTGTAATGTAGGTGCATAAGGCTGGGGAAACAACCTCGGGTGCAGCGTATCCATCCGGCGCAAGGCAAATTCGCGTGCATGGGGTGAGCATCAAGTGTACACCAAACCAACCACCCTTGATTGTGGGAATCTTTTTAGCTAGCTGCGAATTGACGAAACTTATGCGAACTGCTCGTGACAGCTTATACGCCCCCTTCATAAGGCAACCGGGAGGGGCTCAAACAGGCATCAATTGTAGTGTGAATCCAGTGGATAGACTTTCGCGAACTCCACTTCGCCAATCTTCAACCAATCCCTTGAGGCCCGCACCATCCCACCTGGGCTTAGCTGAAACCCTCGTCGCTACTACTGTACGTTATTGCCAACGACCACAACCTTGGTTTTGGCTGGTCCTTTTTGCCTAATCTTAGCTGAAACCCTCGCCGCTGCCTGAAATACCACCTGCAGCAGTCGAAACCCTCGAGGGTTTGCTCCACCAGATCTCAAGAATCATAACGGTCGGGACTAGGCTCAATTTATTACACACCTTGATAGGTCCCCATGCCATTTTTCACCACCCAGAGTTGGGAACTCAGTTTTTTTTTTTTTTCTGTGCGGACTAGAGTTGTTGCGTGCCTCGGTATTTCGCATTTTGATTCCCAAACCATTTTGAAGCCTTTGTGCGGTTCGATTGTTTCTTCAACTACTGTAAAGCATTTCTTGCCATGGAACTGGGTCGCGATCCCGCTTATTATTCTGGCCCAGGAGCCTCCGGTGGAAGATCGGGGTATCCTGGCGGTGGCGGTTCCGCGTATCCTGGCGGCGGTGGTGGTTCCGCGTATCCTTCTCACGGCCTTTGGAGCGACGAGGAAGATGAAGAAGACTACATGGGGGAGGAAGGTGACGAAGGCGACGATCTTCCGGACTCCAAGAAACGCAAGCGCGACCGCGGAAGCAACTGGAGCCTCGCGGAAGCGCTCTGGTTCGCGGAAGGCCTCAAATCGCACCAGCAGATGCAGGACAGCCTGGGAGAGAACGCGCTCAAGTGGGGGAAAGTCGAGCAGGGCAAGTACCTCGTTAAATGGATGGCTTCGGGCCGCGCTCCCGGCGGTGCGGTGTATCATCGGTCGGCGCAGTCCTGCATCAGCCGCCATTACAACACGAAGCTTCTCTTTCGAAAGATTTTCCGCTGGCAGCGGCAGGTCCAGCAGGAGCAGCGCCGGAGGCTGCAGATGGAAGGGCGCGCCCCTCCCCCCGGAGATAACTCGCTGGACGCCGCAAATCCCGGGTACTTTTGGCGGCTGAGCGTCGAGGAGCGCGAGGCGATCGGTATGCCGCCGCATTTCCCGCGGGAGTTGTTCGACCATATGATGGAGTGGATGCCCATTGCGGTGCATGCGCGGCAGGAGCAAGAGCGGACGCAGCCGCAGCAACAGCCTGGTCAACGCGGGATGCAGCAGCAGCAGCAACAGCCTGGTCAACTCGGTCAACGCGGTCAACGCGGGTCAACGAGCCAACCCCGCGGTGGCGCGGACGGGAATCAGAGTGGAATGTGGGATGCCGGCACGAGCTCGGGAGGGAATCTTGGAACTTCTAACCTGCCCGGCGGGATGCCCTACGTCCCATCAACTGCGGAGGATCCTTATCTCGTGGCTCTGCGCGACCAGGCGAGTCTTTTGCTGGGGCCGCCCGCGGGTCAAGCGGCGGGAGCTGGTGCAGGCGGGGAAGGTCTTGGCGCTGGAGCAGGGGACGAGGGGGACCCGTTGATTTCGAGGTTGGCGGCGGCGACGGGGCCTGGCGCAATGGGCGGCGGAAGGCACGGCAGTCAGGGAGACTTGCGCGGGGCTCCTGCGGCAACTGCCGGAAGGAGAGGACGTGGCCGCGGAAGAGGCGGCGGAAGGGGGCGCGGGGGAGGCGCAGCGTCCGCCAGCGGATTCGGGTTTGCGGGCGGGCAAGAAGACGACCTGATGACGTGGCGAGTCAACGACGGCGTGCTGTCTCGGCTTCCGGGGTCGTCGCGCGAGCCGCGCGCGGGCGGCGCGCTGGGGAACGACGCAATGGTCCGCGCGGCGCACGTGATTGCGGGCGCGATGGGCAGGAGCGAGGACGCGCTCGCGAAGCGCCACAAGCTGGAAACGCGCGAGCGAGAGGCGCGGGAAAAGGCCCGGAAGGCAGAGGCGAACCAGCTAAAGACCTATCGGAATAGCGACCTGGGGCTTAAAAAGGAGAAGCTGATGCTGCTGAAGCGACAGGTGGAGGCTCAGGAGAGGCTGGTGGTCCTGGAAAAGCGGCGGGAGAAGCGGGAGAAGCAGCAGGTGGCGGCGGTTACGGGGATGGCGCAGGCGGTTGGCGCGGCTGCTGCAGCGGTGCATGCGGTGGTGGCGGCCTCTGGGAAGATTCCAGGCTTGGCAGGGCTGGATATCGAAGAGTTGGTTAAATCGAGTGTGGAGAAGCTTAAAGCGAGTATGGTTGTGGAGGAAGAAGAGGAGGAAGATGAGATTATGGGGATCGGTGGCGGTGGTGGTCTTGGTGGTTTTGTGGGGTTTGGTGGTGTTGGTGGGGGTGGTGTCGGTGCAGAGGAGCAGGAGGATGGGGAGAAGGGAATGGAAGGGTTTGGTGGAGCGGAGGGGGGAGAAGCGGAGAGGGAGCACGAGGAAGGGGGCATGCGCGAAGTGGGTGCTGCGGTGGATGCGGGGCAAGGGCAAGAGGCGGTGGGTGCAGGGGGTGGCGGAGAGGGAACAGAGGGAGCAGGAGGAGGAGAGGGAGGAGTGGTTGCTGAAGGGGTTGAAGGGGGGAAAGTAGAGGGTGGGGAGGTGGAGGGAGAAGGAGCGGAGGAGGCAGGAACAGGTAAGAAAAGTGAGGCTGGCGCGGGGGAAGGCGGTGCTGTGAAGGAGGGCGTTGCTGTGAGTGAGGGTGATGATGGGATGAACGTGGATGGGGGAGGGGATGCAGGTAAGGAAGGGAAGGACGAGCAGACACTGGCGGGGGTGAAGGATGAAGGGGCAGAGGGAGGAGAGGAAGGGAAGGTTGAGGAGGGAGAGGAGGGTGAGAAGGGGAAGGAGGAAGGGGTGCAAGAGAAGGGTGCAGGGGAAGGGAAGGAGGAGCAAGAGGAAAAGCTTGGCAGTGCAGGGAAGGAGGTTGTTGAGGGTATGGAAGTTGACAGTGTGGTAACTGGTGGTGCAAATGCTGCTGCTGCTGATGCAAATGCTGCCGATGCTGATGCAGATGCAGCAGGTGAGGGTAATGATACGAAGCAAGGTGGTGAGACTGAAGCTAAGAAAGAGGCTGGAAATGAGACTGTTGCGGCTGAGACCGGTGCGGCTGAGACCGGGGCGGTTGAGACTGGGAATGGAGGGGATGTGCCATCAGCCGAGGCGGCTGACGGGGCTTCTGCTGGCGTGGCCAAGGAGGAGAGAGGGGGAGATGAGAATGTGGAAGAAGATACAAAAGAGGGAGTGGCGGTGGGGGCAGAAGCAGGGAAGGAAGGTGAGAGTGATGCGGTTGATAAGGGTGGGGCTGGGGTTGAGGGGGAGGGTGAGGAGGCGTCGAAGGGAGGGGATGGTGCTGCTGCAGGGGAGGCAGCAGGTGGGGGAGAGGGCGGAGTGGGAGGAGCAGAGGGTGCCAGTAAGGAAGGTGACAGTAATGGAGGTGAAGGTGCTGCAGGGGATGCCATGGCAGTGGATGGTGCAGCAGCAGGGAGCGATGCAGCCGAGGCAAAGCCGTGACTTTGAAGAAGCTCAGCAGGGTGGAATGGAACTGTGCTTTGAGACGTCTCAAAACAACTCTTTAATCACAGTGCTCTGCCTTTAGGCTGCACTGACAGTGTGGGCCATGGAAACATGAGTGGTGGGGTAGACTTTTGAGTCGACTCAAAAGGCAAAGCTGTCACTTTGAAGAAGCTCAATAGGGTGGAATGGATGGAAGTTGGAATGGTGCTCTGCACCTGTCGGCTGCACTGGGTGTGGAGCATGGGAAACCTGGGTGGTGGGGTTGGGGTTGGGGAAGTAGTAGAGAGGGGCTTGGGGGTATAGCGGGGCATCGGCTTTGGGATCGGCAGCGGGATCTTATGGAAGGGTTCTTTCTTTTTCCACACCCTCCCTCTGCTTCCTTTTCTGGGTACCGGTGTTGTTTTCTGCATTGTTTAATCAACGCTCCTTGTTTCTCCTAGTTTCTTGTGATTTGCTGAAACTATCTACCCTTGTCTTTGCACTTTCTGACATCACATCACATTCCAGTAACTTTCTAACACCACATGACCATCTTGGCTGTTTCACCAGCCGGTCTGCTCTGCTGTGCTATGCTGCTCATGTTAGGCAATACACAAAACCAGGAACGAGCAACAACCCCAGTTACCGTAGTACCGTAAATCCTGCCCTCAAGGCCTGTTCCTCTACACTCACCTTCTTTGCTTTTCCTTGAACACAGGAAGCTTCTTCCTCGTTTCCCACCCCTGCTGCCTCCACCAGCCACACCACCTGCTCCACTATACAGGCCTCACCCCTGCTTCTCTGGGAACACAACAGGAAGCTTCCTCCTTGCTTCCCACCCAGCAAACAGCCTCCCTGCAGCGCCAGCCTCCTCCTCCCCTGCTGCCTGCAGCAGCCCCACCACCTGCTCCTCACCTGCAGCGCTCACCTGCCCCTCTCCATGAACATCTACCCTTCCAACAGGAGCATGCAGCAACCATGTTTCTTTCCCCTCAATGGTGACAAGAAATCTGCCTTGACGTATCTGAAATACATCAGAAATGTTTCATCCTAGTCAGCTACACAGACATCATGCCTGCTTTTCCGGAAACACAACAGGAAGCTTCCTCCTCGCTTCCCACCCAGCAAACAGCCTCCCTGCAGCGCTCGCCTCCTCCTCCCCTGCTGCCTGCAGCAACCCCACCACCTGCTCCGCTATAGAGTCCCACACTAAGAAATCCGACCAGTTCGTCACTGTAGAACCCCCGGGGGGCGAAGACGGTTTTACTGTAGAAACCTTGGCAGGTGTAGACGTCGTCTCTACTGTAGAAGAGGCCACTGTAGAGGAAGGTTCTGAGGAAGGCTGCGCTGCAGGCGTGGGGGCAGCAGGGGCGGTGGAGGCGGCAGCAGGGGCGACCCAAGGCTTCTCACTGACGTAGTGTATGAACACGGGGGGGGCCTGGCCCTGTAATGCCTCGTCCACCACCCATGATATGGCTCCGAAACTGGTGGGGGTGGGTGGGAGGGGGAGAGAGGGGGGGTTGAGTGAGACGACTCAAAAGACAGCAGGAGACAGCAGGGGCGCGACCAGGGCACACACACATAGGTGTGGGAGACCAGGGCACACACACATAGGTGTGGGAGACCAGGGCACACACACATAGGTGTGGGAGACCAGGGCACACACACATAGGTGTGGGAGACCAGGGCACACACACATAGGTGTGGGAGACCAGGGCACACACACATAGGTGTGGGAGACCAGGGCACACACACATAGGTGTGGGAGACCAGGGCACACACACATAGGTGTGGGAGACCAGGGCACACACACATAGGTGTGGGAGACCAGGGCACACACACATAGGTGTGGGAGACCAGGGCACACACACATAGGTGTGGGAGACCAGGGCACACACACATAGGTGTGGGAGACCAGGGCACACACACATAGATGTGACCAGGGCACACACACATAGATGTGACCAGGGCACACACACATAGATGTGACCAGGGCACACACACATAGATGTGACCAGGGCACACACACATAGATGTGACCAGGGCACACACACATAGATGTGACCAGGGCACACACACATAGATGTGACCAGGGCACACACACATAGATGTGACCAGGGCACACACACATAGATGTGACCAGGGCACACATAGATGTGACCAGGGCACACATAGATGTGACCAGGGCACACATAGATGTGACCAGGGCACACATAGATGTGACCAGGGCACATAGACCCTCCATGGCTGAAATTGTCGAGGCCCGCCATGGCTGCACCCCTCACTACCATGCACCACAAGCATGCGAGCAGCACATATATACTGCATGTGCACATGTGTCCACGGCACCCCTCTATCCAGGAAGAACTTGGAGATGAAGTACTCGTCACGGCTCGACAAGACATCCCTACCATCCACAGCCATGCACAACCCCTCATCACCGCATCTCACCGCATGTGCACGTGCGTCCAGGGCATCTAAGAAAAACTTGGAGATGAAGTGCTCGTCAGGGCCGGCCATGGAATCCCAGTGGCATCTCTCGTCACCACGCACGCACGCCTCTTTTGAGTCGACTCAAGTCAAATCCCAGTGGCATTCCTCGTCACCATGCACGCATGCCTCCTGACGCTCCATGCACCCCACATGCCCACATGCATGCACACACGACTCACCGCATGTGCACGTGCGTCCACGGCACCCCTCGATCCAAGAAGAACTTGGAGATGGAGTATTCATCAGGGCCCGCCATGGCTGCACCCCTCATTACCATGCATGCAACCCAAATGACTTACCGCATGTGCACGTGCGTCCACGGCACCCCTCTATCGAGGAAGAACTTGGAGATGAAACACTCATCAGGGCCCGCCATGGCATCCCTAGCATTCACAGACATGCGCAACCCCTCATCACCGCATCTCACCGCATGTGCACATGCGTCCACGGCACCCCTCTATCGAGGAAGAACTTGGAGATGAAGTACTCATCAGGGCCCGCCATGGCATCCCAGTGGCCGATGGGGTGGTGCCTCGCACACCACTGCACGTCGTCAAACAGACGGCGGCTTGGGGCGAGAAGCAGCGTGCAGCCTGAGAGGTTGGGAGGGCGGGGAAAGGGAAGAGAGTGGGGGTAGAGGAGAGGAAGCGGCTGATGGGGTGGAGCCTCGCGCACCACTGCACATCGTCAAATGCACGGCGGTTGGGGGCGAGGAGGAGCGTGCAACCTGAGAGGTTGAGTTGAGGAGGGGAAGAGGGAAGGGGGAGAGAGTGGGGGCAGCAGCAGCAGCAGCAGGAATAGAACCATCAGTCACCGCGCTGGTTCTTGAGAATTCTCAAAAACCCGCACGTGGCATAGAACAGCCTCTCCATGGCTCTCCTGACAACACCATCCGCCAGCACCTCCCTCTCTGTATTTTGAGGCACCTGCCCTCTCTGTATTTTGAGGCACCTGCCCTCTCTGTATTTTGAGGCACCTGCCCTCTCTGTATTTTGAGGCACCTGCCCTCTCTGTATTTTGAGGCACCTGCCCTCTCTGTATTTTGAGGCACCTGCCCTCTCTGTATTTTGTGGCACCTGCCCTCTCTGTATTTTGTGGCACCTGCCCTCTCTCTATTTTGAGGCACCTGCCTTCTTTCTCACCCTTATACATCCCTCCACCCTCAACCCCATCACTCACCACGCGTGGCATGGAACAGCCCCTCCATGCCTCGCCTCACATAATCATCCGCTGGCAATTGCTGTCTCCCTTCCTCCCTACGCCCATCCCTTCCTCTCTCCCACACCCTCACCCCATCCACATCCCTGTCTCCCCCCCCCCCCCCATCCTCTCACCGCGCATGGCATAGAACAGCCCTTCCATGGCTCGCCTCACATCATCATCTGCCAGAAGCTGTCCGTGCAGCCGCTGGTTCGCACCAAGGTCCCTGCAAGAAGCGGTTCAGTGAGGTACATTGGGATATGGTGCAGTTAGAAACGGTGGGGTGCGGTGACAGTAAAAACAGTGGGGTGCAGAACGCAGAGTCCCAACATTGGGATTGTTGGGTGTGGTGGATATGCAAAGAAACTTGTTGCTTGCCAGCAGCTGCCCATGCACCCGCTGGTTTGCACCACATCCCTGCCAGAGGTGGTTCAATGGGGTACAGTGAGGTACAGTGGGGTGCAGTGGAGATAGTAAGGAGATGGTGTAGTGCAAGCACGTGACTGCCACCACAAGGAGGAATGCATGGATAGGGTGCAAAGGAGCAAGCATGCAAGCATGCACTGGCGGTAGAGTCTAGAATGCCAGCAGGCGAGTGGCAGCAGAAGTGCGCACAGGTGGGGTGGGGTGCACAGGAGCAAGCACACATGCAAGCATGGAAGCAAGCACACATGCAAGCATGGAAGCAAGCACACATGCAAGCATGGAAGCAAGCACACATGCAAGCATGGAAGCAAGCACACATGCAAGCATGGAAGCAAGCACACATGCAAGCATGGAAGCAAGCACACATGCAAGCATGGAAGCAAGCACACATGCAAGCATGGAAGCAAGCACACATGCAAGCATGGAAGCAAGCACACATGCAAGCATGGAAGCAAGCACACATGCAAGCATGGAAGCAAGCACACATGCAAGCATGGAAGCAAGCACACATGCAAGCATGGAAGCAAGCACACATGCAAGCATGGAAGCAAGCACGCACCGGCGGTAGAGGTCGAGGATGCCAGCTGGAGCACGGCAGGCAAACAGGGAATCCGGGTCAGGCAGGGCACGGGACGAGGCCGCGCCCTGCTGCTGCTGTAATTGCTGTTGCGGCTGCTGCTGCTGCTGCTGCTGCTGCAATTGCTGCTGCAGTTGCACTGGCTGCTGCTGATGCTGTTGCTGATGCTGCTGCTGATGCAGGATAGAGAGGACGGATGGCGAGGAGGCAACAGGATGCAGAGGGGTGGAGGTGGGTATGGAGGGGCGGAGAGCGGTGGAGACAGGTGTGGCAGCACAGTGCGAAGCATGGGGGAACGAAGTAGGGGGGTCATGAGATGGGAACGGAGGAGCAGCAGGTGAAGCAGCAGCAGAAGGGCAGCTTTCATTGCCTGCCTTTTTTCTCTCTGCTTCGCGCCACAATTTTACTCGTTCCAGCAGGGTCAGCCCATCTCCTTGAATATTTTCCAGGGTAAAAAACCCTGACACGCAGACCATATCCGCATCCAAAAACGCAACCTTCTCATACTGCTCCAACCGCAAAACAGTAAACTTAGTTAAGCACGCACTTAGCCACGGGTTATACATATGCCCGAACCGAACCTGCCGCCGCTGCCGAACCCCCTGCCGAGCCTCCAGCCTCGGCACAACTACCACGTGGTCCCAAACCTCGCCCAGAGCCGCGGTAACATCCGAAGCAATGTCGTCTGTTACCATGCAGACGAGATCCGCGAGAGTGTTGGCGAGTCTGAGCGAATGACCTAAAACCAGAGCCCCACACGCATACACCTCATTCTGCATCACCAGTGTTGCCCATGCATACCTCCCCTGCCCTTGCTGCTCCCTCACACTGCCGTTCCCACTGCCGCTGTCGCTTCCGCTGCTGCTACAGCCGACATTGCTGCTGTTGCCACTGCTGCTGCTGGTGGTGGTGGTGGTGCTGCTGCTGCTGCTGCTGCTGCTGCTGTGGTTGGGGCTGCTGATTCGGCTGGTGGCACTAGCAGCGTTGCTGCAGTCAATGCTGCCGCTGCTCGTGACTCTGCTGCCCTCATCAGCCACCCGTAGCCTCTGATACGCCGCAGATAAAGCATCAGGTCCTGATAAGCCATCAGACCTTGATAAGCTATCAACCGTTGGCCCTTGGTCTCCTGGCGTCAATTTGCTAGCAGGCTTAGCGTTAATGTAACCAGCTGCTTTATTGTTATCATAGGCATTATTGTAACGAGGGGCTGTATCGACAGAAGCTGCATTGCCCCTTCGTACCCCGCCATTATCACTCCACCCACTGTACGAAGACGTTTCTCCCCATCTTGCCGCCCTTCCGCCACCTCCCCCCCATCCCCCGCCTCCCCCTCCTCCGCCGCCTCCCCCGCGCTCCCCCCATCCCCCCTCCGCGCGGCTGCTTCCCCTCGCGTCGCCGCGTGCCTTCCACCCACCGCCGTCGCCGCCGCCGCCGCCGCCGCCGCCGCCGCTGATTGCGCACCTCGCGTCGCTGTTTCCCCACGCGTCGCTCCCTCGGCCAACCGATGCATGCCTGCTCCTGTTCGAAGAACTCCACGCTCCACTAGCGCCGCAGCCGCCGCCGCCGTCGCTGCTGCCGCCGCTTACGGCTTTCCTGATCCACGAATTCTCGCTGGAGGAAGCTCCTTGATTCAAGCGCCCGCCAGATGCGGCGGCAATTGCGGAGATGCTTCCGCTGCTGCTGCTACGGCTCGGACGGAACTTGCCGCCAGAAGCGGGAGCTGACGTGTCGTTGGTGCTGTGGTGATTGGCCGACATGGTGCATGCGCGGTTTTGCAAGAAACCAAGTCTGTACGGAACTTTGTACTGTAATGCAGCGCGTTTCGGCAAGGAGTTCATGCAAGTGGGTGACTGTCTAAGGGAGGAATAAGGGGATGAGGAGATGTTGAGATAAGTACGAGGATGCTTTTTAGGGGTTCTGATGGTTTGGACGGGCGATATTGAGGGGACGGTGTGACAAGGTGGCTGGGTGCGATCCCGTACGGTGTCGTTCATGAGAAAATGTCTGTTCGACCTAAACTCTGTGCAGCGCTTCATGGTGCTGCTTTAGATCTGATTACATGAATTTGCTTTCGAGTTCCATAAACCACGGAAAATCGAATTGACGCTAAAGTTTATGTCGCAAGATATTTGTAAAGCGTATCTGTCGCGTATTGGGTCAGCAACGTTCTTTGCGCGCGTTTTACATCCAATCGGACGTTTCTATGCCACGTGCGGCGCAGTTCACGTGCCCTCGAACCCTCCCGCTCGCTGACACTCGTGGCAGCAGGTGGATTCTGACGGCTGTCCAGCGCATCCTTTTGTCACCGAGTCTTCAGGGGCTTTTGAGTAGGAGGACGCTAGCAATTGGGTATCATCGCTGCTGACTTGGAGTTACACGACACGATCACCAATCATATTTGTTCAAATAACAGCGCAACAAGAAGATCTCATTCCGCCTCCATTCTTGCGGACAGCGTGGCACGCCGGCATGTCCACCCCACCCAGCCAAACCTTTACACCATCCCTCTCCCCCGTGCTTGGAAGGGTTGATCATTCCGTCAATTTTCCCTGCCCCGCTGGTGTTGCGCAGCGAATCAAGCTCTGAATTCAATCCAGGTTCATTATCTACAGTTCCTTCTTCTCCAGCATCGCGTCGCGACACGAGCATGTTGAGCATGCCCGTGCAAGCAGCACAATTGAAATTCCCTAGACAAAAGCGAATTGCTAGAAATCCGTGCTCGTCATTTCATCAACCGAGGTCACGGACTTATTACCCTCGGTTTCTTCAGTTACCAATCCGCGAGCATTCACGCATTCATCCGCGGCTATCACGTGTTCCAATAGCTATCGGCCGAATGGCTTCCTTACTGGGTATTTCCGTCACCGCGGCGCCGTCCGTTGCGGTGTCTGGGACGTCTTCTCTTGAAACCCAGTCTCGCATTCTCAAGGTATGTTACTCCTTTCTCTTCCGGATCCTGACGTTCTATGCTGAATCTGGTTGCAGTGATCTTCGTTGTCCGCCAGCTACTTTGTTGCAAGTAGCAAAAGAGAACGAAGATTGTATTCCTTACAGACAAGGACATTTGCGAATGTATCGTTAATGCTGCTCGTTGATTTTTTCAACAGGGAGGAGCTCGTCTCGCGCACGCCAAGGCAGCTCGCCCGACGCAACGCCGATCACAGACCAAGACATGCGTCGCAGTGCGTTCTGTTTTACCTCTTCGTATTTAAGATCTGTTGCGTTCGATCATCAGGCATCTGGTATTATCACGTGCACCCGAGTCTTGTTTGCAACCATGCCTCCGACCGTATTCCCTCGA